GCTAGGATTGCTAGGGTTGATGGGAGTTGGAGTCCAACAACACCTGAAGGAGATGACGCCAAGCATAGAATTGTGTTTAAGCCAGAAGTGATGATGACCGAACCTGTTTGGGGACCTGTGCAGGCACAGCAGGCTCGTGTGTACATATAAACATCCACTGCTTGAGTCACTAGGACAGAAAATCACTGCAGGATGATGGGTGTTGTAGTGACTGAACTGAGCTGGACCCCCATCGTTCAGCCCAGACACTGAGGTTCAGCCCGGACACTGCGAGAAGTGAGGCTACAGGGAACCAGGCAGAGGGCCTTCTCAGTAGTGGCACCCGCCCTGTGGAACACCCTCCCACCAGATGTCAAGGAAATAAACAACTATCTGACTTTTAGAAGACTTCTGAAGGCAGGCCTGTTTAGGGAAGTTTTTAATGTTTGATGCTTTATTGTGTTTTTAATATTCTGTTGTGAGATGCCCAGAGTGGCCAGATGAGCGGGGTATAAATAATTTATTATTATTATTATTTATTAGGATTCATGTTAAATATATATATACAAAGTCAAAGGTCTCAGGACCTTCAATCAATGCGGATGCCCTACACTGGTTATTTCCTGGGGAATCTTCCAAATGCCCTGCTTATTGACCATCCATCCTGATGGTCTCGCTCAGAATGTATCTGGATGTAGACTCTGTCCAGTATTTATTGAGCATTTATTTTGTTTTGTTTTTTAAATGATATTTATTAAGAATTTTAGAATTACAGAAAAAAAGAGAAAAAGAAAAAGAAAAACAAAAAACAAAAGAAAAACAAACCACAATCCAACAATACAAATTGATAAGAATCAAAATCAAAAAATAACACAACACAATCAAAAGACAAAAATAAGCCACAAACATTTTAAAAACAAATCCAATATTCTCAAATCCTTAACTGTCATTACCTTCTTTCTTTGACCTCCTCACTCCTCCCTTTTTTTGTATCCTAGTTGTTAATTGTCACAGCAAATCCTTTCCATTTTTCATAATATTCTGTCATTACATTACCTTAATCTATTTTAATCTTATCTTACTATAAAGACCTTAAAACTTGAAACTTAGATCTTATTTATACCAATTTCTCATAACCATAATATTCTTACATAATTCTTTAAACATTTTTACTAAAGCCAAATAATTTCGTTCCAACATTTTTCTAGCATTTATCAATTTTATAAAACAATCCTAATAAAAAAAAATTTTTTTTCTTCCAATCTTCATCCAGCGTCTCTTCCTCCTGGTCCCGGGTTTTGTCAGTCCTTTCTATCACATCAATCTAGCGCATTAACCTGGTAATCTTATGTCCGAGGCCCTTAAGTCTCTTCCATGTCCCTTCCGCGGCTCTTCTTCATATTTATACCTGTACTTTACTTTGTCTCCTGCTCCTTTCACTCGTGGGAACTCCAACTTAACAGTGTTTTTGACCCTTCTCGACAAATCAGCCCCTTTTCCATAGTCCACATTGAACTCCATTTGGTATTTAAAAACATGTTTCAAAGTCCCTCCAGAATTAAGAGCCCCCACAACCCCAAACATCTCACGGCCCATTGCCAGACTTGAAAAGTCCAAACATCCCTGCATAGGGGGGTCTATCCAACCCCCCATTTCCAAACCAAACCAAACTTTATCTTTCCAAATCTGGCTTTTTCCAAGTTCATTTGTCAGATCCAGAACTCATGTTCCTGCTGGGCCACAGCTCCCTCCATCTCTGGCGCCCGAGGTTCAGCAACATCCTCTTCCCTCATCTGTTCTGTCAGAGCACACTCCTGATTTGATTCCTGGGTGGGCTCTATATAGTTTCCCACTACCTGTCCAAAATTTCTGATCGCAGCAGTCATCACATCCGTCTTCTCATATAGCTGTTCCAGTAGGGCACTTGTTTTGCAGAAAGCATGCACCAGAGCTTCTGAATACATTGTTCTGCAAGGTCAGAAGTCTATTCCCACGATCGTAATCTGTTGCAGCTGCAAGCTCCCCGATTCAAAATTGGTAACAGTTTCACAGGCTCCCTCTAGGGGAAGAACTTCTATTTGTTCTTTTCTTTTAAAAGCAGATCTAACAACAAAGTTTCCTTTTTCAGATATTTTGTCAATATTTGTTCCTTTAAAATGCGAAGGGGAACAATGGAATCACTATGTTTCTCTTCATTTAACTATCTGTCAAAAACGTTTGTCTCTGGTCAATGAGCTTCAAAGAACGTCAGTCCTGGCACCCCGCTCCCAGGATCAAGACGGTGGAAAATTACTTTGCTTTACACTCTCTTCTGCAGGTTTAAACAGTCCGAAAAAAATCCCCCCTCTTCTCCTGCTTCCGAAGGGGGTTCAACAATTTTAAATGATGAAAGTTAATCCTTTACAAGTGATTTTCTGAACTCCAGTTTGCCATGTCTTTGCTTTAATCTATCTACAAGAAACGGAAGGCTGACTTCCTGTTTAGACCTTCCCGTTTCAGTGCCAAATTGAGATACTTCCGGGGTGGTGCCATCGGTAATGGCGGATTCCCTCTGATCCGGAGGTACCAGCTCCACGGAAAACGGGTCTTTCCCGCTACGGCGAAGCGGGGACCCTTTCAAAAATCACAGGTGGATGAAGCCTGTGACCATGGGACTCAGCGGGCACCTTTAGCGCCCCCCCAACCCGTAAAGGAACCCACTTACGGGCTCCGGAGCGAAGAGGGGGAAGTGGCGCGGTGCTGAGAGTCAACTGCTTCTTCCGTGGAGCGAAGCCGCACAGCCGTTGCCGGAGAGCGCTGCCTTTTTCCTGGGACAATTTGGCTTTTAAAACAATTACCCGTGAGTACTTAAATTTCGGACAATTGGACTTTAAATAATGACCAGTGAGTAGAAAGGAAAATTGGACTAAGATATTGAGCATTTATTTTGATTTGTTTGTGGGGAGGTGATGCAACAATGAGCATTTACCCAGATTTCTACATCTTCCCATACTTTTCAGCGCATTCCTCTGTCATTTTCCTAACCACACACAAACAAAAAATCCATTTCCTTTTAGGAGGGGTTTTGTTGCACTAAAGTAACACAGACTGCAATCTACTGCAATTGCAGAGACCTATATTTCCGGTACGCACTTGAATCACTCACACAAATTAATGACAGAGGAGGCTTGGATTAAATTTGACCCACCAATTTGTCCATTATTTCCATCCAGGGTGACCTCCCCACCATCTGCTAGTTAAACGAGGACTTCAGAAGTAGATGCACTCATCCTATTACCAGGGAAAACACTCTGAACAGAGAGGAGCCAGGGTCCAAGCATACTCAGAGCTTCCAGCTCGCAGGCTTCTGCTTCAAATCTCAGCTACAGCTAGGCTGGCATTTATCAGGCTGTGATTTCTGCATTGCAGGGGGTTCATAACCCTTTCGGTTCCTTCCTTCTCCACAATTCCATGATTATAGGAGGGAAGGGATTGCTTCTTGTGGCAGATTCCTAAAGTGCAACCATTACACACCACACACTGTCAGAAAGTAATCATTAGCACCATTTTAGGCAGAGATGGTGCAAGGAGAGAGCGTAATCATTTTGTAAAACTTTCTTTAAAACTTATTTTTCTTTTTTTAGTAATGTAAATTAAGAAATAGAGACGAACAAAAATAGCATAATCAGAGCTACAAAACGTAGGATCCGTACAAATAAATAGACAGCAGATCATGTAGGAAAATAAAAGCAGCAAGACTCATCATTAAATCCATTGGTGGGGGAAGAGATATGTGGATATCTGAATCTAACATGTAAGAAATGAAATCCCACCAAATGGCGTAGGAATGTTCTGGATCTTCCTTAACCTTAGAAATGCATCATTGGTGAGTTATTTTCTCTGCAATAGCCAGAGTCCACATATTCTTGTACTACAGAAAATGTAAGTTCTGCAGTGTTTTCTATTGCAAAGAAGATCTCGCTGCAGCCAGCAACCACATGATAAGTTCCTAAGATTAGAAAATTACAGTTTGATCATCCCGTAAGTTCAAAAACGGCAAGTTGTGGGGAGGCTGGAGTGGGGCATTATTTTTTTGAAAAAAATAAATTCCTCAAAAATGCCAGTCCAAAATTGCCAGCGGGCATTCCCACTACAACCATGCCAACAATCCTGTAAGGCATTTGATGTCACATAAAAAGGATGCACAGGAACAGGGTTTTTTGGCCGCATGTGAGAGCCAATGAGGGGTCACTCTTTCCCAGCTGTCAAAGGTTTTCAGGATTGGCTTATGACATTATTCTGTCTAGCAGAAGAACAAAATGGTCCCCCTTCCCCATTCAGATGGGCAGATGAATCTTATTCCAACACTGGCAATGGGACAGAATCCTCCTCTGCATCCAAAACAGAAAGCTAGTTTTTGAGGGAATGGGGTTGGGGTGGACAAGCTAAATAGCCAGATTGGCTGTATCTTCCAACAGTTGGGCATGGCTGGTTGGGGCTTAGGAGTTTTCCAAAAGAATGGGGAGATGTTTAAACCGTGCTTTTGCGGTTACGTGTGTGGAGAAAGATAGACAGACAGACAGACAGACAGACAGACAGAAGTTAGAATCATATAATCATAGAACTGTAGAGTTGGGAGGGATCTTGAATTTCATCTATACTTCCGTACAACCGAGCTGTAATGGCTCTCCTCCTCATCGTATCTTTGGAATCCATCGACCTCTGTTCTGACGGTGATTAACGACCTAAGCTCTTAATGAGGCGTCAGGCACGCTCCCCATTCCGCAGAGTACCCGAACAGCAGCAGAAGAGCGAGAAATGTGTGCTACATTGCTACGTTTATTTCTAACTACTCAGGACAGAAAAGAATATGCATCTGCTCTCTGTGAGAGACAGAGAACAACAGGAAACCAGTAACATCAACATCCGTCTCCCGTGAGACTTCCAACAGTCTGGAATGTCAACAGAGTCTTGTGACTCCAAAAACTGCACAGTGGCATAACAGAAATCGAACAATCTAGTGCAATGCAGGAATCTTTTTTTGCCCAACATGGGGCTCGAACCCATGACCATGAGATGAAGAGTCTCATGCTCTATTGACCAAGCCATCCCACCATTTCTTCTCCCTCTCTCACAGGCCTAGAACCTCACAGGGTCATCCAATGAAGCTAAGCACTGCATGGTCCTTCAGTGTGGTCCTTTGTGCAATGCATAACCAAAGTATGGAATTCAATACCACAAGAGGGAGTGACGGCCACCAACCTGGGTGGCTTTAAGTGAGATTTAGAGCACTTTGATGAAGCATATCAATGGCTACTAATCACAGTGGCACCTGTGAACTTGATGGACCATTGGCCTGATCCAGCAGCCATGCTCTTCTGATGTCCTTAATAAACAGCCAGGTTGCTGCCACTCACCTCATTCCACGTCATCTAAATGGTAGGGTTGGCCCTAGTAACTATTTGTGAGAAGTATAATCCGTACATGACCCAACAACTTGTTGATGTTATAGATACACAACATTAATACACAATGCACAGCTACCTGAAGCTCAAATTTCAGCTCTAGGGCTTAAAATTTCAACACTCTTGGAGGGTGATCTGAACCTCACCCTGGCAAAGCTCTCCTAAGATAGTTTTCTGCAGCCAGGGGCAAAAGGTGAGATGGTCTCTGCCTCCCACTCCAGGGACCAGCGCTGAGAAAACTTCTTGAATGAGGCACGGACTGGTGAACTCTCGTGGAGGTGAAATGGCCATCTTGTGCAAGCGCCTGCAGTAAAGATTCCAGAGGGATGATAAAAATGGAAAAGGGCAATAATCATCATGAGCAATAATTACAGCCCAATTTGTTTACCTGCTGCTGCATCAGAACTTTGTATTGATTTCTTTTTAGACCAGTTGGGAGAACTGATTCCAATAACAATTTTCAGTGAGTCCAAGCACGGTTCCAGGAAGTGGAAAAGCACAATAAATCAATCTGTGATCTTCCAGCTGATTCATAAACCCACCCAAGGTGGCCCAATGGAACAGCAATGCCTGGCTTTTGTTGACCTTCCTTCAGCAAGGAGAAAACTGTGGCTGACATTATGCAGCATGAGTACTGATGGGTACTTTGCCCTCTTAACCAAGTAGCTTTTTGTCAGGAGTGGAGAACATCTGTGTCCCTTCAGATGTCACTGGGTCCCAGCTACAGGCAGCCAGCATAGCTAAAGGTCAGGAATTGTGGCATCTGAAGATCCACATAGTTTTCACAACACTTGACCTTTGAGTTGTGCTTTTCCCAGACCTGATAAATGATGGGGTACAGCCAATTAAGTTCTACTCAGAGAAACCCCATTGAAATTAATGGACCTAAGTTAGCCATGTCCATTAAGTGGGCCTACTCTGAGTAGGACTAGTATGGGATACAGAGAGATGGATTTGGAGTTAAAAACACTGAAAGCTGTCAGACCATTTAGTTCAGTAATGTCTACCCTGGCTGGCAGCAGCCCTCTACAGTTTCAGGCAGAGCTTCTTCCCACCTCTACCAAGAGATGTTGGTGATTGGACCAGGGACCTTCTGGTCAGTGTGGTGTAGTGGTTAAGAGCGGTGGACTCATAATCTGGTGAACCGGGTTCACATCCCTGCTCCTCCACATGCGGCTGCTGGGTGACCGTGGGCTAGTCACACTTCTCTAAAGTCTCTCAGCCCCACTCACCTCACAGGGTGTTTGTTGTGGGGGAGGAAGGGAAAGGAGATTGTTAGCTGCTTTGAGACTCCTTTGGGTAGTGATAAGGCAGGATATCAAATCCAAACTCTTCTTCTTCTTTGCATGCAAAGCAGATGTTCTATGACTGAGCTACAGCCCTCCCCATTGCAAAATCTGCCATATTAGCATGGGTCCCAAGATCCAAACTTACCACGATGAATACTTTTTAAAAAAATAAAATGTACACACAGATGTGCCTTTAAACATGAAGGCAGGGGTCAGCAAAAATTTCAGCAGGGGGCCAGTCCACTGTCCCTCAGACCTTGTGGGGGGCCAGACTATATTTTGAAGGGGGGGAATGAACAAATTCCTATGCCCCACAAATAACCCAGAGATGCATTTTAAATAAAAGGACACATTCTACTCATGTAAAAACACACTGATTCCCAGACCATCTGTGGGCTGGATTTAGAAGGTGATTGGGCCGGATCCGGCCCCTGGGCCTTAGTTTGCCTACCCATGATGTAGAGGGCTTCCACCTGCTTTGTTTTTCCACAATGGGCGTAAGCTTTCTTTAAGCCTTTTTATTGGTCTGTAAACAGGACAGACAGCAGTGTTGCAACCACCTAATTGCTTGAACAATAAATCTTTTGGCAGCCCATGAGATAAGAAGCAAGGACCCACACCAAAGCCCATGCAAGCCCTTCTTGATAGGAGCCCCAGCCAAAAGATAACAGATGAGGTCTTGGTGTTGAAAACTCCCAACAAGGTCAAAACAAAACAGGGTTTGCCAGAAAGGTGTATGTACCTGAGAGGGTGGAACTCAGGTTGTTCCTTTCAAAGCCATCAGAAAAACCGCATTAATTAAAGACAGCCAAAACTTTCCAAGCCTGGATATAATCAAGCTACCACAGTAAAGGCATAGCCTGCCTCTGGATGGGTGAGTTTGAGCAAATACAACCTCCCATAAAAAACATCATTTGTGATACAAACACATCTGAGCAACAGGAGTCAGGAACAAGGAAGCTTTCTGGAAGATTCCTGGCAAGTTGTTGCGGGTGACCAAGAAGCCACAGTGAGCAGGCTGTGAAAAAAGACAACACCATTAGCTCTTCCAGCTTGATGATTCTATGAGTATATGATTCATTATGGAAGAAAGATCCTCCTCTGTGTATAGGGTGGTACATAAATTCAGTAAATAATCACAATAATAATCATATTTGCTCAAAAACATATAATACAATAGTGAATAAAAGTGAAGTAATTGTTTGCTAAATAGTCTCTCCAGTGTTTAGTTTCCATATGGCTCATTCCAATAGCCCACAAAACATCTCCCTGAAAATATATTGTTTCCTCCTCACAGAATCACAGAAGGGAATCAAGGAATCATGTAGTCCAGCCCTGTCTCTTCAAAGCTGCAACTGTCAATTTGTCCATTATTGCCAGTTCAGCTCTTTTACATGAACAGGCAGTGGCTCATGAACGTTCTGACCGAAATGATATTTGCGGCCATTTATTTATTTTATCGCATTTATAGCCCACTGTTTTCCTCCAAAGAGCTCAAGGTGGCGTACGCGATTCTCTCCATCCTCATTTAATCCCCACAACAACCCTGTGAGGTAAGTTAGGCTGAGAGGCAGCGAATGGGCCAAGGCCACCCATGGCCGAGTAAGGATTTGAACCCTGGTCTTTCCCAGGCCCTAATCTGACACTTTAACCACTAAGCCACACTGGCTTTCATTAATCAATAAGATAAACTGGAGATCTTAATCCCTTCTCTATCTCATATCTAGTGAGGATGAAGTTTAACGGTTTGCCAGGAGTTAGGATTTGCTTTGGGAGCTGGAAGCCCGGTTGAGAATGTTGGTTTCTGTTTCCCTCACTGAGAAGCAGCTGCAAGTCATGGGACTATGTTTTCATTCCACAGTTCAGTTACTGTTGGATTCCCACGGGAAAGGGAGACTGGATGTGACGTTCACTGGTTTCCTGTTTCTTTGTTCTGTCGTTTCTTTGTTGGGAGTTGCTCTCCCAACAAAAGCTCATCGGTTTCCTGGGACTTTGCTTCCACCTGAACGCATTGGGCTCCTGCACCCATAGATGAGCTTTAATCAGGCTCCTCTGGGGGAATTATAGCTTGGATTCCCCAACCTTGTATGAATCCCATAGCACCAGTTGTGGCTGAAAAGTGTTTGGAAATTCAACCCTGCCCTCCAAACACACAAGCACACACAATCTGGAGCTTACTTGACCCAGATACATCCCCAAATTGATTCAGGGACTGGAGCTAATGTTTAATTAGTATTTTTTTTGTCTAATTAACTATGTGGCTGAGAGAGTAAAGAAGGGGAGGCTGCATCCCCATGTCCTCACTGAAGAGAGCAGGACTCAACCTGCTTCTGCATATTTGGGATAGCTCAGTCAGTAGAGCATGCGACTCGTAATCTCAAGGTCAGGGGTTCAAGCCCCACGTTCGGCAAAAAGATTCCTTCATTTCAGGGGGCTGGACTAGATGACCCTCAGGGTCCCTTACAATTCTATTATTCTATGCTCCATCTTCTTCTCACCTCACACCCAAGACCCTGCCCCTTGACAGCCTTGGATTACTCTGAGCAACCTGACCCGACCTGTAGCTTTCTTGACCCAACTCGACAAAAGTCCTGTTCTGCCTGAATCAAGCTGATTTGGTTTGTGCTTTGTCCAAATCCTAACCCTAACCCTAATAATAGGTTGCATTCAGCTAAGTTCTACTTAGAATAAGCCCACTAACAGATCTAAGTCATCCATGTCCATACATTTTAATGAGTCTCTTCTGCGTATGACTCAATATGATCCATCTCAATTACTATTATTTGAACAGAAAGATAATGCACCTCAACAGAGTGAGGAACAAGACATTTAATGCACTGCGACACCACTTTAAGCAGTCACAGCTTCCCCCACTCCAAAAAAATGGGATCTGTAGTTTGTTAATGGGTGCTGAGAGTGGTTAGGAGACCTCTGCTCCCCTCTCACAATTCCCAGGGTTTTGTGAGAAGAGAGAGTGACTGCTGAACCACTCTGGAAATTGTAGCTCTTGGAGGGGAATAGCAGGTCTCCTTAGAACTCCAAGCACCCTTAACAAACTACACTTCCCAGAATTCATTAGGGGAAGCCATGACTGTTTAAAGGGGTATCAAAGTGTTTTAAATGTTTCCTGTGAATGTGGCTGAGGTGACTGGTATTCCTGCTCAGTCAGCTGTCAAGGTGCTAAAACTGTTGATGGGCAACTTCAAGCCCTCCCTACTCCTCCAGCTTCAGGGTGCTTCCTTCTTATAGTTCTTAACCTTAAAATCAGATTTGTGCCGCATCTGCACTATAAATTAAAGACTGCATTGTATACTGTTTTATACATATAGGGGAGGAATAGCCTTGTGATGAGAGAGCCCTTCAAAGGATTCCTTCAAATAGAGGATGGTCCTCTGTAAAGGACCGCAAGGCGACCCTACATACAAAACATGATTTTCCATAACCTCCAACATTTCTCCGATGAAAATAGGGACATCCTAAGGAAAAGCGGGACATTCCAGGATCAAATCAGAAATGGGACAGCTTCTGTAAATCTAGAACTGACCCTGAAAAATAGGGACGGGTCTGGATTTTCTTGCAGTGAAAAGAGTTGCAAATAGAGAAGATCTTCACAGCCCTTTGGGTCCCTCCCAGATCTACAGTTCTATGCTTCTATGTAACTGAGCACTGAGCTGACTGTGGTCCTGGCAAATTTCAGCAGCTTCCATTGCACAGAATCTGAATTGGTCGACAGCTTTTCCACTGGGGGGGAAATATCTCTTGGGTGGGGATGGGGACTTCGAAAGTAAGCCATTTGTGTGTCAGGGCCATAAAAAGTTAACTTCGAAACTGTAAAACCAATCAAGTGACACATTTACACCTCTGTAGGGTGGCACTGTGGGTTAAACCACAGAGCCTAGGACTTGCTGATCAGAAGGTCGGCGGTTCGAATCCCCGCGATGGGGTGAGCTCCCGTTGCTCGGTCCCTGCTCCTGCCAACCTAGCCGTTCGAAAGCATGTCAAAGTGCAAGTAGATAAATAGGTACCGCTCCGGTGGGAAGGTAAACGGCATTTCCGTGCGCTGTTCTGGTTCGCCAGAAGCGGCTTAGTCATGCTGGCCATATGACCCGGCCAGTAAAGTGAGATGAGTGCCGCAACCCCAGAGTCAGCCACGACTGGACCTAATGGTCAGGGGTCCCTTTACCTTTACCTTTACCTTTACCTTTACCTTTACCTAGGTTGTATCACAAGATGTCATTAAAAAAGAAAACCCGTTCTCCACTGGGTGTTCTGTTTCGAAGTTTTGAGGAGCCCTGACCACTCTTTAAGCTAAAGAAGATGCTTTCTACATGAGTGAACTTTGAAATGGAATTTGCCCAGGAGGGTGGAAGTGCAAGTGCGTCAGGCCTTGGTCTTGTGCCTGTGTTGATCTAATAATAGTGAACACCTTTCCGTGTTGTGGTTCTTCTGTTTAAAGAAAGCCTTAAGCAAATGCTCCAGGGATTATCTTCAATTACCTTCCATGTCAAGCATGAACCCAAATAGCTGGCATGGGATGAGTGAGCCACATCCCAGCCCTCCCAGCAAACTCGTTCCCCGACATTCCTTAATTGGATGTTTGCAACAAGCCAAGTGTATGGAGGAGGCTGGAGCACTTGGCTAACCTGGGGGGGTAATTAAATGCTACCTGCCTACCTACCTGCCAACAGTCCCTTCCTGTCATTTTAAACTGGGATAAGCCATCTGTCAGCATCCTCATCTCTACAAGGGCAACACCATGCTCTTCCCCTTCCCTGGACAACTACAGCATCCAACCTGAGGATAAAGTGATTGGAAATTTTGGGAGGGGAAACCGGTCGTCTCATCTTGTTCACAGTCTACTGAGGTATGGAATTTCCTTGGTAGTTAAGTTTGCTGTTCCATGGAGTCGGTGGGGAAATGAAACAGAAGGTGCAGTAATGAAAGCAATAGTTAACTACGTTTTACTCTGAGTAGACTCACTGAAAGGAATGGAGCAAAGCTAACCTTGTCCATTCATTACAGTGGGTCTACTCTGAATAGGACTAGCATTGGATACAATCCCCCCAAAGTGTGAGGTTTGTCAAAATTGATACACCACCATCAACAGGTCGGCCATTTAGAAGAGATTCCTAAGCAAAACATAGATGAGTCTCTTCTAAATGCTGGATGAGGGAATATGTTAGTTCTTTATATCTGTATATATTAGGGCTGTGTTTTGTTTATTTTAATATATTTATATTTAATCAGAAAAGCCTCTAATAAGCCATAGTTTGCAGTTTCATCCAAACTGGGAAACTATGGTCAACAGATCTAGAACAAGTTAGGATATTAAACCAACTTCAGCTTATGGCTTTACATCCTGGCTTGTTCTGAAACTGGCAATCATAGTTTCCCAGTTTGGGTGAAATGGGAAAAACTGTGTTTAACTGGCAGCTTCCTGGCTTCTTTGCTCCTGCCACATAGGGGTGTATGCGTGAGAAAAATCTCTCATTCAGATCTTGGCTGAATAATGTTCTGTGATGAAACTCCAGGTGGTTCACACTGGAATTCCCAATAGGTCTTGGGCCACAGCTCCCATGAGCATTGGCCATACTGGGAGGAGAGGGACATGGGGTTCCCCATCCTTGGTTTATGGCGTGTGGGCAGCACACAGCAGCAGCAATGCAGGACTTTGCTAGGATGGATTTTATTCCCAAACTATGTTTGGATGACCATATCTCAGTTTATTCAGCCAAGGTATGTACAAGACTTTTCTATGCGTGCCTGCAGTCCCTGTGCACCTACCCTTTCGGAGAACCAAGAAAGTTGTCAATTAAACAAAGTTTCCCCCATTTTGCCCAAATGGGGAAACTTTGGTTACCAGCTTCAGAACAAGTCAGGATGTTAAAGCCAACAGTTGAAGTTGGTTTAATAGCCTGACTTGTTCCAAATCTGGTAACCAGAATTTCCCAGTTTGGATGAAACTGGAAGCTACGATTTATTAAAGGCTTTCCTGATTAAATTGTGGCTCACACAAAGACAGAAAAGTCTGCCTGTGCAGGGAAAAGGTTCATTCATCTCTTACAAAGCTGAGACATGGTGATTCAACCAGCTCCATAATGGCTTAATTTAGGGTTGCCATACATCTGTAATTTCCTGGACATAGCCAGCCATTGTCCATCAGAAACAGTGTCCGGGCGGAAATATGGGGGGATTTTCACTTTTTGAAATATGGCAACCCTAGCTTAATTTCTCAAGAAGACTTAATCTTAAGTCTTTCTTTAAAAAAGAAAAAGATACCAGTTTTACCAGCTTGTAAAGTCAAATTTGAAAAGACTTAAAACTGGAACGGATGGTGGAGGATTAATGGGAATTCTTAAACTTGGCTTTTAACTTCTGATATGAATCTATGGTGCAGCCACAATTGGAATAACGAGGGACAGTTGTGGATGCCTCACCTCAAAAGTGGTGTTGTAGTGTTTAGAGCTACAAACTTTTCATGCTGGTGACACCTTTTAGACATGCATCATTTTGTGACACAGTAATTCAATTTTACTAGCAAACCAGAGGTTAAAATAATCCCTTTCCAGCCCTGGGAGTAGCACAGGGAGCATTTGCGCAACACACCTACACACGGCAGCCGACACACTAATGTGTCAAAACACACAGTTTGGAAAGGTCTGAGTTGGGGTATGGACTAGGCCTGGGAGACCAGGATTCAAATCATCACTCAGCCATGAAGCTCAATGGGTGACCTAGGGCTAGTCAATGCCTCTCAGCCTAACTTACCTCACAGAACTGTGGGGATTAAATGAGGAGGGGGAGAACCATGTAGCGCTTTGAGCTCCTTGGAGAAAAATAGATGGAAAAGGTTCCAAAAAAGCAACCAAATTTATCAAGGGGTTGGAGCAACTTCCCTATGAAGAAAGTTGGACAGCGTTTGGGGCTTTCCTGTTTGGAAAAAAGGCAGGAAAGAAGGACATGAAGAAAGGTGTATCAAATCTGAGAAATTTGACAAAGAAATATTTTTCTCCCTCTGGAAACACTAGAAACTGGTAGTCATCCAATAGAGAGAGAGGAGAAGTGAAAGGGCACCCTGATTTGTGGTTTTGAGGTAAGACTATTGGAGAACTCCATTAGAAGTGGAAAGAGGAGTAGAAATTCCATGTTTGGAGGTCAGGAATGGAAATCATGCAAGCAAACACAAGTGGTATTTGCTACCGCTGCTTTTTTAAGTCCACAAATGTTATGTAAATAATTGTGTGTCATTGTCTGCATTGAAAATACATTCCACTGAAATGCATTGAAATTGATTACACAATTATTAACTATGCCAGCTTTGGCCATAGCCAATTGTGAGGCTAGCAGACTACTTTTAGAGGAAACAAACCGCAGTGAAACGGAACTGTGCTGATAGTGGTGAACACCCGATGCGATGAGAATAGCTGCTCCTCCTCACATCCCTAGTTGCAGGAATGAATTGACACAAGCTGCCTTCTGCAGAGTCATGCCATTGGTCCATCCAACTCAGTATTGTCCACCCTAACTGAAAATGACTCTCCAAGACCTCCCACAGACCTTCACCCCATCTCTTTGCTGCTAGAGGTTCCTAAACTGGAGAAGACAGGACAGAACAAGGTTCATACCTGTGTAAAGCACATGCCCCTCCACTAAGGCCTCATCTGAGCTTTACATTTAAGGCATCATTGTACCACTTTAAACTATCATGGCTTCCTCAAAGAATCTTGGGAACTGTAGTTTGCTTAGGATGCTGAAAGTTGCTAGGGGCTTCCTGTTCCCTTCAGGCAGCTAGCTCCATTTCCCAGAGTTTCCTGCGAAGATGGATTGATTGCTAAACCATTTCAGGAACTGAAGCTCTGGGAGAATGGGCATCAACACCTTTCAGCACCTACAGTAGTATAATTGGTATAATTGGGTGGAAGCCGTGACGGTTCAAAGTGGCATGATATTGCTTTTAATGCATAGTGCATATGGGGCCTGAGTGATGTTCTCCTCCCACTGGAGGAGGAGAGGTATCTGTAATGACAGGCAAGTCTATTTCTGGCTTCATTGCACATAGTGATCTCATGGGGCAATATAATATTAAATAATAAAATTTTATTTATATCCCGCCCTCCCCAGCCAAAGCCGGGCTCAGAGCCTCTTGCTTCTCTGTCCTGCCCCTCCCCTTTCATCTAGGCAGGTAGCCCTAGGCCAGGCTTCCTCAACCTCAGCCCTCCAGATGTTTTGAGACTACAGTTCCCATCATCCCTGACCACTGGTCCTGCTAGCTAGGGATCATGGGAGTTGTAGGCCAAAAACATCTGGAGGGCTGAGCTTGAGGAAGCCTGCCCTAAACCATTGGGGACCAGTGCCTTGGTTTGTTTCCTCACAGGGGCAGGGGGAAAGGAATGTGAACCAGTGCTGCATGCATTTGCTCTGCGTTGAGGTTATGTAGAATTATTTCCCCCTGTATTAATGATTATGATGGTGCTTTTGAAGACCAGTTGCTGGCAATCCCAAGTGGGAGACCTACTGTTTCATGCATGTCCTGCCTGTTGGCTTTGCTTTAGGATCATCTGGTTGGCCATGGGGGGGGGCAGGATTCCAGACTGGATAGGTTTGCCCCAACAAGGCTCTTCTTATGTCCATAGTGGCTGTATAGAACCTTCAGGATCAGAGGTGGTATATCTCTAAATACTGCTTGCTGTGAATCATAAGTGGGGAAAATGCTCCTTCAGTCTTGCTTTTGTACTTCCCAGAGCCATCAAGTTGGTCATTTTGTAAAGAACATGTTGGGTTAGATAAGCCTCTAGCCAGTCTGATCTAGAGGGATGCGGATGGCGCTGTGGGTTAAACCACAGAGCCTAGGACTTGCCGATCATAAGGTTGGCGGTTCAAATCCCCATGACGGGGTGAGCTCCCGTTGCTCGGTCCCTGCTCCTGCCAACCTAGCAGTTCGAAAGCACGTCAAAGTGCAAGTAGATAAATAGGTACCGCTCTGGCGGGAAGGTAAACGGCGTTTCCATGCGCTGCTCTGGTTCACCAGAAGCGGCTTAGTTATGCTGGCCACATGACCCGGAAGCTGTACGCCGGCTCCCTCAGCCAATAACGCGAGATGAGCGCCGCAACCCCAGAGTCAGCCACAACTGGACCTAATGGTCACTGGTCCCTTTACCTTTAGCCTGATCTAGCTGGAGGGATTTTTCTTAAATGAATAATTACTCACTAATTTCTCTTTAAGTGGGCTGTCTCCGGACTGTCAGCATTTCTGTGAGCGGAATTCAAGCATATCCAGGAAAATTTAGGTTTTGCTAAATTTGTTGCATATTTAGCAGATTACTTGCACTGCGGAAAGAGTGCTGGGGAGACCATACGTTCAGGAAACAACAAAGAAAAGCAAAAATAACTTTTGCTTGGCTTTAATTACAAAAACAAAAACTCCTCTTACATTAAATTACATTACATCTATAAGTATGACCCATCCATCAACCCATTCACCAGGGTACTGAGAGAGGTACATGCTGCTCTTTACATACTGTACCCAACTGCTGACACAGCTTAATTAACACAACTTAACAGCACCTGCTATACTGCTTTACAGCTCTAAAACTAGGTCATAATATTTGCTCTGGCCTTTAAAGAGATACACATCTTGTGAAACAATAATGAACCTTAATATTTTAATAACAATAATAATAATAATAATAATAATAATAATAATAATAATAATTTATTATTTGTACCCCGCCCATCTGGCTGGGTTTCCCCAGCCACTCTGGGCGGCTTCCATAGAAACCAAAAATACAGTAAAATATCACAGATTAAAAACTTCCCTGAACAGGGCTGCCTTAAGATGTCTTCTAAATGTCAGGTAGTTGTTTATCTCTTTGACATCTGGTGGGAGGGTGTTCCACAGGGCGGGCGCCACTACCGAGAAGGCCCTCTGCCTGGTTCCCTGTAGCTTTGCTTCTCGCAATGAGGGAACCGCCAGAAGGCCCTCGGCGCTGAAGCTCAGCATCCAGGCAGAATGATGGGGGTGGAGACGCTCCTTCAGGTATACTGGGCCGAGGCCGTTTAGGGCTTTAAAGGTCAACACCAGCACTTTGAATTGTGCTCGGAAACGTACTGGGAGCCAATGTAGGTCTTTCAAGACCGGTGTTATGTGGTCTCGGCGGCCACCCCCAGTCACCAGTCTAGCTGCCGCATCCTGCCATATCCTAGCACAACAAATCTGCACTTAAAAATAAACAGAGTTTTGTGGTTAAGAAAGTGACTGGAAATGTGTTGAAAATATGAATAAGATGAAGACTTGCATAAACAGCCTGTGAGGAACTTGGGGCGATCGCCTACTGTTTTATAACCACCCCACAAACAAATCAGAATGAATGTTCAATAATACCTTGCCTTCTGCCACATATGATTGTCTTAATCACAGCACATTCATGGTTCTGTGATTCTTCCTCACTGTTCCTGCATTATTGCCATCTAAAAGGCCTTTGCCCACCCCACAAATATTTGTGGTTTGAAAAGCTACTGGAATTTAGCAGGACACGCATCTTTTGCAAATGAAGTAGTGTGGGAGCCCCAAAACTTTTGTAGGTACAAATGTTATTGAATGCATGATCTTGTGCAACCACCACGATAACATCATGAGCATAAACCTTGCCGAATGTGCAATAAAAAGGATGTTGGGAGAGGCTCATAATCTAAACTGTATTTTAATACTTTGTTGGAAGCTGCCCAGAGTGGCTGGGGAAACCCAGCCAGATGGGCGGGGTATAAATAATAAATTATTATTATTATTATTATTATTATTATTTACTCCATGTAAGCCTTGGGCAAGCCAATATTGGCAAACGATCAATATATAAGTCCTATGGAGAAGCCCCAGTTATGTAAAAGCAAGCTACAGTCATACCTTGGAAGTCAAACGGAATCTGTTCCAGACATCTGTTCGACTTCCAAAGTGTTCAAAAACCAAAACACGGCTTCTGATTGGCTGCAGGAAGTTCCTGCAGCCAATCGGAAGCTGTGGAAACCCCATCGGATGTTCGGCTTCCAAAAGAACATTCAAAAACCAGAGCAGCCACTTCCGGGTTTCGATCGTTCGGGAGACAAAATGTTCAAGAACTAGGTTGTCTCTATATGTGGGGCTCTCAGGTCCTGCCTGTGGGGTTCCTGCTGGGATGTTGTTTGACCACTGTGAGAACAGGGCATACTGGACTAGACGGGCCACTGACCTGATCCAGCAGAGCTCTTTGTAATGTTCTTACATTCAGGTTTAGATTCATCAACCTACATACTGAGGAAGGGCTGCAGCTCCCAGGCTTATCCTTTCACTGCACATTTCTTAAACCTTTACCATATATTTGCACTGTGGTAGTGCTCCTGTTGTGACCCACCTTGTATCATGCCATAGCCAGTGATGCTGAAGACCAGTGATGTTGACAATACTGAGCTAGATGGAGCACTGGATGTAGCTGCGGCAAAGCATCTGCTCTCCATATAGAAGGTCCCTTCTTCCATCCTAGGACCTTCCCTGGTATTGACAATCTCCATTGTCAAGTTGCTACATAAGCATGCATAGATTAACTTAGAGATTGCTGGCATGAAGAAACAATTGCATCACACACAGGTGATTTAGCTCAGGTGCAAGGCTACATAGTGCGTTCAGGACAGATGCAAGGTCCAAACCACAGGCTTCTTGAGCTGCAGCTTGTTCTCAGTTGCATCAGCACTGCAAATGAGTTGCATCGTCCAACAACCATGTCATTAGGATCCCACAAGAGTCTTTGATTTTTTGCTACATTGTATGTTGGTGTAGGGGGTGGGAGGAAGAGAGAGCATTTCCTTACTGGCAGGCCTGCTTTTTGTACAATGACCCCCTGCTCTGGAACAGATAATGATGGGGTACCCAGACATCGTGGAAGTCAGATGCCTGAGGCTGCACACCCTAGACCAGCCACTGGTCCTGCTTGCTATGAATGATGGGAGTTGTAGTCAAAAAACATCCGGGGACCCAAGCATTGGCTGCTCTAGGGGAGGGATAGAAAACCTGCGACTCTCCAGATGTTGGACTCCAACTCCCATCAGACTCCAGATGGAAATCTTGGAGGCAGCCTCTGCCAGTCACTGTAGCTAGATGAACCATTGGTCACATTTGGTACAAAGCAACTTCCTATGTGTCATTTCAGAAATACTTTATGGAACCACCACAATAGTTTCAAAGATGTTCACACTGGGTAATCTGACATTGGTGATGTCCTGATTTTGCACCTGATCTCCTTGGTAGAAACCTATGTGTATGTTGCCTCTCTCCCTAATTCTGTGAAATATTAGCTTCCACCCCTTACCTTGCCTTTGCTGTATCACTTGCAGACAAACCACCAGAAATGGAGCAACAAAAAAAGACCGTCTCGATCCCCATGATGCCCCTGGCACAGCAGCCGGAACCATTTGCACCAGGCTATTCATCACCATACCCACAACAGTCATCATATAATCCGGAACCTTACGCCCAGGAACCCTATGCACCAGATCCATTCTGGCCAGAACCTTCTACTTCATCAGGTAGACAGCCATAAATGCACAAGTGGCAAATGTTATAGGATGCACAGAAACACACTCACAAGTGGGGAGCTTTAGTCCAAACTAAATTAGGAAGGTTGGCCACTTGCCAGCCCCACGTTCAATACTACTAACAGAAGCTATGACCCACACTCTATCCCAGGCACTAGATGGGTTATTCCCTTGTACGCAACTCCAGCAGCCAAGCTGGCGCCAAATGTATTGCTCTGCTTTCCTATGGACTACATCAGTGAGGCTGAGCAGGGGAGGTGACTTCACTGAAGGTGCATTCATTGTCTCTCGAGACAGATGCCAACAAGAACAGATGGGTTATATTGCAATTATTTAGCAGGGCTCTTCGTACGTTCTCAGCTGAAGCTGCCTGGGAAATCCTATGCAACTAAAGGTTCTTCTGCTTGTTTTTTCTTTTTCTTTTGGTGCAGGTGGCTATGACTATGGAAAAAGCGGTGATGGCTACGACTGTCCATCTCCACCACCATATTCATGTCAAGATGTCCCTTGTGATCAAGTAGGACCAAGTATGTGTTAGAAACCTGTAATTGGATTACTGCAATGTGCTGTGTGTGGGGATTTCCATGTGCTTGATCCGGAAACTGCAGTTAGTGCAAAATGCTGCAGCACAGTTGCTGACCAGATCAAGACCCCATCAGAATATAACACTCCTGGCTCAGTCATCTGCACTGGCTGCCATTTTTTTACTGAGCCAGATTCAAGGTGTTAGTATATATTTTTTAAAAAAACCTGTAACTGCTTGAGATCAGTTAACTTGAAGGCTCACCTTGTGCCATATATGCCCACTCAACCATTATAACCTGTGGAGCTGGGATTTCCTTTTAAAGCATCACTTGTAGGAAATTGAGCTTTGGCAGCTGGAACTCTCTGCCCATTGGCATTAGGCAGGTACCATCACTGTCCTCTTTTCAGTAACAGCTTAAAACCTGGGTAGGCAAACCTACCCAGACCGGTGTGTTGACATTTATATTGTTGTTTTAATGACCTTCTGCCCAGAGGTGAGTAACTGCTGGTCTGTGGGCAATATAGGGCTCCACACCCACCCCACAGCTTCTTTCCCTTGCCAAAGCCTCTACCCAGCACCACGTTTAGACTTGAAAACATCCACATCAAATGGGTGCCAATAGGAGGGTTTTTTGAAGTTATTATTTTTCTCCAAGCAAATCAAGGTAGCATAAACTGTCCCCCAACCATCCTCGTTATATCCTCACACCCACCCAGTGAAGTAGGTTTGGCTGAGAGACAGTAACTGGCCCAGTGAGCTTGATGTGAAGGAAAGAATTAAACCCTTCTAGCCCAACAACTCTGAGTGGCTGCTATATCACAAATGCCGTGGGGAGGTATTCTCGATGGATGGGCTGCAGCTGGGAAGTGATAGTGGAACAAAGGTAAATGCTCAGACAGAACAATTTCATTTTTGCAACTCCTAGTTGAAATGGACTCTGGTCCTCCGGTGGTGGTTGCGGGAATCTTCTCAAGCAAGCCAGCGTCCACCATCTGCCCTTGCTGCCGCCAGATCATTACGACGGAGGTCGTCTATCGTGTGGGAACTCTGACATACATAGCTTGCAGTGCTGTGTGTGTGATGGGGTGAGTGCTTTTTCTATACAAAGAGATGTACGTAAGCAGAATGTAATTCCGTAATTAAAGCCAGTGCTAGATGAAATGTGAATGTCCTCTTGCCCTGCAGAGAAGCTTGCCTGGTGCCAGCAAATAGGGGTGGGCATGGGCAAACAACTGCAACACACTGGGAGTCCTTGCTTGTCCTCCTGGAAAGACCCTGCTCTTTTGACACTAGGCACAGTCTGTCTGGGAATGCAGATACATATTTCTCCCATTGAAAGCAGGGAAGAGGCTGTCCCTCATGGTCCAAATAGATGGATGCTCTTGAATGCTAAAGAATACACTCCACATTTGGCATTTGGCAGTATTTGGGAAAACATAAGTAATCTTGCTTGAATTTGAAGCTTTGTGAGATTTTGTTCCTTGCAAAATGCATGCACATGCAACACACACAGAAGAGTGCCTCCTCCTTCAGAGGCAAGGCAGATATCAAAAAGGGGAGATTAAAGTTTCTGTCTCTGTGTAAGACAGCATCCTAACTTCCTAAAGGGAAGGACTACAGGTAAGGCACCTGCTTTGCATGCAGAAGATCTTAGGTTCAATCCCAAGCATCTCCCAAGTAGCACCACCTGAAATTCTGGAAAGCCACTGCCAGTTAGTGTAGACAATATTAACATGGATTGACCAATGGTTTGACTCAGAAGGCTGCTTCCTCTGTTCTTAAGAGGGCCTTTTCAGATCCTAGTGAGTCTTGCCTGGTATCCACCTAGTTATCTTGTAGGCACCAAGTCTTTTAAAGAGCATTCGATCGCTGAGATTTTCTCTCGTGTTTTATTAGTGTTACTGGGGTTATATTTTTAAAATTGTCAAACTATTGCAAACTGTCCTGAAATCAAATTTTTGATGAAGGGATAAAAACAAACCTCTTTAAAACTTTCTGCCCTCTCTCCCAGAGGCTGCATGGGCTGCTGCCTCATACCTTTCATGACGAATTGTTGCAAGGACGTAGACCATTACTGCCCTAAATGCAGGTACCACATCTACCGATACAAGAGACTATAGACGCCTGGAAGAAAAGCCATTTGAGGCCAACTCACAGGAAATCAAGCTGGAAGAGAATCTCCTTTCCTTCGGTGAATTCATGCATTGACTCTTGGGACTGTTCCGGGCGCAGAATTGCTCAGCAATTTCCCACTCCTGCCAGCTTATAATAATAATAATAATAATTTTTATTTATATCCCGCCCTCCCCAGCCGAAGCCGGGCTCAGAGCGGCTAACATCAAATTTTCAGTTAAGCTTGCCTGGAATGGGTTGCTGCAGTCTCTTTGCCCCTGCTGACCCCAGAAGGATGAAGCAGGAAGAGGCTGTTGGTAGGTTGGCCAACAGCTTGTGTGCGGAAGCTCTTGGCTTTTTGCCTGGGCTTTGGAATTGGGCATCCCTTGATTTCATACTTGCCTCGCATCCTTGTTAGCCTTATTCCCTGAACCAACCACAGCCATTCTTAGCCTGTGGCCTGGCTGATCATGCACAAACTCCCAATTCAGAAATTGCACAAGAACCTTTTGCACCTGTTTTCCCAAAGTTCCTTTTAGAACACACCTATTTCTGTGACTATAAGTTGTTTTGCAGCCCTCCAGGTCTCTCCATCTGCCCCTTGAGACTCTCCCCAGACCACACCTTTCACCAGCATTGCTTCATTCCCATTTTTTTGTTTGTTTGTTTGTTTGTTTTGCCTGTCTGGAATATGTCCTTGAAATCCTATATTTATTTGCCTGAATGGATCAGAGAGGGGTGTGGGTTTATAAAAATTAGACTACTGTACAAAGGTTACACTTGTTGATCTGCCAATTTTGCCTCTGGTCCTAGCCACTGCTGCCATGTGGCCCTTACAAGGTTGTCTCAGAAGGAATGTGGCCCTTCGGCTGAAAAGGGTCTGAGCTTAGCAAATCACTTTTATTTCATTCTCTCCCAGCCTGTTTGCATATTGGAAATGGATGGTGAAAGGTTTTAGGAAGTTTACAAGAAGTTGTGACTATTTATAGACCTCCTTACTTTGATGCACACTAAAGCTTTAGACCTTTGTGTAATTTATGCAGGGGAAATATTACATTGTTAAGAGAAATGTTTCTGGATCATCTTTTGTACCTCCGTGGCACTTTATTTTCCTGTGTGCAGCCTCGTACTTCACATTATTCAGAAGTTCTAAGAAACCATTAAAAAAAAATGGTATGTTGTTAAAATCAGTGGTGGTAATGGAGCTTTCCTCTGTAGCTCAAACCGACAAAGCAGCTTTGTCTTAATGCCTCACCCTTCCTGGAATATAGGGATTGCTATGCAGGACCTGCTCTGCTGGTCTGTTGTGCAGATTACTGATGCCATTCATGACATGCCTTGAAAAAAACCTAAAACGATGTACGACTGCAAAGTTAGAAGCAGCAGAAATTAACTTTGCATAAATCTGAACTTGCCAACATTTTTAACTATACAATACTTCCCCAAAAAACTGTGTGAAAAAATTATAGCAACAGGACTTGTTTTGACATGCAAAATAAAGTTTGTTGTTGTTGTTAGTCTGGCAGGAGCCAAAACTGGGAACATTATAAAAAAAGAAAAAGCAGAACAACCAGCTATCCAGACTTTCTATGCCAAATCTCTTTTGAGTATGACACAAGCTCTCCACTGAAAAGCATGGTCTACTACAGAACAACTTGCCCCTACCTGTTCATCTCATATGATAAAAAACAGGAAAATAGTTCAGAGATCTGATTAACAGGGTGTGGGTGTACTTACCTTATTCACAGGGGTACAAACTAGGGCAAGATTCTTGGTCCAAGTGACTGAGTTGGCTACTTTTTTAGCTTCAGCTAGCTAATAAATTAGCACACCCAAACCATCAACTCCTGTACTTTTGAGACATAAAATCCCACCAATTTCCTGCTGAACATCATGAACAAGAGAGTGTGCGCCATCTAGTGGCAATGCCACAGGTTTCAGTTTTCAATACAACTCATTATTTTTAGTACAGTGCGTACTGGATTTTTGCAGCACAATTGACAATATTGCAAGCTTAATTTTGGGGGGAAAGCATCATTGAACGGTCAGCTAAAGCCAGTATTTCAGGAATTCTAATAGAGGTAGCCCATCTTGACTGGCATAAATTATTCATGAAATTTCCTAAATTCTAATCAGATGATTTAAAAATCATTCAGTTTCAGCTGAGATGGCTCAGCTAGTAGAGCATGAGACTCTTAAACTCAGGGTCATGGGTTAGAGCCCCAAACTGAGCAAGATATTCCTGTATTGCAGGAGGGTTGGACAAGATTGCCCTCTTGGTCCCTTCCAATTTCGATTTTGTGGTTAACTCAGTTATTTTTCTAGTTCATTTGTGTGTGCATGTATAACTCTGGAGTACGATTCCGAAGATGCCCACTTTTCTTTTCTTTTTGCTACGTTTACCGTATTTTTTGCTCTATAAGACGCACCAGACCACAAGACGCTCCTAGTTTTGGAGGAGGAAAACAAGAAAAATAATATTCTGAATCTCAGAAGCCAGAACAGCAAGAGGGAGCACTGCGCATTGAAAGCAGCAATCCCTCTTGCTGTTCTGGCTTCTGGGATAGCTGTGCAGCCTGCATTCGCTCCATAAGACGCACACACATCTCCCCTTACTTTTTAGGAGGGAAAAAGTGAGTCTTATAGAGCAAAAAAATACAGTATATTTTTGCAGCCATCAGTAAGTCTGTTACCAGCGGATAAATTTTAGGTGCTCAAGAGGTGGAACCTTGCAGTTCAGGGTGGGTTAGGGAGAGATGATGTCACAGGCATAGGCAAACTCGGCCCTCCAGATGTTTTGGGACTACAACTCACATCATCCCTAGCTAACAGGACCCCTGGAGGGCCGAATTTGCCTATTCCTGGATTATGAGCTGCACCTAACCACATGTGGTTCTTCAGGACAGATAAAAGCCCTTCTGCATGCAGTGCAGTTAAAATATCGAACTCTCTCCCCAAAAAGGCAGTGATGGCCACCAAGCTTGACGACTTTAAAACAGGCTTCCTCAACCTCGGCCCTCCAGATGTTTTGAGACTACAATTCCCATCATCCCGGACCACTGGTCCTGCTAGCTAGGGATCATGGGAGTTGGTAGGCCAAAAACATCTGGAGGGCTGAGGTTGAGGAAGCCTGCTTTAAAGGAAGATTGGACAAATGGAAGGCTACCTACAGCTACTAGTCAAGATGGCTATGCACTGCATCCACAGAGCCAACAATGCTTCTGAATACCAGTTGCTGCAGCCCAAAGGAGGGAAGTGCTGCTGGGCTCATGTCCTTTGCAGGCTTCTCAGAGACATCTAGTTGGCCACTGTGAGAGCAGAATCATGGATTAAATGAGCCACTGGCCCGATTCAGAAAGCTCAGCTTATGTTCTTATTTGTTGCAAAAATCCTACCCCATGTTAAATCTCTGCATGCTGCATTTTTCATTTTGGTTGGCTCAATGTATAAAAGAGAATCTTTAACACCAGTGTCCCCTCCTCCACCCTAATCTAGTTTTGAACAAGTGCCCCCAAACAGGGTGTTTTATAGCAATTCCTAATGCACTGTTCCACCTGCATCGAAATATCCCATTATTCCTTTCTAAATATGAAATGATACTTCTTCCTAGGTTAGCACTGCCTGGCTGGATTTTTGGGGGGAGTGGGGTGGGGTTCAAAGCAAAGTTCATATAGGCACATCTTGATTTTTGATAAAGTGCTCAAATCTCTTTAAACACAACTGCTTTGGAACACACCTGCTAAGAGTCAAATACTAAACTGAACACTGATGGGAAAGTATTTCAATTCTTGGCAAATGAAAAGAGCATTAAAAAAAACCATCTTGGGCAGTTTTATGGATGCTTCATCTGGTAAGAAAAGGGGGCATTAACACACACCACAAGGGGTTTCTTTATGGTTCTGGAAATAACCACAGAAAAACCAAAGAAGAACGGCCTTGTAAAAGTTGGCAGTTTACCTACAGGGCTGTCTGTACTCTGAGATTAAGACCATGTTAATACAGAATTCATGTTCTAAGCAGTGCTTGTGGTCAGGTGTCCCCCTCCTTAGGAGACGTTTTGGAGATTTCACAGGTGTTGTCCACACACACTTCCAAGCCTATTTTACAACCTTAAGGGCTAGAAACCTGATTTATCTTGGGATAACTAAATTCTGAACCAATACAAATTTGCATGTTTCCACAAGTGCACCTATGGGCACTTCTATTAAATTTCTGTTGCAGAAGCTTGAATTTTAAACAACTGGTTATGAACAGAAGGACAACATTGCAAGGAGGACACAAAGCCTCTATGCTTGAGATGTTTCTGATACGTGGAATATCTTCGTCACAATTAAACATAATTTAATGCGGAAACACACATCTTTGTAAAGCTCCAAAATGTTGGAACTCTAACCACAGGGATGGGGGATCTCCAGCCAAAAGCAGCCTTCTGAACTTCTCATGACTCCCCCTCCCCTCCACAGGTCACAGACCTCACTGAAATGGGCTTTGACCTGTGATAATAGCTCTTTATTACTTTGATGGAGGGATGAGATGGAAGAGATTCTCTTTGTGTGTGTGTTAGAAACCTCTGGCTTTTGCATGGCTGGAAGGTAGCTTACTGTAGTAAAGGTAAAGGTAAAGGGACCCCTGACCGTTAAGTCCAGTCGTGGACAACCCTGGGGTTGCGGCGCTCATCTCGCTCTATAGGCTGAGGGAGCCGGCGTTTGTCCGCAGACAGGTTTTTTTTGGGTCATGTGGCCAGCATGACTAAGCCGCTTCTGGTGAACCAAAGCAGTGAACGGAAACGCCGTTTGCCTTCCCGCCGGAGTGGTACCTATTTATCTGCTTGCACTTTGATGTGCTTTTGAACTGCTAGGTTGGCAGGAGCAGGGACCGAGAAACGGGAGCTCACCCCGTCGCGGGGATTCGAACCGCCGACCTTCTGATCGGCAAGCCCTAGGCTCTGTACAAAGTTTAAATCAAATCTATTGCTCCATTCAATAAGTGGTGAATGGAAAATAGTTCCCCACCCCCCTGCTCTGCCATGACCGTTTCAAGACTCTCACAGTCCAGGAAGTGGTGTCAGTTGAGGCACAGCATGGACACAGACCTACTGCTGTCCCTGAAGAGGACTGGATAGGTCTGAACTGCACATAGTGTTACATACGCATGAAGCTCCCAACATGTACATGGGAACCTAGAGCGAACATTCTTCCTTTTCTTCTTCTTCTTCTTTTTAAAAAAAGATCAGGGAAATAAGAGTGCCTCTTGAAAAGAAATACCGAACAAAAGAAAAAAACCCCATAAATACCAGTTTTCAAATCCATGGCCAGGGGCACAGAGATGTGATAAAGAAGTCAAGCCCTTCATATGGCATAAATCGTATGTGGGTGGGAGAATTGCAAAAGAAAAAGAGGCGCTCAGAAAATATACCACATAAATAATGGTGCAAACCAGTGGTGCAGATGTGGAGAACATCTGGCCAATGTGGCCCACAATGCAATTTACCCCAAATGGCATCCGCTTGTCATATGTGACATCTGGAATGGGGTTGGGAAAGCTGCTTTCTGCAGGGATTGACTGTGCAACTGAGTTTCCCAACGGAGTTCCATGCTTGATGTCTGGAAGCCCCCAGCACAGGGCTCGAAAAGTCCCTTTGCACTGCAGTTCCCAGGCACCTAGTCCACTGCCATAAGATGACTGGCAGCTGTACTGTACCATCTGCTTGTCAAAACTGGCTCACAGAGGTGGGGACCAAAAAGGATCTGGCCCCTGGGGTGAAAAAAAAGCCTCCCCACCACTCCTGCTGTAAAACCTGGGCAGTGGAAAGCATTCCATACGCCGCTCCCACCCCAAAGCCATTGAACTATCAAGACAGAGAGAGAAGGCAAGGCAGAAGGAAGTCCCTTTCGATGTGTGCTGGCAGGAAGGCGGTACAGTGGTACCTCGGGTTAAGTACTTAATTCATTCCGGAGGTCTGTACTCAACCTGAAACTGTTCTTAACCTGAAGAACCACTTTAGCTAATGGGGCCTCTTGCTGCTGCTGCGCCACCGGAGCACGATTTCTGTTCTCATCCAGAAGCAAAGTTCTTAACCTGAAGCACTATTTCTGGGTTAGCGGAGTCTGTAACCTGAAGCATATGTAACCTGAGGTACCACTGTACTGAGAAAAGGAATTACGAGTTGATAGTGCCAGGTGCATAAACTAGTGTGGGAGTGCCTCCTCTGATCCAGATGTTTAGGGGAGAAAGAGAGCTGTAGTGGGGCACCCCTGCAGGGCTGGCCAGTTTGTGGAAATGGGGACAGAAGCCCAGAGAGTGGAGGGCAGCTTTGGCATCCTCTCAAACTGGGAAGCAGGTCTACTAGTTGATGCTGTCTGCGAGTGCTGCCTAGCACAGCATCAGCAATCAGCTGTCATTCCTGTATTGCAGGGGGCTGTACTAGATGACCTTGGCGTCCCTTCCAACTGTACAATTCTATGAGCCACCGTGGAAATGTGTTTAGAGGGCAAAGAAAGCAGGTGGAATCAGTGGAAATGGCACCACAACAGGATTAAGTTCTCAGTATGAATGTGGTTAACTGACCAGTGTTCCCACCGAGTTTCTGGAATTTACCCAAGTGCAGTTTGAACTACTTGGCTGCAGAGGTTTGACAGTCCTCTATGAATTTCACCACCGCATCTCTTTCGTGCTACAGACACAGCTCTGCATAGTCATTTTATTGCCTATCAGTATGAACCCAGAAACGGCAATGCCTCTGGAGCAGTGCCTTTCATTTTGAGGATTAGATAACTGATGCTGCTCAAAGTTCAAATATGATAAATGGATGACACTTACTCTTATCCCTAAATTAAGGCCAGATTTCAAATGTGGATTAACTGGCAAGATAAAAATAGAAGATTCTGTCTAAACAAAACCTTCAGAAAACTTGCAAGGAGAGTGGAAATCTTCTTCAACGTCCAGGCCATCACTCACTGAAGTAAAATTTTATAGAAAATTTTTATTCAACATACAACATTTTTTTCCAGCAAAAAAAGAAAAAAAAGGCAATATACAGGAAGAATTGTTGCACACCGCAGCTACAGAAACAAAATAAAATATTGGCAGGAGGGAATGGAGGAGGGGGGAAGAAGAGAAAGAATGAGAAATAATCTTGGGCGGGGGAGTGTAAATTGCTGCTTCTATATTTTTACCGCACTCAAAAACTTAGGAGAGACACATGGGGCTGCTTGTAGCTCCAAACTAAAATGGAAAAGCAGTCTGGGGACTGAAATAAAACTACACACAATGAATATTGACATCTGTGAAATTCACTTGCAGACTCACCCTGCCCCCCAGCCGCCCCCCAAAGGAACCCCAAATGTTAAATTGTACATGTTCCTCTGTTAAATATACAATTTGTTTTCTTCCCCCTCCCAAGCCCCACCCCCGTATTTTTTACAAAGTCAACAGCTTACTAAATGCTAGTGAACATGCCCTCAGTGCTAAAAGGCTATTTTGTTTTGTCTTCCTATGTCTTCCCAGATTAACTAAATTAATTATAAAACAGATGCCTTTTCCTTCTTCAGATTCTCTGGGAAGTTGGTACTATGCTTGTAAATCTCACTGCAACCAAGGGATTTTACTCTCAAACCGTTTCTAAAGGGATACAAATACACTGCACCTCCTTCGGGGGGGTTCCCCAACTTCTTCCTTGGCAAAAGGTGATGTGAGAAAAACAAATTTGACTCAAAATCCATTTATTTATAATAATAATAATATTATAATAATAAAAAGAGAAATTCTAGGCTGATTGAAGAGACAAAATCTCCCCCCCCTCGAATAAGTGCCAACAGTGTACACAATGAAGTAGAGATTGCTATTTATTGATGATGTGAGTTTCTCTTTGCATTTACAAATGCACAAAAATGTCATTTAAAGTATATAACTGAAGGAAAGAAATTGGGCGTGAGCCTAACCATAGCGCCAACTAGCTGCAGTGATGGCAGGTACCACGCATTTGGGAAGTGGGGGAGGAAGGAGGGGAGGGCAAGGGAGGGGGAGGTCAGCCAGAAAAGGCTGTCCAGTTAACGTACTACAGACAATATTTCGCCAATGTCAACTGCTCTAACTCAACCCTTTCCTTCTTATGCTGACAATCTCGCTTTGTTTACATTTCCCATAAAAACTCTCATTGGCACCCAAGCTTTTATAAAACACCTTCATTTTTGCTCAAAAAGAAAAAAAGAAAAGAAAGGGCAGTCAATAATAGATACAGAGAAGCCAAACTGAACAGCCTCAAAATAAAATTAATAAATCAGCAGCAAATCCTCTTGCTGGAGACTTCCGATCCGAGTGCACGTGTACCAAAAGTCCTACAGTTGTTAAAAAGGTGCGCACACACACACACGCACACACGCACGCACACACACACACACATTGTTGCCCCTTTTGCCTCGAACAAACTGGAGAGGGTAAGTCAGTTATGGATTTTAATAGCTTTTTCAAGGTACGTGTAGCGACTTCTCTTTGGGGCTTTGTTGAAATGGTCAAGCCCTAGCCATGGCCTGGGATGAGACATGTTGCCTGGAAGGGAAGAAGAAGAACAAAGAAGAAAGAAGCGAGAAAGAGGGAGAGGGAGAGACAGAATGAACACACTTTCAGATTGTTTTGTACAAAATTTGGAATGTCAAGAACTGAGGGTGGCATTCAGTGAGTGGTTCTGTCAGTGAGAAGAACTTCCCCTCCCTGTCCTCTCTCCCTGTGAATGTCCTCCCTGATTCAGCTCTGCCAGCAAGGGGGGAACCCCCAGAACAGATTTAGGGGGCCCATGGGAAGAAGAGAGAGAGGGGAAGTTCTGTTGCACAGCCAAGTCCTAGCACTAATGGAACAACTTCACTGGATGCTGCACTGAGTAAAGTTGTCACTCTAACACAGGCTTCCATGACAAAACATATGCTAATATACGGAGTTGGTGGGCTGTGTTCACCTTGGAGGGCAAGACATTGAGCAGGTGAGAGAATAAATGCCACACATGGAAGTCTGCCCCATTGATCTTCAAGGAGCCAAAAAACCATAAACCCCTCCTAGAAGCAAAGTAAATAAATGGACACTCACCAGGTTGGGGCTCAAAATCTTTCAAGTTCACTTCATATTCATCTTCATTTAGATACTGGTGTCGACCCATCATTACAATGGCAAACTTAAACTTCAGAAAGAACAAATAAATAAATAAAAACGTCAGAGCTCAAATGCTAATTTCTCAAGGAGTATTGTTAAGAAAATTATTTTCGTAGACTTCAAAGCCTCCCAGTCTTATGCTTGCATTTTCTTGGCTCTCATCTCTCAACCCAGTCTCCCTTGGAAGGTGGTGGACTCTTTTTCATTGGAGGTTTTTAAGCAGAGTTTGGTGGCCCTCCGTCATGGATGCTTTAGCAGAGATTCCTGCATTGCAGGGGGTTGGACTAGAATCCAACACTTGAGTCCCTTCGAAATCTGTGATTCTAACAAACAGCATGGAAACAGGCCAAAGCTAGTGTTCCCATTTAGTTGTTTACTATCAGCACCCCCCCACACACACACCGTAGACAAGTGCCAATTCCCAAGGTGGGCAACCTGGCGACCTCCACTAGCCATGCTGGCAGCTGGGGCTGACAGCAGCTGGAATCCAACAACATCTGGAGGGCACAGGAGGTTCAGCTGTGCTGGGCTTCTTGCCTTTCCCATTGCCAGGACAGTAAAATTTGATCTCCTATTACATTACAAGCAGGATCCCACTATCCTAGCACCAGTGGAGATGGCCCCCTGGTGTTGCCCCTCCTTGTGCCACCATGACTGAGGTGGCTGTCAACTGACTCACACTTTACCTTACCTCGCAGTGCCACTGCGTTTCCTAGCGGAGCCCAGTGGCTGCTTGGATTGAGGCATTCACTATCTTTAATGTCCCGTAATACAATGTCGTGGAGCCCCCCCGGCAGAATTATGGGGAATTAAGATAGAGGTGATACAGGCCTGATGGGAAGTGTTTGGTGGGGTTAATTTTGGAGGGGGCTCGCTCAGTGGTTCTCACCATCTGTGCAGGGACTGGCAGGGGGTGGGGAGGCCGGGCTCTACCAGCTATTGATATATGCAAGATATAATAATGATGATGATGATAATACTACAGTCATACGATGGAAGTCGAATGGAATCCGTTCCAGAATTCTGTTTGATTTCCAAAATGTTTGGAAACCAAACTCGGCTTCTGATTGGCTGAAGGAAGCTCCTGCAACCAATCGGAAGCCCTGTTGGATGTTCGGCTTCCAAAAATAGTTCGCAAACTGGAACACTCACTTCCGGGTTTGCGGTGTTCGGGAGCCAAAATGTTTGAGAACTAAGCTGTTTGAAAACCAAGGTACAACTGTAGTAGTAGTAGTAATAATAATAATACAGTGGTATCTCGGGTTAAGTACTGAATTCGTTCCGCTGGTCTGTTCTTAACCTGAAGCACCACTTTAGCTAATGGGGTCTCCCGCTGCTGCCGCACCACCACTGCAAAATTTCTGTTCTCATCCTGAAGCAAAGTTCTTAACCCGAGGTACTATTTCTGGGTTAGTGGAGTCTGTAACCTGAAGCGTATGTAACCTGAAGCATATGTAACCCGAGGTACCACTGTAATAATAATAATAATAATAATAATAATACCCTGCCCATCTGGCTAGGTTTCCCCAGTCACTCTGGGTGGCTTCCAGCACAATATAAAAACATAATAAAATGTCAAACATTAACAACTTCCACAAAGGTGGTTCCAGTACACAGATGCTGATGCCAGACCGGGCAGGACTTCCTAAAATCCCACCCTCAAATCGCAGAGCATCAAAATATGCAGAGAGCGACTTCCTGTGTGGGGACGCAGGGGGAAGAGGAGCACTTGCAGAATTGTAAGAGACATTCATGTTGGCAGGGCTAAAAGACGCAGGTCCCTTCAGAAGCTATGCTATGCTGAGCAAAATCTTCCTGAGTGATCTGCTGAGGCAATACCTTTTCAAATTCCTTCTCCTGGATGTCCAGCACTGTCTGAATCCTCTTCATCACCTCTCGAAAGTGTTCACCCTAGGCAGAAAAGCACAACCCCAGAAGTGCAAAAAAATCAATGCCCAAGTTCTGAAACCTATGTGGCTAAAGATGCCACTGAACATGTACTAAAATGTACTTAGCCAAACTTGGGTATCAGCGAACCTCTAAATACAGACAAAAGGAACTAGATGACCAATTTATGTAAGGCCACCCAAATCACAGAAGCTGAATAAAATATGCATACAAGAAACAATGACCGCAGGTGACTATTGCTACTCCTGGATAATCCACGATATAATGCAACAAACTTTCCCTTCTAGCAACACCAGTCTTCTCCAATGTGGTGCCCTGCAGCAAACCAGGATGGCACAACATTGGTGAAGGCTACCAGAAACCACCTGTGTTGCAATAGTACATAGTTAAGAGAAACAGGACTCTCACCTGGTGTATCCTTAGCAAGAAAGGAGTGCCAAACGTCCCAAAAACCTCTTTCTGGAAATGAGCCACTGTGATGAGCATCTCATTCTCCTTATCTAGATCTACCTGGTCCAGGGGGATTTCCTGCATTCAAAGACAGCAGCACACATTGCGCATCAGGCAGATGTACCACCAGAAACAAAAGAAGACACAACACCAGAAATGGAAACTGAGTTTTTAAAAAATGAAACTCGTGAAATAATGAAAGCCACAGCAGCAGCACAACTTATTCAATATTCTCTTTGTGTCTAGAGATGAATTGGGCCCTGATAAGGAGACTTCCTGGTTCCTCTTCATTGGGGTAGGAAGAAGTAAGCCCCACCCACCTGCAACTTAGCTGGGGAAGGTTGCTGCAAATGCTAATGAGGTAGAATGGCCACCATCCATTGTTGCTATTTATTTGTTTTTTTTATTTAGAAAGATTTATAAAATGCTTAACCAAACGTGGTGTTAACATAATGAAATTGGGCACAAAACACAGCTAAAATAAAATAAAATTTAAAACAGAGACAGAGAGAGAGAGAGAGAAAATGGAGCAGAAATTTAAAAATGGACATAGTTAACTAAACTAACTTAGACTCCTGCTCTAGACACATTATGTCTGCCAATGGCCTCAATAACGAAAACTTGGAGCTGTTAACTATGATAGTTCAAATATTCACATTTCACACCACACTGACCTCTATTCGAAACGTTCGACTTGTTGCTGGTGATAAACACTCTAACAATTCATCTTCCTGATGGACACCAATTATTTTGTAACTTACAATTTCTAGCAGCCTTAACAAGAGAAGAGAAATAGATTAAGTAAAAACACTAAGTATTAGGGTTAGTGGTCTATATAAACCAACAGTGTCATGGGACAAACTTCCTTTTGCACTGACTGGGCTTGTGCAAAAGCAGCTCCCAGCAGATGGTACCCAATGTCTTAAGTGGAGTAGACATCGAGTTCTGCTGAGCTAATTATCTGGCCCTCCAGATGTTGCTAAACAACATCTCCCATCAACCCCTGCCATCTTCGGTCTCAAGACCGATGGGAGTTGTAGTCCAACAACATATGGAGGACCAAAAGTTTCCCACTTCTTTAGGGAGTTTTGGTTAATGTCTGATGCTGGAGATACTTTATTTGACATTTGGAATGTTATTAGGTGAACTGTGGAAGAATTCATTCAAGAATATGGGAAAGCATTCCAGGTTTACAACAAAATAAAGATTCTGTTTTGTAAAGATGTTTAGGTACACCAGTGCTTTTTTCTAAAAAAAAATGTTTAGGAGTACTCTCATTTCCCTACTCATATTGAAATAATGTCCCTCAATGAGGCCAAACTTAGATTCACAAAATGTTTAGGGGTATGCGTACCCCTGCATCCCCCCCCAAAAAAGCACTGAGGTACACACATAAGCCTTACTTATGTGTACAGCAGTCGCAAAGGGAAAAGGGATTATGGCTGGCCTTCTCACCCAGTCCATACATTGCAACCCTGTGCTGTTCCTGCCCTCCCCTCGTCCAAAGAACTCCCTATATGCACAAGCAGGTAACTGGTGTCCAGGGCAGGACTAGTGCAGCGATCTGTTTGGAGCAGGCTGAGAAGTGTAGCTTCTTTATTGAACTACCTTCATAAGAGTGACATTCATTAAGGGCTACCCACACATCCCTCTCAAGAAGTGATATGAAAGTAAATGAACAAGCACTTGCCTTAATTTCCCTGAACCTCTCTCAGCAAGTTCTACAGCTTTTTTACATTCGTCTAATAAGTCCCGTACACACCCATGCTTGTCTGGATATAGTGTTATTTCCTAAACAAACATTAAAGGGGGGGAGAGAGAAGGGAATCAGTCAAGAAATAAAATGCTATGACAAACATGAGGAAATGAAGCATAGAACATAAAAAGTTTCAACATGACTTTCAACATGGGGCTTGCAACATAGGCAACTTCCCTTCAAAACACGTACAGCTTGTCTATTAATTACACCCTTTATGCGATACATAATGGACAAATTGCAACCCTGTTGTGCAATTACTCAGGTAGAAGTTCACATAGGGAAACCACAATTTTATGGCACTGAGTAATGACATGAAAGATCAATACTTTAGACAGGAAAAAACTCATTTTCAGTTTTGGAAATATCAAGGCATTGTATTTTTGCATTATGAGAAAAAGGGATGTCAGAATTGAAATTTTGTAACTTACCAATATTTTGCAATCACTGCCTCACAGGAAACAATTGTGGGGCAAATTTTAATCTGCGAATGCATTTAAACTAATCGTCCAATCCTACTTCTTTGATTGCAGGCTAGGTTCGATATTTTCAAGGAAAAACAACTTACCTCTTCTCTAAACTGGCTGTTTAACCATATGCACTTAAAACTTCTCCTGTTTTCAAAGTCTGTGATTTTCATTTTAAGCTAGGGAGGAGAGAGGGGGGAAAGAAATGTTGTCATTATGCAGATGAACCAAAGAATCTTCCTCCATATATGGACAAGGAAGTCTCCTACCTGCTGATAGTAAAGTTTCTTGGGCTGTCTAGGCTTGAAGAACTGCAGGAGATCTCTTAAAGTTCCATCATAATTATGTCTAAGAGGGTTACCTGGGCCATCTCTATAACTGAACAAGGAAGCCAGGAAAGAAGATTTTTGAAACACAAAGTTAGTTCGGTGCTCACAATCTGTACAGTTGGGCGACACAACTGAGAAAACCCCTACCCTACCCCAGTCACTATCCACTAAACTTTAGATAGCCATAAGGCCCAGAAGAGGGCCTCCAATGAGAAACGAAGGGCTTAGGCAGGCTCATATTCATCTGCAGAGAATTTCTTGGACCATCATCTTAAGATTGACATATTACTGTCAGTGCTGCTACTATAACTTTTACCATATTGACTATAAAACTTGAGGAAGAGTTAAAAGCTGCATCACTGTTTTGTGTTTTAATTGATGCAATTATGATACTGTGCTTTGTCCCAAGCTTTTAGTCTGTGCAAGGTTCCCTCTCATTATGTTCTTTCTATATATGACAAAACTGGGAGATTTGGGGAAGAGGGCACAGAACTAGGTTACTCTAGGGCAGTGTTTCCTAAATTTTTCTCAACCATGCCCCCCTTCCGAACTTTTTCCCTTCCTGTGCCCCACCACCACCATCCTACCAGAAAGGAATTGCCTCTGGAAAATAGAGACACTTGGAGGGTCTGCAAAAGGCGCACAGGGATTTCTGTATATATGGGAGAATTTTAAAAAGCAAGTGGTCCTCACTAACCTAGTGCAAAATGATCTTGTCATCTGGAGGAGCCCTGGCTCCTTTACCTGGAAGTAAGGAGCGCTGCAACTCCAGAGTCGGTCATGACTGGACCTAATGGTCAGGGGTCCCTTTACCTTTACCTGTTAAGGCCCACTGAACTCAGTGCAGCTTTCTTCTGAGTAAAAAGGGAACCCTGACCGTTAGGTCTAGTCGTGGCCGACTCTGGGGTTGTGGCACTCATCTCGCTTTACTGGCCGAGGGAGCCGGCGTACAGCTTCCGGGTCATGTGGCTAAGCTAAGCATGACTAAGCCGCTTCTGTCAAACCAGAGCAGTGTACGGAAACGCCGTTTACTTTCCCGCTGGAGTGGTACCTATTTATCTACTTGCACTTTGACATGCTTTCGAACTGCTAGGTTGGCAGGAGCAGGGACCGAGCAATGGGAGCTCACCCCATCGCGGGGATTCGAACCGCCAGCCTTCTGATCGGCAAGTCCTAGGCTCTGTGGTTTAACCCACAGCGCCACCCACGTCCCTTTCTTCTGAGTAGGCACTTAGTTATTTACTAGATGAAAGTCAGCAGTACCAGACGACCCTGCTTGGCTAGGCGCTGGGGTGGATTTCACCCCGCGCCTTGCAGAGCCAGGCAGATGCTGCCGACGGGCCCTGCACCCCTCGGCAGCATCCAAAGGCCCTGATCTGCTAGGCACTGGGGTGGATTGAACCCCGCGCCTTATGGAGTCACGCACAGGCTGCCAACTAGCACAGCACTGCACTGGCGGCAGCTACAAGCAGTGGTCAAAAACAGGAGCTTCAGCGATTCCCCTCTTACACTAGAAATAAACCAGGACACGCATGTGGCAAAAAGAAGTGCTAGACTGCCCTCTAGTGGGTTGCCCCCTTAGCTGCTTGTGATTGGCCAAGCAGATAGCCAGCCAATCAGGATTTTTTTAATTTAAAAAATGATCCCCCCCCCCTTTCTTCTCACTTCCCTCTGTGGCCTCAAGTTGAAGTAGCTTCAAGTTAAGTATTTTCTGGTTGAGCTCCGCGACGACCCAGAAGTAACGGAGCATGTTATTTCCGGGTTTCACCTCTCATGCATGCGCAGACGCTCAAAAATGGCATCGTGTGCATGCGCAGAAGCGGTGAAACGCGACCCGCGCAGGCGCGTGTTACGTTTACTTCAGGATGCGAACGGGGCTCCAGAACGGATCCCGTTCATATCCAGAGGTACCACTGTACTGTGCTAAAACTGCATAAAAGGCACTACAGCTGAAATATTAATTCAGATGATTGCTTCTTACCCTTGGGACTTGAAAAACTGTAGTAGCATAGGGTCTGTATTCAGCCTTTGGGCGACTGTCTTTGCAACCTAGGAAAATAAATGTTTTAAAAAATCAGAATAGAAAGAAGCCCAGTATTTGGTAAAGGTAAGACAGTGAATTTGAGATTACACTCGGAACAGTCCACAATGCTTAGGTTTTCTCACTTTTGTCTGAAAGATACTTGCTGCTAATGAGCATTGGAGCCCTTTTAGTACAAGACGGGGCTCATGGTTTGCTTTAATTTTAAGTAAGAACAAAGTTACAGTACACGTGCAGGAGAGAACAAAGTGGAAGAGGTGACTATAACATGTTAAGTTGGAGAAGGGTGGTGCACTGTCAGAATACCCCACCTGGTACACTGAGCTAAATGAAGCAACGGTCTGGCCTGGTTTAAAGCAAGTTTCATATGTCTCATTCCAGAAATATTTTATGTGACTACCACAATCTGGAATAAAGGGGCATTATTTTCAAAGACGTTCGCCAATCTGATGGTTTTGCACCTAATTTCATTGATGGAAATGTAAGGGAGTATATTTAATACAGTAAACCCGCAACTTACGCACATTTCACTTATGCACATTCAGCTTTATGCGCTCGGCAAAAAAAAAAGTGTGTGTGTGTGTGTATGGCAGAAAAGAGGCAGAAAGAAGGGAGGCCTCCAGGAAAAAAGGCTTTGGCAATCCCACCCACTAGGGAACCCAATGTTTTTTGACTATACACGGTTTTAGCTTTAGGCAAGTTCCCCAAAGATAACCCCTGTGTAAGTTGGGGGCTTACTGTACCTGAAAATAATTCATTCTGTTGGATAATGTGACAACAAAACCGGGATCATTGGGGATGGTCTTGTCACAGAAGATGACATCAACTCGGTGGTAAAGGTCTCTGAAGTACTCTTTTGCTGTTGGTAGCTCACTGCTATCGTTCTCAGGGTCATCCCTGTTAACAAAAAAGATCGCAGCTGGTTTAACTACACAAAGGTTGTTTAAAAGCTCAGATGACGCAGGAAGTCTTTAAAACCTTGAAGCTTTTTGCATGGCCTTCAGAAATAATCCAAAGCAGCTGAATAGATCTGGGCTGCATAAAGGGAGTTTCTAGACAAAGCACAGACAGGTCTTTTGGGGCCATTCCCCAGCCCTGCCTGGGGGTTCCATAAACTCATCCCCAGTGTCCTTTACCTATTATTCAGAATAGCTGTTTACACAACCCACTAAGGAAGATAATAACACAATAACATTCAAACCCATAACAATGAATCGCACATTTATTAAAAATCCAGTTTGAAACTATTTAGTTTAATTAATTCAACAAAATTTATGAACTTGATCCAGAGATGATATTGCATGAAAAGCATCTTTACACATTCTTACTAATGAAAACGTAAGTGTGAAGAAAATTAGCTTAAAATATTTATATATAACCTCTTACCAAATATGTACAAACCTCCACCTACTGTAACTAATTTATAGGAAAATCAATAGCTATTACCAATAATTGGCCAACTTGTGACTTGTGACAACTCAGAATAATAAATGCAAACAAACAAACATGACCAAAGGAAATCATTTTGAATGCGATTAAGAGCAGCAAGTTTAAGCATGAAGCTGTTTGCTCTAGGCTCTAGACTGGTCAATCATAAATGAACAATCCACACACTTGGAGGGGCCCAACTTCAACACCCCCTGCTGCCCCCCATGACTCTTAGTGCCCCCCTCAGGTAATCCCACCGCCTGCCTGGGGAAAGACCTGCCCACTTTGGGAACCACTGATCTATATGAACATACATGAGCCTATTCCTCTGGGAAACAGGGGGTTGACACAGTGCTCCCTCCAAATAAACCATTTATGGTGAAAATTACATCATCTATGTGACAAATGAAAACAGAGTCTTTGTAGGTTCAAACCAGCATTGGGAACCTTATGTCAAGGATTGCATTCCACAAACCAGGGCGAGTGAGGCCAGAATCAGCAGTGGGTAGTACTGGAGCTGATGGTGAGCCACCTATTTTCCTTTTTTGCTACCCGTTTCTCTCCCCACTTTATTCTCTTCCATCTTTCTTCCAGCTGCCCCCAAACCTGCCAAAGCCACGCTCCCCTGCCCTGAACACAACAATAATCAAATTTGCCTGGGAGATTTCTCCACTTTAGCCTATCTAGGACAGGTAGGTGCAGGGACAAGGAGGGGTTGGTAGTTCCTGACCACTGGTTCAAGCTATCAAGCAGACTTCTATACCGATTCTATTAAAAAAAAAGCACTGCAAAGCTTGTGTGGTGAATGATTGTAGTAAGCCTCAGTGATAACCTACTTTTGAAACACAATGATGTCACCATCCATGAGTTCATCAAGAGCTTTGTCAAGGGAAACATCATAGTCCTGAATTCTCTCCGTTAAATTCGGCTTAACTTCCTGAGGCAAAAAGGAAAGAGATATCACAAGACAGTTATCATCAAGGAGGAACAAATTTCCTTCCAATCCAAATTTTAAAATGTTGTGTTGTTTCCATTCATACATACACAGTGTACTGTGACAGCAGCCACAAGGAGAGGTATCAATAGTACACACACCAAACACTCCAAAGACAAAGTGCAGACAATGACATCTCAGCTTCATAAGCCAAAACATGAAGCATCATTTTGATTACACACAGACCTTTTACACAAGAGAAGCAGCAAACCAGGAAGGTTCTTTAATTTCAATGGGTCTACTCTGAGCAGTAGGCGGGATTCACCTAATGATGTTTATAATAGAGCAACACTGGATTCCACAAAGTATTTTTAAGCTGGGTGAAATTTATTATTCAAATGGTGTATTTTAGGGGGGGTATAATCACATTATTGACACTAGGGAACAATTTTGTAACAGTCTGAAACTGTGTAGTTTTTGTTAGATGTGAGCTTTTCATTTTAAAGAAAGTAATTTTACAGAAATTCAATTTTTCAAGAAATTCCTTAGTTCAGGTTGCATTGTGTCTATCTTGCAATCATGGAATTTTGAGACTCCTTTGTTGTAATGATACACAGTACTTCAGCAAAAGTTTCTAAACGAACAAGCATAACATTGTGACCTAGCTTAAGGAATAGTAAGTGATTCAAACCTCATAGAGGATAAGATTAGATTCTTGGGGAAATCCTGCTCTTTCACACATAACCGGCAGCAAGTCACCTTTAAGGAAAAGAAAAGAAAGAGTATTTACCATTTCCTACTCCAAATTTGGGAGGGGACAGACATTTCTTACAACATCCTGCTTTTTAAACATTCCATCTTCAAGTTTATAACACAACAAAGATAAAATGATGAAGCTACTCAACCAGCTGAGTTCAGGTAGGCTGTAGCACTAACATATGTAGTTTCACAGCATTTTGCAACTATAACCTTGCGGACTTACGTATTTTGCAGGATATAGGTGTGTAGATATGTCCACAATAATTCAAACTCCGTGTCTTTGGATCATACATCTTCAGGAACAGCATTACATCATCTACAAATTGAGAAACAAAAGTTTGTAGCAGAAGAAAGCCTCCGTTTGAGGACAAGTTACTTTTGTGCAGGTTAAGGAACACTTTCTTTAAATCAAGAAGAGGGGAAATGGTATGGATACTTCGTTATCCAATGAAGTAGTTCCATTAGCACAGGGGTGGACAACCTCTAGCCCAAGGGCCAAATATGGTCCTTCAGGCCCCACCCCTCACTGGTTTTACTTTTCAGCCAAAATGGTTTGCCCAGTTGGAATGAGTCCTTAAACTCTGATAATACCATTTTTCTCTGAATGGACGATAGAGAGGGGTGTGTACCTGCAGAAATGAACCTACTGTACACAAAGGTAAAATTTACATTCACTCTTCCACCCAGGTGCACCAGGCCCATTGGCAGACCAATTCTGCGTTACAAAGACGTCTGCAAATATGACATGAAGGCTGGCAATATCTACCCTGCCGTGTGGGAATCCCTTGGAGATGACTGCAGACAGTGCCTGGAGACAGACAGACAGTTCGTGCATCCGTACCAGTGACCACAGGAGGAATGACCACTAGGAGGAGAGCAGAGAGAAGAAACGCCATGGTACTTCTGCAGCAGCACAACCGGACACCTTCACATGCCCCAGCTGCAACAAAACATGTCTCTCCCACATCAGTGTCTACAGCCACAGCAGGCGCTGTAACCTTCCAACAGTTTGACTTCACCCCCCAAAGGTGCACTCCTCCGTTGTCTCCAGAAACAGACACATGCCAACCATGGCCCTCAGAAGGTTGTCCAGAAGGGAATGTGGTCCTCAGACTGAAAAAAAGGGTTCCACATCCTTGCCTTAGTGCAACAGAACTCTTCCCTTTCCTTTCTCCATGCCCTACCAAATCTGTTCTGGAGGGTTGGGGAGAATCACAAAACAGATTTAGAAAGGGGCACAGGATGATGAGAGGGTTGGGAGGATGGGCAGTTCTGTTGCACAGCCAGAAGTCCTTGAGATAATAGAACTACTTCATTGAACACTATCCTAAGCATAAAAGAGTTTTTATTATCAGGCTCTTATCTACCTAAAGAGATTTCTAAAATGCAAATTTGCAGTCTGTGCTGTAATTTCAAAGTGACAGCTATTTATTCACTCTCAGAACAACTTTGTGTCACCTGAAAACTTGTACACTCCACTTCCAAGCAAAATGGATACAAAAGTCATAAGCTTCTGTACATTCCAATGGCTGGGATCCAAATGGCTTGGGTATTCCTAGTGGAATTTTTGACTTCTTCGCCTTGAATGGAAGATTCCCAGAGCATAATGGACACTACATGCGAAACTTCCCTCAGGTTTAAAAGAAGCTTGCCATGTGGTACAGGGAACTGCTATTTTGCGGGGAGAGGGGAATGATTTTCTCGGTGATAACAAACAGACACAAAATAACTTGGATATGTGGGAAGGTAGCCACAAGGATCTTAGGAATCAGGTCAACATCTTAAACGTATGCTTACGGTCTTTGTCAAACTTGGGTAATGTTGCTCCTGTAGCAGCCATTTCTGGATCTACAGTTTCTAGGAATATTGTCCATGGGTTTTCATTGTCACTGAGCTCAATCATCTGTGAATTTAAGGAAAGACACCAGATTGGGGTGGGGAGGGGAAGAGGTCACACTGTGAAGAAATGCTTTATTCAGTATATATTTGTTATGGTGGCATCAGGTTGTTTGAAAGTGTGAAATACTGCTGTGGACTACTTAGAGGAGGGGCGAGATAAAAAGATGACAAACAAACATGCCTACATCAGCCCCACAGCTGCTTAGAGAAAATAATAATAATTTTTGGACAAATAGGTTGCCGGAGCCATTGATCAAGGTGCCCTGAAATATAGAGATGTGACAAGAGCCTGGCTGCTGGATCAGGCCAGTGGCCTATCTAGTCTACCACCTTGGTCTCACAGTGGCCAAACGGATACTTATGGGAAGTGTGCAATCACACACCCCTTCTCATGCCACAACTCTCTTCCAACTAACATTCCCAGCAACTGGTACAGAGGAATCCCCACTTATACCGAGGTTCTATACCAGGATGTGCATGAGTAGGGATTCCCCTGTTCTGCCCCCGCCTCTTTTTGGCTTTAAAGATGGTGCGTCTGTCAGTGGGAGTGCGCGTGCTGATCACACACAAGTGGGGAGGCCCTGCCTGTATTCACAGGCATATTGCCTCCCGCGGTGGAGATAGAACAAAGTCAATGTGGCTAGTAACTTTTAATCTGTGAAGTTATCTAACCCCCTTTCAAAGCTATAGAAGTTGTCGCCATTCACTACATCCATCTAAAGGGGCAGTGATAAAGCATTTTCCTAGTGAAGTACATCTCTACAATGAGATCCATGTTTTGGCTCTGTTTAGATCCTGCTGAGTATCCACCTCTACCCTCACCCCTATATCAGAATGCACTGAGGCAAGGATAGGTGTTCTAACATTTCAAAACAAGTCATGCCTTTCTGGCATCTGAACAGCAATCTTGCCAACCTCCAGATGAGACAATTCCTTACATCCCATTCTATTGAAGTTCTGGAAACGCTGCCCTATTATCAAGAGGTTATAAAATGATTATTAACTTTCTAGAGGACCCGAGTTACAAAAGAATTAAACATTCAACCAGGACTTCACTGACATGTATTAAGAAAAAGAATCTCTTATTTCACTGGTGCATGTTTTACTGCTCAATGCATAAGTGCTACAACAAAATTTAGAATTAACATTCCCTCTACCACGGCACACTCACAGTTTTATTGCCATCAGCTTCGTTGTCTAACATGGCTGGCCTTTTTGTCCCATTACTTCGGGCTTGCATTGGCCACAACCGTATTTGATCTTGTGGAAAGCCCTACAAAGGTGATGGTGGGGGGTGACATTTAGAAAGAGGTCAGTCATTACAGAATTACAAACGGTTCCATAAAAAGTAACACAACTGATTGGCTAAGGTCTCTCACAGAAAGCTCACCATTGTTTGAGACAGGTTTTGAACGAATTCTGCTAGTGTTGAATTTTTCAGCACTTTGAACACAGTGTATTTCACTTTTTCTTCATCATACATGTCGTTGCCTTGATGGCCACAGAACTGGTCCTCTGTTACTATCTGAAATTACAAAACATGATTTGTTATTGAAATCGCCAAGCAATTGCAGGAGTTCACAACTGAAGCTTAGCCTCTTTTCTTCAAGGCCTTACCATGCCACAGGATTGAGGAACCTTTTGGTGCTCCAGATGTAGCTCAGCTACAAGTCCTATCATCCCTTCCTGAGGCTGATGGGAGTTGCAGAGCTGAACGTTTGGAGGGCCAAAGTTTCTCCACACCTGACTTATAGGATCATGGCATGCCCCCGACCCATGTAAATCCCAGTGTGAGGATCCTAGCAGTAGCACAAAAGGACCAGGTTTCCCTATGCCAACATTAATACCCAGTTTGGGTTCCAGCATCACAGCTGTGCTCATGTGTTTTCAATGACTTCTGCTTAGTACAGAAGGCTCAAGCAAGGGGCTCTTACACTGCTCAGTAAGAATATCCTGCAGTCTAACAATCCTATGGCTACATGCGGTGAAGGCCAGCCCACAAAGTGGTTATTTCTTGTAGCAAACATAAGGATTCCCTGCCAAGGCAGTTCTGCTGAAATTTTCAGGCATCCTACAATTGTAACAGTGCAAGCTAGTGTACAAACATCTGCAGTGAAAACTGGGGTACTACTGTGGTTCGAAGCATGAACTGTGACTTAGAGGTCCCTGGCTGACATCTAAGCTCTTATAGGCAAGTCACTCTCTTTCAGCCGCAGCTCCACATACGTAAGATAGAGTAATAATGTTAACTTATATTAATAAAAATTATCACAAGGAATTGAGAGGGAATCTATATACATTGTTTTGGGAACTTGGAAAAAGAGTGTCATGTACAATTAGCCATTATAAATGGCAAGTACACAAAACAGGTGATGTTCTTGGCCATGTCACAATTTAAACCCAACCACACTGGTCAGTTTGGAGCAGAAGGTGGCATTCGTTGCTAGTCCTACTCAGAGCGTACCCACTGAAATTAATGGACAATACTAATTGAGGTTCATTCATTTCAATGGTTCTACTCTTTGAGGATAACTGAGTTGGACACAGTTTCTTATTCATTATAAAGCACTTAATGCCAAAATAGGATTCTAAGTGGTTATCAGCACAAGACACCAGGTAGCTGAGTGCTGGACTTTGACTGGAGAGGTTCAGGTTTAAACACCATGAAGCTGACCTTGGGCTGCTTTCGTTCAGACTAACCTAACTCACATCCATATACAGTGGGATACAAATGTGAACATTATCAACAAATAATGCAAAAGGAACTGGTATGTATTTCCAGGCAAAGGATCCTGGGGTGGCAAAGCTTACCTGTACTTGCATGTAGAGGTGGGCTTCTTGCCTCTCCTTTCTCTTTTGAGCCTCTATTCTTTTTTCTTCTTGCAGCCGTTCTACTAGTTGCTGAGGAATATCATGATCAGTGACTGCTTGCAAAACCTCACCTAGAACATACGAAGTGTGACAATTATTGCGCCTTTTCAAATACTGTCATCCAAACAAAAGCAGCAAGCACGATGAAAACCCTGATTTTTTGATATGTAATATTCATGCAAACACTATCCTTCCTGCACCCCAGCTCAACCAATCATCATTGGTTTGCATGCATACAGACTTGGGAGTTTAATTGTGAATGTCTGCTGTATATTTTGAAAGATGATCCCTGGTGCTACCCAGAAGTGAAGAAAAGATACGTACTTAATTTTGACTCCCTGATATAAACCAACATATATGCATTGGTACAGTGCCGTACAGATAGGTCATCATCGTGGCCTCCATAGTTATGCTCAATTGCTTCTTCTTTTGTACATCTAGATACAACGTCATCATCAAATTTACACCACTGTAAAGGAAAACAAACAAACAAACAACATTTGACAGAGTTAAGCATCATATGTATAATCTAACCTAAAATGTCTTTAAAATTGCATATCTATCTCCTTGGAAGAACATGATAATGGTTTGGATGCAATATTAAAAACTGATAGTACAAAAAATGAACTATTCAAATAGTCATTCAAATTACAAAACTTTCCTGAAACCTCAGTCAACCTTAAGCCTTAATTAAGATAAATCAGCTTATATGTGACGTGGTCCAATCAAGAGAGCTGGCCTTGCTTCTGTCGGGCAGTAAAGTCTCCTTCCTAGCTTAAGTTTCCCACTTTTAAAATGGTAAATGTGGCATACCTCACAGAACTGGTCAAATGGAAAACCAAAACAGTTAGTTTTCTTTCAATGAGAAATATAAGTTAGTGTGCCATCTTACATCAAAAGCCATCGTTGTTTTCTCCAAAGCACTAAGCTGCAATTTCCCCCAAACCACCCCCAGAAGCATAGCTTTAAGTTGAATTTAATGAAGCAGAAGAGAAATATAACTTGAGATTCTAAAAACACAAATTTAAGTAGTGTTTCTTTCACTGTGGTTCTTCAACTGATACACAGGACGCAGGTGGGTGATATGAAGTCTAAAAAATGCTAGGCTGGGCTTCCTTTAGCTGACTTGCTGGTACATAAATATGCCTTCAAGATTAACTTCATATTGCAACAAGCATAACCCTGGTCCTCCTCTCAGCTTACTGCAATCAAATGCTACCAATGTGCAGTTAGTTATCTTAAAGAGGAAATGGGGCGACTTGTGGCTCCAGATGTTGTTGGACTCCAACTCCTATAAGCTTCAGTTATCAGGGATGATGGGAGTTGGAGTCCGGTTGTATCTGGAGAGAAGTAGGTTCCCCATTCCTGCCCTAAAGCTCCAGATCAGTCTTATTTCTATATTAGTCATAGGCCGTATCAGAATACAAAATGCAGTAAGCAGTATTTTCTGGAGAGCAGTAAGCGTGGAAGCAAAATGCTCAGGCTTACACAGAGATTTTGCAGTTTCCCACTGTCTTTGACAGTGCACCCTCCCTGCCCAAATATAAGGGGCCCTCCAGAGTAACACGCTATGAGGCAGGAGAGGCCACCAGCAGAAGTAAAGGTGAGCCAACCATGCCATGTATTTGTGGAACTTGACCTGTACATTTTCTCTGGAGTAGACTCTCCTTCTTAGAAGCCTATATTGTAACAAAAACCTTAAGCTAAGGTTTCAAAGTTGCTCTATTAAAGGATTTTCAGCAGGCTTTTAAAAGGATACTAGAATATCTTCATGGAGCTATACTTAAAAGGTTGGCTGTTTTTTCATTACTTACTTTTCCATCACCTTTAGGGTTCAAGTAAACGACATAATGTCCACCATGGTTATCTCCACTGTGAACTAGGACTGCATGAAGTATGTAGTTTGCAGCATCCTTAGGGTCTGTTTTTTGCAAAAATTCATCAAGAGGCAGCTGATCTGGAAATTCAAACCTGTTTTTCATTTTTTGGGGGAAAAAGAGTGTGTTACATGTGGCTAATTTTTATTTTTAAAAAGAACTATTTTTGTGAATGAATGCTGACAAACAACTCTTGGAACAAGAAAAGGTTGAAAAATTGTAAGTACATCATTTCTGACATCAATTGCACTAACTGGGCTCATAGGTGCTACATTTTACTGGCACAAAACTTTCTGCAATCAAAGGAAGAATCCTACGGGGTGTTGCCAAAGGTCATGGTTCAAGGAGTAGTTTTGTAGGCTCTGAGACTACACTCTTGTTTCCAATAACTGCACACAAAGATGCAGTGGAGAACCAAGAGCAGATGAATGACTTTTTATTCAGCGTTGCAAAAATGCATAGACACAATGCTGCAGGGATGTTTCCCCACATTGGCTCTGATTCTGTGTCCATTTGTGCTGATTTCTGCCCCATCCCAACCTTTAGCTGTTACTGCATTAGCTTCTGCTAGCGTTGCAACAGCTAAAGCAGCAGCCTGCAGAAGGCATGCAGAGTGAAGCTGAATATCTTTACCCCATTTGACAAAGGTGAGAAAGACAGGTGTAGGAAGATGCTTTATACCAAAACAAGCAAGTCCATCAAGTTCACTATTACATACTGGGGGATGGGGTGTCTAAGTTGTGGCCCTCCAAATGAGGTTGGATTCCAATTCCCTGTAGCTAGCATGTCTAACGACCAGGGATGATGTGAGCTGAGAGTCAAGCAACATTTGGAGGCTCACAGGTTCCCCAACCCTGGTATATAGTGACTTGCAGCAGCTCTTTAAGGTTTCAGACAAAGGAGCTTTCCAGCCCTACCTAGAAATGCCAAGGATTGAGCTTTGGGCCCTCAGCATGCAAAACATGTATGCTGCCACTCAGCTAACTATCTTCATAAAACATGGAGGGGCACAAGATGGCAAGACACACCTTGTGCCAGCACTGGGAGTCCTCAACTCATTCTAGACCTATCTATGTATGTGTAACTATGCACAGAATTGCAGCTGACATATTCCATCTGAAATCTGTTTCATAACATCAATGCAAATATCACTGTGCACTATCTAACATCTATGTGTTGTACTTATGCATTGTTCTTGATTGAAGTTCTCCTCAAAGTAGACCAGTTTACATTCCTGGGCCTCAGTTAGTCATGTCCACTAATTTCCATGTGTCTAAGTGTTGTACACAACAGGAATTTGGAAAAAATGCTGGGCAAAAAGGATTTATCTCCATGCTTCCTGAAGATAAATCCTTTTACACACAATGATTAGATTACAAACAATAATTAACAAGACTGCAAAATTAAGTCAATGTTCTGGAATCACCGTTACCTTGGGCTGTGTGTTGCTGCTGTTCTTTGGCTTTTCAGAATAAATTTTAAATGTGGCAAGCTAGAATTCTGATAAGAATTTAGCATTAACAGGTATCTAATTTTTGGCTTTAATACAACACAATATTGATTACCTATCATTTATCTTGATGTTCTGGTCAGTCTGGGGATCATACATGAACCTCATGAGTTGTAGATGCAACACTGGTGGCAGCGTTAAGAACTTTACACCTTTTTCTGCCTCCTGCATGTTAAAGAAAGAAACATCTGCATTAATGGTGGAATTGACATCACCCTCTGAAACAATAACTTTACTTACAGAACTGAGGTTACCAACATGATACTTAGCATGCAGGACTATCCTGAAAACATTTGTTATCACACAGACCTCCATGAGGAGTAGCATACCTGCAAACCATGTTCTCCTGCATCATATTTATTATCCCCATCCAGCTGTTCCACAGCAACATAATCAATGAAGGACTCAAATACTGAAAAAGAGAAGGGGTACGAAGAAAGGAGGTGTTACCAATTACACACAGAGGGTCCATGTGCAGGAAGAGAGAAATACCACATTCAAGCACCCAGCACAGTCCCCAGACCCCAGTTGTGCGGTGACACTAGTGCGGGTCAAATAAAATGAAGATCCAGGATGAACAGCCCTGCTCAACTCTGTATCTGCCATAATCAGTCAGTGGAAGCTAGACCTATTCAGGCATTAGTAACTGGAGAGAAATCTCAGCCAGGAGCCTTGGTTGCAGACTCATACCCTGCTCATGTGGGGAGACTATTAACACGGGCAAGAGAAAGACTGCATTAACTGAATTGGTACAACCTGGTTCAGGTGTCAACATATCTCCAAGGAAAAATAAGCGTAGCAAACCCACTTGTCAGGTTGAAAAGTTCTAGAGAATCAGATATTTAAAAGTTACCCAGATGCCACTGTCCAGTCCCATGCCTCACAGCAGAGACTAGGTGCACCAGCACAAAAGGTGCTTGTAGGGCAACAGATTCAACCAAGCCAAAGCCCAGAGGGAAGGAGAATGCCCCTCAGGTTCTTTGAACTTGATGGTTTTGGGGGATGGGTTAGGGTTGATTCTCAAGAAGACAACATATAGCAGGCACTGAATATCTCAGGGAAAAAAGGGCTTATCTAAACCACATGGATTTATAAACTATATACTTACTGCTTTTCTTTCCCTTTATACTTAGCTGAATGTCGTAATAATCCTCTATTCGTTCAGAACGATAGTCTACGTGTTTGCACTGGATATAAGACTGCAAACAAAAATAGGGTAGAGAGATATCAGTGCATACCAACAACAAAAGTAACACACACAAACAGTGTCTCAAAGTTAGCTTTTAAACCAAATACATACCACCATTTTCCCCCTGAATAATTTAGGGATAGTGCCTTCTACACAGGTGCCTTTCATTTTATTTTCAACATTATCAAGCAACTGAAAGAAAGCAGAAAGTTGGTATTGGAAACACACATTTATTTAATTTATATACCCTTTAAATGAAGCTGGGTGGGGCATGGGGGCTCCCATTGCTCTCCCATCCAGATCTGGCCCACCTCCCCTCAGTTCCAGCAACACTGCAACATTTATTTTATTCTGTTCCATCCATCCATCAGGTCATGACTCCCAGGAACGGGTTACAACACCGCCAAAAAATACCATGACATACAAAAATAATACAAATATAGCAATTAAAACATGAATTAAAATCCAACTGACTTGTTCACTGAGCAGCAAGTTAATAACTCAGATACAGCTAGCTGGGAGTAAAACAAAATCCTTAAAAATTCTGGGTACAACTTTAACTGGTGCTGAAAGGTCAACAGCACTGGCATTTGTGGCACCATGTATTTCACCCAGTGATGGGCCTCTGCTACAGATCTTAACACAGGCTGGTTGCAATAGGGAGAAGAGTTCCTTCGGGTACTTGGGATCCTAAGTCATTTAAATCTTTATATACAAACACACTGAATTGGGCTCTGTAGCATACAGGCAACAAATGCAAATATGTCAGAATTGGTATTATGAGATACCTGCTGGCTATGCCAGTCAAAATTCTGGCAGCCATATTATGCTCTAACTGCAGCTTCCAAGCAGTCTTCAAAGGTAGCCTTAGGTATAAACCTCACTGCAGTCATCCAGAGCTGTTCTAGCCAGCAACAACTGTATCCCAATGTAGGGTCTCTGTGCCACTGAAGCCAATGGCAGATCTAGATCCAAGAGTGCCCCCAAGCTAGGAACCTGCCCTTCTAAGGGAGAAGAATCCCACCCAAGACAGGCTATCCACTTAATTCCAAGACTGGAGGAACCCCCAATCCACAGTGTTACCCAAGTGGGATTTCAACTTCAGTTTTTTGGTCCTCATCCAGGCCATTACTGCCTCCAAACTACAGTGCTTTCAGAGCACCCTCTCAACACTTCAAGCTACTTCTGCTTTCTTAACAGATAATTATTTGTTTAGCTTTAATTCTAGCTAAAGGTCCTGAATGCCTCAGGGTGGCACTTTCTTAACACAGAAATATAAAGAGACCCTACTCAGAGGCGTTCTAAAATTTAAGGTTTTCCCCCTGTCAGATATTCCTCCTCTAGGCGCAGGAAACACAACTCTGCACATATAGGGCAGGACACTAATAATGTCTACACAAATTCCAGGGCTCAGATTTCAAAAATTAAATTAAATTTGATCACTGGCTCTAACTAAACCTTGAGTATAAGTAAAAGATGATTTAGGGTGCAATCTAGCAAGAAGCAATTTTGCACAGCCTAATCAAACCAGGAGATATTCTGCAACTTCTGTTCACTTCAGTGGGGCTTGTGTGGAACAGCCTCCCTCTGGATTACCCTGTGAGTGACATGATATGCATAACTGCAACAAAACTGTATGCTAATCTTGAACAGAAAAAGGGGAAATACATACCACTCGACATAGTTCCTGAACGTCATGTTGCATGAAGCTGTCTAACGTCTCCCATCTTTATTAAATAGTGGGGAAAAAGGCACTTATAAAATGGCCACATTTGAAAACAATTGTGAAGTTATTAAAAATATACCTCATGCTGTACACCAACAAAAAGCCCATCTAAGAAAGACTGTGCAACTTATGAAATCCCAGAATGAACCATTCTTTTCATGTGTGGACACGTAAGTGCATGAAGCACGGGCAGAAAACCTGTGACCTAGATCACGACTACCATTTCAAATGGCCTGCCACTCCATATCTTTTGTGTGTGTGTGTAGTGCATCTGCATATATCTCAAGCAAGCCCAGCACTGCAGTGGGGAGATTGCCTAATAGCTAATGCAGCCCTTGGGCTTAAAGGCTTAGCACAACTGGCACAAACTTTTCTTTCAAAGAAAAATTGATCCTGATTTCCCTTTGAAAAATCACCTGACTGTTGGTGGGAGAGCACTTCCAAACAGGCTTGCGCCATTAGAGGTATGCATTGAAACCGGGGCTCCCCATTTTGCACCACCACCACCCATTTTAGCAAGGGGTTTCAATGCAAACTGTTTTGCACTAATGGGGCAATCCCCTTTGAAAGCACACTGGTACTGACTGGTACTGGGAGTGCACCTTCAAATGAGGTTGCTGTAACTGCCTAGTAATCTACTTCAAACTTCAAAAGGTGTTTATCGCCTGACATCATTATGACATCAGGAGACTGACAGGTGGGTGGGTGTTCCCACCCAGTTGTCATAAACTTGACCTTGGGTGTGGGAGGCGGCTCACGGATCTGGCATGCCAGCCAGATCCAGTTCCCTACTCCTGCCTGGTCCACCCCAACAGGGAGCATCTCTCCAGGGTGTCAGTCAGAGAGTCTTCTCCATTACTGTGGTTTTCCTAAACTCTAAGCTGGCTAGAGATCTTCTGTTACTGGGCAGCATATAAAGAATATGAACCACCTCTTTCAGATACTTTTAACTGCAGATGCCAAGGGCAGAACTTGAGGGCTTCAGTGTTCTACCACTGGGCTATGATCCCTCCCCATAGATTCCTGACAAAATGGTGGGCAAAATGCACATGGAAGGGTTTGCTATACTAAAAGGCTCCGTTGGGGCATGCAAACAATGGCAGGATCCCCTTCAGCAAGAGCCTCTCAGGAACGGACGGCTTCACCACAATTAACATACTCAGTCTTGGTTCATTTAACAGATGGTGAAAGCCACTTCTGAGAAGAAGTAGGCTGAGAATCTTTGGTTAAGAAACTGGCCAGCCATGAAGAGCCATCTGATATCTTGGCAGCACTTACCCAAAGGATTTTGTCAGCTTCTTAGTTCCTACTGGTTTGTCGCTATGCTGAAGCTCATAGAACACCCTCTGCAATGCTAAAGGAACACTTTTTGATGAGTCATCTCCTTCTGTGGGCATCATGTACACAGCCTAAAAAAGAAACCAATTTAATTAGGACTACAGAAAAGGGTCTCATAGCTCACATGGTTGTATTTATTAATCCATTTCATCGTGATCAAAAATCTGTCAGACAGGCCAACATCAGTAAAACATATTTGAATAATCTGCCCATGTACTCTGCTGACACTAAAGGGGAGGGGAAGGCCCTGCAATATCCAGCAGTTTCATCATATTGCTTACAGTGGAACAGTTGCTCAAATCAGACTGACAGCTTAATTTTCAAGATGCCCAAACTATTGCTGCATCACAGCAAGCTAACTGCCAGCCTACATTCTGTTTGGGACTTGGCATTTGATGCTTATTTAAATGAACCTTCCATTATGACATTGCACCAGATTATTTGGAGAGAGGGGTGTCCCTGAAAAAGACTGCCCTTAGTATTCTCTTCTCCCCCCCCCCATCCTTTCCAAACATATCTGGAATTTGTCATGCCCAGAACTCCAGATGTTTCAGAGAGCAATTCTGATACAGAGGTGACCACTATACAGCACAACTCTCCCTTAGGGATGGCATGGACCCCAAGCTAGCCTGAGGAAGAACAATCTGCAGGAAGAATTAATCTTGGCACCAGATTAACCCTCTGAAAATTAGAGGTGAGTTCAGACCTCTCAAACAAGGAACCAGAATGCACAGCCTCATCATGTCTCCACAGGTGAACCCTCACCTGTAAAGTTCTGAGGAAAGGAGAGGAAGTTTAACTGAAGACCATCAAGTGATGCTGGAGTGCAAGGCACCAAGCTGGGCAGATAAGGGTAGGCTGGTCTTGGTCAACACTCGGCAGGACGGCTTTACTATTTTTGTGCCCATCTCAGTTCAGACCCTTATCAGAGCAATTTACAATGAGAGTGGGAGCATGTAATGGGAACTGTCCTAGGTCCTGTCCTGCCTGACTCTAATCAATCTGCTACCAGACACACAACACAGTAAAGTTTCCTCTAAATCATGTTCAGCACCTTGCAGAACTGGAATTATGCACAACAGCACAATTTTTATCGCTGTATTGTCTCAATTCAATACACAGATCCAACATCTTGGGCATTTCCCTACACCAGGGAAAAATTCCAGCTCCCAATGATGCAGTGGTTCAAGTACCCGAGGATCCAGCTACATACTGGACTGTATAAATCTAGGGAAACATTTGCCATAGGTAATACTGCATCACTCTTAGCTAGGGCTAAGAGAATGCATGATTCAATTTCAAGACTAGGCATTTTCACATTGCAGAAAAGAGACGGAATCTTCTAGTCATTGAGGGGACATTCCCACCTGGCTCAGTACAAGGCAGCTTCCTATGTTCCTGAAGGGAAGGGCGGTGGCTCAGTAATGGAGCACCTGCTTTGCACATAGAAGGTCACAGGTTTAATCCTTGGCATCTCCAGGAAGAACTGGGGAAAACTGCCTGAAACCCTGGAGAGCCACTACCAGCTAGTGTTGACCATGCTAAGTTAAATGGTCTGAGCTGGTATGAGGCAGCTTCCTACGTGATTGACAGTATGCCCATTTAAAAGCATGCAAGAAAGGGGTCAGATGGGTTTTACTTATCTGTTAATCGCCAGAAAGAGGGAGGAAACATACACCAATTCAATTCTCAGATTACATTCAACTGGGAAGGACTGAGAACATCAGTGAATTTAGACAAAGGGCCCTAAAGGGATTAAAATGTGACATGGCAAAAGGCTGCATTGTGTGGGTGACTTAATCGAAGAGCAGGGGAATAGTTCCAACTATTCACTGGTGACACAGGAGTGAGGGAGAAAACTAAAAACACAGAATGCACAAGAGAGGGAATTAGGAGAGCAGCTTGTGTAGAAAAGTCTGAAAAGGAGACTAATGCAATCCAAGGCTGTGCAGAAAATGTTGACATCACAAGGGCCATGTTATGCTGCTAAACTCCCTTGGAAGTTAGATTGGCTTTAACCAGAGCCAGGGCCTTTTCAACTCTGGCTCCGGTCTGGTGGAACGCTCTGCCTCATGAGACCAGGGCCCTGCAGGATCTGATTTCTTTCCACAGGGCCTGTAAGACAGAGTTGTTCCGCCTGGCCTTTGACTTGGAGCCAATTTGATTCCCTCCCTCTCTTTCTTTTTTCTTTTCCTTCTCCTCCTGCGATGAGGCTACATTTTAATATTTTAATGTTTCAATATTTTAATGTTGTATTTTTAATTTTGTTTTTAAGTTGTAATTATTTAACTTGTTTTTATTATTGCTTGTAAGCCGCTCTGAGCCCGGCCTTGGCTGGGGAGGGCGGGGTATAAATAAAAATTATTATTATTATTATTATTATTGGAAGGATTGCATCCCGAAAGAATTAACTGCAATAAATAAATAGTACACTTAATGGCTACAGACTCTACTATGTATTTTGGAAATGTGTGTTTGATATGCATTTGGACCCTGCTTATTTTAACCAAAGTTCGCATGAAGGTTTCTGAGATCAAGGAGCAGGGTTGGCTGCTCAAGGTGGCAAAATTAACCTTTCAAGACTATCCTAATTTTAACCACTGACTTGAAAACTGTACAGTCTCTTTGGTTTCTTAGAATAACAAACAACACTGGGTTAAAGGCTGCTAGTGACAAATGAGTAGACCACAAGAAAGGAAAGTAGAACTCTGGGGGATTAATACAAGATTAGGATGAGGAGAGACTAAGAACAGGAATAGCAAGGCATATTACAAGCACGTAAAAGAAAAAAAATAGAAATACACCCTTGAAGAATGAAGACAAGCAGCCAATAAAAGGGAAACAAATAGGAAACTTAGGGGCCAGGATCACTGGTATATCTAGCTATGTGCTGTCTATACTTACTGGCAGTGGCTTTCCAGGATTTCATACTGGGAACATTCCCAGTCCTACCTAGAGATGGTGAGGATTCAACCTGGGATCATCTGCAAGCAAAACACTCTACCACTGAGCTGTGGTTCCATCTCAATACCTCAGTACAAAGCCAGCCAACAAGACCACATCAATGGTAGGAAGTTGAGCAAGTTTTTAAAAAAATGGCTGGTATCAATAGAGACAAAGGAGGCCATAGGAAGAGGAGGGAGATGAAGAGTAGTTCTGACCCACCTGCTACATAGTGAAATTAAACCACTAAAGTAGAGAGAAGCTGGGGAGTTAACAGGAGCTGAAAAACTTTAGGAGCTGGTTTAGGTGATAAAACATATCTGCTTCTATAACTAGCAGATTATGAATGGAAATCCTAAACAATACAAAGTAGGTGACTGAATTTAGCATGGTACAAAGAAAGGGTTTGGGGTTGGGGGAGAAAAGCAACTGAAATCACTGCATAAATGCAAAGTAACAAAATAATTTATTTGGCAAGGTTGTCAAAAAAGGAGGTTCTGAAACTGCAACTTGGACTGTATGTCATTCACAATTTTATATCGGTTCGGGGGGGGGGATACAGAATGCATATGGAACTGAGTTTGCAAAGTCTCAATTTTCTCTCTGGGTGGTAGAGTAAAATTGCCAGGTGAGCTTCAGTATCCTCACACAGCTCTTTGTTAAAAACTTGCTTTTAAAAGAGCTGAGAGCCTTAGTAAACTGGGCCAACATCACACCCTGCAGAACCTAAACCCCTAGCAGAGTTATTATATGGGGCTCAGATTTGGACAGGCACTCACCTTGTATCTATGGAAGCTGTCCAATCAAAGTTCTTAAGGCAAATTTTATCTGTGCCACCCTGTGTCCCAAACGCTTCATTGCGCCTAGAGGCTAATCTTCCCTCAGTAGAATTGCGGATCTGGCGTAGAACACTTAACTATTGGCTTTGCGTAAACTCAAATCCCCCCAGTCTACTATCCCTAGGGCTTCAAGATTGTCACAAGAGTGCCTGGACTAAAATTGTCTATCAAAAATTTCACTCTTGTGCTTTATCACCACAAAGGCTACTTTGGGTGAGTAAAGCAAACAGTCTAATTTGTCAGCGCCTAAATGATACTGAGTATCAGAACAACTTGGCCACAATAAGGAAATTTTGCCCATGGTATGAATATTTTCCACCTTCCCATTTCGACTATCTGGCACCCTATCTGCATAACCTAGCAATTCTAAAATATAGACGCTCTTTTACTCTTGAATGTATTGTCCTCGACTGTACTTGAGGGACGATTCCAACAGACATGAAAAACACTTATGTGCCTGTGGAGATGGCAGTACTGAATCGGTGGTGCATGCCCTTCTGGCTTGCACTCTTTATAAAGACTTGAGGAACGAGAATATCACCCCCTCTTTATCCATTCTGAGAAAGGCTACAGTGTCCTTTCTCTTGGCAGATCAAGATGAGCAGGTGACAGCAAAGGCTGCAGTGTTTTTACCTGGGGCCATCAGAATAAGATCCATTATTTGACTATTGATTCAAAACCCTAAAATGTATTTTATATAATTTTATATAATTATTTCTATTATTTGTATATCGTATTGTTGTCTATGACAGGACCTAATGGTCAGGGGTCCCTTTACCTTTACCTTATTGTTGTTTTATGGCTATGGCTGATGGTTGACGCAAATAAAGATTCATTCATTAATTCATTCACACCCTGCAGAACCCTAAACATGGGTACACAAAGTAGGGCCTGATATAAATTGAGAGTGGCAAGGAGAAGCAAAAGTGAGAAAGCAAGAGTTCTTTTCTTTGACCAACCTAAAAGGAAATCATAATCAGGAATGTATTAATATCAGAGAAGCCTCCCTTAGGGAATGACCATAAAAGAACCAGAAAGACAGGAAGAGACAAAAGATACCACTCTTTGCAGTAACAGGTGGTGGTTGTTTGCATAAAAGCCTAAGAAAAGCACATTCATTGCTCAACTAAAACACTGTGACAAGGAAGTTGAATAGCTGGGTGGTGGGGAAGTTACTTAAAAAAATTTAAGCTTATTGCAAGACTATGAATTGAGCAATCAGGTCAAGTGAAAGGCCAAACACTATGCTCGCTGCACTCCTGAATGATCATAGCAGACAGTGCTACCTTCAGAATGAACCATTCATCTCCTAGACACCATAGACAGTAGTAATTTGTTAGAATCAGTTGCATGCTTAACCCCAGAGTGGGGGGGCTGGCCCCATAGAACAAAATACTGGACTAGATAGGCCTTATTCTGATCCAGCAGGGCCCTTTTTTGTAGGCGGAAGGAAGAAAAAGAGAGATAATGGGCACTTGTCCTACTCAGAGTAGACCCACTTAAATTAATGGGCATAACTAACTTAGCTGTATATAACCTGGTGATTTCAATGGGGCATTTGATCCACTCTTGCATCAGGCTATGAGAACATGGCTTCATTTAATCCCTATAAGCCACAGTAAGCAGCAGCAAGTTTTCTCCTCTTCTTCAAGGACTGCTGGGATTCTAGAAGAAAACCCTTCGAGTGTCTCTTCATTGCCAAAAGAATCGATGGTACCTCAGGCAGGTTTTGCACACAAGAAGCAGCTGTTCGCAACAGCAATGGAGATAGCTAGTGACTATTACCTTTTGGTAAAATCTCATGCACACTTAACCATTGGGTAGAAAAATAATGTTCAGATGGATAGGTATCAGCTAGGGTGGGGCATGTAGAAGAAATACTGAGGAGTCCGAAGGCACAAGTTACAAAGAAACAGAATGCAGGTGACCTACAAGATGGATTTACAATTAGAGAATGCTTGAAGTTGAGGCTGCCCCGAACTTCAAAACGGCAACTGGCATTTGCTAGCTCAGAGGTTTTCTCTGCCACAAGGATGAACTCCGTGGCAACTACCACCAACTAAGAGATCAAGCTACTCTACCTCTTCCTTCCACTGGCCTGCCATCTCTATCGTCTTCTCTGCTGCCAAGGCTGCTTCCCAGCACCTGGAATAGCTCTGTGGTGCTGTTTCCTTGGTGTGGTTGTGGGTGCTGGTTCAGGCAGCAAGTTGTAGATGCAGGGCAGGACAAGCAGCTACTACAGAATAATTTACCAGCTGCATTCGTAACATGGATTATCGCCTATAGCATCCTGCACATCTCCAGTGCAATAACGTTAGGCTGCACAGCTATGGAGGGTCGCTCCTAATATCCCCATAGCAATTCAGGAGCATATCAACAAGGAAGTCACAAAAACTTTGGTTTACCTTTCGTAGCTGATTTGTGAAAAATAATGTCTGTAATAAGCTGTTCATATAGCAGGTTGCTCCCTGGTTCTTCAGTCCTACATATCCTGTATGCTTCTTGGAATCCCACCTATAAAAACCATGAATTGGGTTACAAGAACCACACACACACAAATTAATGTATTCCCAGTGTGTGAATACAATGGACAATTATTGTGGAACCAAGCTGTATCCACCAACACAACCTTGCTGGTCATTAAGGCAATATATCCATCGTGGAATATTTAGAATTTTGTTCCATGTATTCAGAAATCTGTTTATAAATTTTATCCTTTTGAATATGCTCTTCAAAGACCTTCTGAAGAAAGATTGCACAGCGGACTGAATTCTAAACCACAAAATGAGCAGGTGCTGCTTAGAAGTTGACAGTAATGTGAAGTGATTTGTTGAACACTGAACACAAGACACTTACCAAATTCACAATGGATATCAAAGATTGTTAAGAAACTTGGTTACTGACCCACAATCCAACCACTTGTTCCAGTAAAAAAATCATAAGCTACTTACGCCACGCCATGTGGAGCATCAGCTTGAACGTACACTTCAAAAGTTACTTTGTCATCTTCTATATAGCCTTTATCTGGATCAGTAACTTCCTACAAAAAGTAAAATTGACAAGAACATTAAAAATCAAATCACATAGAAGGCCTAACTAACATCACTTTGATGACTGGCAATCTTGAAAGCTCTTTTCTTAAAACCTGAAGTCTATAAATGCACACTAACTTTTAACAGTGAGTCTGAATGATACAGGAATGTCTCCTGCGCGCGCGCGCTCTCTCTCTCTCTCTCTCTCTATATATATATATATTCAGAGAGGAAGATCACTGATCGTCACAATTTATGTGAGCAGGACCACCAGTTGAGAGCTTAACATGGGACTTCTTTCTCATAATGTCAATTACATTGCATTGTATTCTTTATCCCACCCTTCCTCAAACGATCTCAAGGAGGTATTCACAGTTCTCTCCAACCTATGAACCTGTTTTATTCTCACAACCCAGTGAGGCAGGTTAGGCTAAGAGGAAGAAATAAAGGAAGTAGGAAGGAGACTTGCTCAGAATCATTTGGTGAGCCTCATGGCTGAGTGAGGATTTGAACATGGATTTTCTAGTCCAAAACCTATTCATAACCACCACAGTGGCTCTTGCGCTGCTACACGCTGTTACTTACACTCCATGACATAAAGTTGGAAAAGCCCCAGTCATTTTCCTTATGAAAGAACAAGTGGCTGATACGGCGACTGAATGATTTCTCATCATCTTTGTAATTTATTATCTTGAGCACTGCTTGTGCATGACAAGACCATGACCTGCAACAATTAAAGAGATAACAGTTGACATGCTGAGCTGCAGAAAAAAGATGCTAATAAACTGTGCTTTACTGAACAAGCCTACCTTACTTCTTGCCACCTCTGGATAAAAAAAACTTTGCTTCAATGCTCTCAGAGCCATTACAAACTATTAACATCACGGAAAGAGTTTGAGTAGAGGCTCAGTTTCTCACAGAGCTGTTTTTATGTGTTCACTCACCATGGAATTTTTGCAGCTCGGTGCATTTTCTTCTATAGCTATCCAAGAATGCTACAACTCCTCTAAAGCAGGTAGGAATACTTTAAAAAGACTTCTGCTACTACAGGTTAAGAAACAGCAAATGGAGATGCTTCTGTTCTCTGAATGTTTATTTGCTTGCATTCTCAACCTGAGGGTTAGGAGACTCCTTCAAAAGGTTACACATGAACTCCACTGTGCCTCCCACTCAGCCAAGATTGTGGCTTCTAGTTCTTAGTGATGTGCTCCAATCCCATGTATACAAAAGTCTGCTGTAGTCACCTTATTTCCATTCCCTGTTTTGTTAAGGCTGTAAGCTTTGATTTTTAACAACGTAAACTGAGTCAGTCAACATCAGCTTTAGATGTTAAAACCAACTTTTTAAAAACGTACAATTCTCAACCTGTGTTCACTTTTTCAAATGGACCCCTGCCTAGCAGCTTTGGTAATGTTCAAGTTTATTAATTAAAATTAGCTGATTTACCCATTTTTTTAATTTAAAAAGGCTCTAGTCTTTTCCTATGGGAGACCTTTCTGCATTTAGCTTTTCTTTGTTTACCAAAAAACAAAACAAAATAGCAGCAACAGAGCATTCCAACATGCTCTGATCATTTTGTGCTCATGCATGAGGGAATTCAAACAGGCAGCACCTCACCAGAAGGAAGCAGCAGTAAGTATGCAACAGTGCAGCCAATTTATGCTTCAATAAATCAGCTCTGTATATAGAGTCACTGAGCACGTGCTGCTTTCTTTTTGTTGGGAAAGGTCAAATAGTCTGCATCCTCATCTGGTTCATGTATTTGGTAATTAACCTATTAACTATTCAAAACTATTAAACACCAGCCTGAATAGCTTATTAATTTGGTCAATATATATCTGAGAACTAACATACATTACATTCATCCCAAATTAAGTCATGTCAAACTCAACATACCATACCCAATATACAGCGGACAACAAGGAAGACTACATCAGACTGATCAGGCATCTCTAATGGGACTTTCTGCCTCTTTCCTCCACATCTAAGCACATGCCCCTATACACCCTTCCTGAATGCCGAAGCCCCATTCCTCGTGCTGTCCTACCAATCGACACAGAAGTTATAGTCAGAAAATGCAATAGGTTAAGATGGTGCTATACAGAAATGTATAGTGTATTAAATATCTTACGTGGAATCAGACTCAGCATTGCACTGAAGAAAGAATCCTACACTTTTTTGGTGCGGCCTGTCTGGGTAGAGTCGTGGCATCACCATAATCTTCCATGGCAGGTTCCGTACAAAGCAGGGGGGACTTAGGACTGATTCATTCAGCCTGTTGAAACGTTCAACAGTGAACTGGAAAGTTGCTTCCGACCGCCAGCTTGTGTCTGCAAAATACCAAAGATCAATTAAATGCAAATTAATCAGCCTGGTCTTTCAGTCCCCATGCAAGGCCAAAGGTGCTCGGCCTCCACTCACCGTGTGGCATTTCATCTGAGCAGCAAAACACCCCATATGCATTGAACAAGTCAGATGTAGAAACAGTAAGAACACTGCAGAGCAAGGATAAAGTCTTTAATAGACTGTCTATTTTATTTCTGATTTTTAGTTACAATGGGAATTTATTGTGCAGAGATTTGGAGAGCACTGTACCAGTATGCAGTTGACACCTAACTTTCTTTGTCCCCTTTCCAACATCATATTCTAAGGAAGCAGTAGAAAAAGTACACTGTACCACCAGCTGCCTTTGAAAGCTGAAAATTTTAGTTGCAGCAATTTGTACCAATGCAATTTTGACCAGGGCCAGATACTTGAATCATGCACCTCTGTTATCATGCCAATCTCAGTGGCTTACAGGCTGGTTCCAAGTTCAAATGCTAGAAGTTCATCTCCTCCCTGTGTGAGTTGTCTGCCCACTAAGATTATCATTAATTCCCCACCACCACCAGTTGATGTGGATACAAAAGAGGGACTTCTTTGTAGTGCAGGACCCAGACTCTGGAACTTCCTGCCATGGGAAATGTGCCTCCCCCTGCTATGGAGTGCTTTATATTAACAAGTCTACATATCTAGTTTATGGTTGGACTATGCATATACCGCCCCCTGCAAAACAACAACAACAAACAAACACTTCACTACTACTTTGCTTATAACAATTGAGCTGTAAGCCAAATTTGGCTTGAAATAGCTCAACAAAATATATACAACTACAAATATATACAAATATATACAACCCATACAAAGAAGTATACAACAAAACAAAAAAAACATCATCAGTGCAATTATGCAACAAAGCATAAGGGGGCATAAAATACAGGATGCATAAGGTTTTAAACTGTGACATAACTAGATATGGGGAAACCTCTGGTACAAAATATTTTTTAAAAAACAGCATAAAGAGGAACCCGCATAACTACTGTTACTAGATAATCAGTACCTAATAGTTGCTGACAGCACCTGCAAGGAGAATATTGTGTATGTTCAGTGATGAAAAACTGTGCAACATTTATTCTTCTCACACAAAGAGGCTGCTAAAAAGTCTGGGGGAGGGATCTTCATTTTCAGATTCAAAACATCAAAATGTAAAGTCACAGATCCCCTGATAATAAAATAAACACAGCTCTATCTTTTTAATGTAAACATTGATCCATTCTTGACAGAGTTCAGTTTGGAGGTGAACTGAATGGCATTTCACATTAAAAGAAGAAGCTTCGTTTCAAGTTATTTGAAAAAAATGCAATAACCAGCCACAAAATGAAATCAATGTGCATTTTTGCATTTTCAACAGCCAACTCAGCATTCCATTATGGTCTTTTGCCACAGAAAAACAAAGCAGTCAAATAGAAGTATTTCAAATGACAAGCTTTTGTTACATAGCTTTTCAATCTCACTCTTCCTCCCTGCCTCTGGGGTCTCCCTCTTTCTCTTTCACACACACACACACACACACACACACACACAAACACACACTCCCAAATGAATTTCAATTAGTAAAGGCACAGTTACTCCCCTAGGCCAGATTTTTACTTGTGAAACCAAAGCTGTTATGCCACCATGAACGTCTTCTGAAAGCCTCCCTCTTAAAATGCCAAAGTATTCCAATTTTTAAAATTTATTTCAGAATCTATAAACTGCTCAAAAATACTGAGCAGTGCAAAAAAGTTTATAACATGTAATACAAATGATAAACCAATGTTTTTGTAAAAAAACTTGGAAGTCAACATGAATCAAAAGATGAAGTTTTAAAATGAACTGATCTGGAAGGCTTGGGAAAAAACAAATGTTTTCATCTAATGTCAAAAACATAATGTTGCTTGGGGCTTCCTTCATTGCTAAGGAAAAGAACTTCAGAGAACAGGTGCCACAACACTGAAAGCATGCATTTGAGCCACAAGGCTTGACAGGGAGGTGTGTGGCACCATCAATCAACCTTCATTCATAGATCAAAGTGACCAGGGCGAAATGGGAGAGGTGACTTTTCATAATACCCTGGTCCAGAACCATATAAGAACATAAGAAGAGCCTGTTAGATCAGGGCCAATGGCCCAGAATCTAATCCAGCATTCTGTTCTCACAGTGGCCAACACTGGAGTAGTTGTAGCTGGTATACCAGCCAACACTAGCAAAGTGCCCTCCACAGTGGTGGATCAAGGAGTACTCTCAAGCCTCACATAAGTTATTTCAGAGGGAGTAATGGCCCATTCACATCTGGCATTTGTGATGGCTGTCCTCAGTAGGGTGGCTTAACCTCTGATTAAGCAGCAATAGCCATTTTAAAAGTTATCAAATTATAACAACCAGAAGAAGTTTTTAAAGGCCAAACAATTGAAGTCCATACATCCCAGTCCCACTAGCTCTAGAGTCTAGACTAACCTATTTATGTGCTTCACAAGGAATGAACTGAAATGAACTGGCTGAAAGCTCCCTTGCAGCTAATCATTCCAAGTGACCCAAGTAAATTAAGCCAAGTCACAAGTGATGGGGAAGGGCACATACCTCACCCAGGATTGTTAGTGATCATTTTAACTCTATATGATTCGCTTTCATTCTCTATGCATAGCAGTGAGAGTGACCTCAAGGAAGGGCACAGCCCATCCACTTAATATGTTATTGACCCCATAATAATAATCCTCCTATTCTGTTGACTGTAATTTGTTTTAAACTGATTTTAAAATTGCATTTTAAAATTGCTGTAACCCACCCTTGGACCTTGTGGTGAAGGAAAGATAAGAAATCAAGTTATACTGAATAATAATGATTATGATTATGATACTATCTGGTCCATGTTAGGAAACTGTACACCACAAGCAATGAGCCCGGGCTTTAGAGGCAAACTTCCTGAAGTTGCATTTATCATAATAAAAAAAAATCACACCAAATTTCTACATAGAGCCTTCAAGACAACTTGAAAGAAGAACAGTAAAGCAAGAATTTAAATTGGTTATAAGGTTTTTTTAAAGCGGATTTTGGTACTTAATTTTATGTGAATTCATTTAAATATGAATACATTGTTCTATCTGGAATTAAAAAAAAAAAACAATTAAACATCATCTTAGCAAGTTTTTTGTGGGGAGAGGGGGCAGGCTGTATGCTGGAGTTCCTTCCAATTCCTAGATCCAAGAGGAATTCAACTGCTGGAATAGCCAGACAAGTTTCTTGCTAATGGCCCCCTAAGTAGGGATTGTTAAGGCAAAAGGAAGTGGCTCTGTGCCAGAGGGCAAATAGGTGGGCCCCCTTCCTCAACTGTCTGGTAGAAAGACAAAAGCCAGAGGGGGGGGGGGGGATAACTTCTTGGGGTGTTAATGCTGTGAGTCCCTCCATCATAGGTTCATGTATATACCATGTGTAAATAAATTATATATCCTAAAGCTACCACAGTCTCTGCTGTCCCTCATTACAAATAAAACAAACCATAGGTACTCCTGGAACCTTGCACCTCTTGGGGATTGGGGTGGCATGCAACAACATAATCAAAACCACTTCAACCAAAAGAGTCAGACAGACCACCTTCTGAATTAAAACCATCAGTGCATGCTTGGTCCTCCTATCAGATAGGCAGGTGCAAACCACTACAATGCAATGCTCCTTGCGATCATCTCAGCCAGGCAGCTTAGAAGGGTCCCATTAAAAGCCTTGCAGAGGTCTGATACTTTGAAGAAGCAACATCTCACATAAAACTAGACCCTAGAGACATTCAATGAAGCTGAATGGTGGGATGGCCAGGAATGACCAAAATTACACTGCACGTAGTTCAAAGTGGACTAAAGATGTGTCTGAATCCCAAGATGGAAACCCTATGGATGGGTGATTCCTAGATCTGGGAACTGGGTTTTGAACCAGCTCTGGATGTGGTTGCACTCCATCTGAAGGAGCTGGTGGACAGTTTGGGGGTACTCCTAGATCCACTGCTGTCACAAGACGCGTCAGTGACCTTTACCAACCTCAGTTGGTGTGCCAGACAAGGATAACCTTGCCATGGTGGCCCATACATTGGTAACTTCACTGTGGACTCAAAGAAAATGATCAGAGAGCTCCTTTGCCTTGTCCTCTGGCAGCCCACTTAGTTTCTACACTAACCTGCTCACTCACCTGCATATAATTTTGTGTGCCTACCTGCATCCAATTCTTTGTCACCTACGACTACCAGACAAAGGCTTTAATACAAGACTGATGTAGCCACCTATTAACCACTTCAAAGTCTTGCTTAATGAAATATTAAATTTAGTACAAAATATATATAATAAATGCAGACTACAAAGAGCAAACATGGCAGGCCCAGCCCACAAGGAATGCTTCCGAAAACAGGAAGCTTTGTTATTATACGTTTATTTGAATGGTGCAAAAGACAGCCTGACCACCGTACTGACTTATTCCCATGGCACTGGGTTACAGTTAAAACACAGGTGCAGTTGCAAAGTAATCTAGGAAGGCATCTGGAGATTCCCGCAGATGCTTAAAGTATTGACAGAGCTATGGATTCCTGCCTTGTATTGCTCACATGATTAAGGTCCACGAAACAGACAATAAGCCACGGCTAGTTATCCCACTCACCCCCCTCCCCCGCCCAATGAGCCATACTTTACTGAAAAGCAAAGCCCTTTTGCCAATCTTAGGCAAAAAGCACAATACTTTTAACAACTTGTGAATGAACAGGCCATAAAGTGAGTTGGATCACAGCAAAAGTCCATTTAGTACAGCACCCCAGTTCCCACACTGGCCAATCTGAGTCTTCAGGAAGGCCACACACAGAAACACACCCCTGCCACTACTCCCCAGAAATTGGTATTCAAAAGCATGCTTCCTCTAAACGCAGGGGTCCCATGTAGCCGTTATCAGGCAAAACCACAGGGACAGCCTTTTTGTCCTCCATGAATCTGCCATAATTTAAAGCCCTCTTACCCACTAGCCATCAGCAGCACATCCTGTGGCAATGAGTTCCATAAAAAATAATCAACAGTGTGCAGAAAATCTTTCATTTGTCCTGTTTCATTAGATGACCTGAGTTATTGTCTTACAAGAGAGGGAGGAAAAACTCCATATCCATTATTTCTACACTATACGTTGATTTGTAAACTTCTACCATGTCTCCCAAATACATACATGAGGATGCAAAAGCCTTTCAGGTCCATCAAATGGATATACTACTCACTGAAAAAAACAAGCGAGCTCCCCACCCGCATCAAAGCAAGTAGAAGGGATGACTCACCATCTTCCATGTCTTCTTCTGTGTTGTTGTGACCGTCAGCCATTGCTACATTCCCATTGATGACTGGGTTTTGAGTAATTCTTGGTGGATCATCAGCATCTCCAGCTTATTGGGATAAGGAAAACAGAAATAGATCAGTAACCTGGATCTTGACAGTAGTACTGACAAATTACAGTGGTCCTTGGGTTACATACGCTTCAGGTTACAGACTCCGCTAACCCAGAAATATTACCTCGGGTTAAGAACTTTGCTTCAGGATGAGAACAGAAACTGTGCTCCAGCAGCATGGCAGCAGCTGGAGACTCTATTAGCTAAAGTGGTGCTTCAGGTTAAGAACAGCTTCAGGTTAAGAACGGACCTCCAGAACGAATTAAGTACTTAACCCGAGGTACCACTGTATGCAGATCTAAAACATAGCAAAATTATGCAATATAGTAAAAAGCTAATATTTCTTCTAAAATAAATTAAGATCTTACTTTGGGTTCTTCACATTTGGTTGCATCAAATGTGAACCATATTCTGAGTAGCCCCACTAAAACAAATGAACGTAACTAATTTAAATGCCTTAAACTCAATGGATCTACTTTAAATAAAGCTTATTTAGATACAACCTTATTTAGATACAACACTGTCAGAACTAGCCTTTAGCAGGCTTCTGACTCCATTACTTTGTTTATACTATGCTACTAAAAGTTATCTAACTTTATGCAAAAATGTTTCCATATTTTATCAAGAATCACTGTTAAAGTCAAGGTCCATTTTTATTATTTCCTTCCTTCCTCACAGCAATGCAATCCAGCAACAAATGCAAAACAAGTCTCAAAAGCTGCATTTCTCCAGTTCACATTACACATTTAGCCTTCAAAGCCTATTCAGCACCCAGGACAGAGCTATACAAAGTTAACACTGGTCTATGGTACAATGATGGTGCCTTCAGTGCTAACACAAGAGAAAGCCTGTTCAAGTAAAGATTTTCAAGATTAAAGGAAGGCTGACTTCAGCACTCTCACGAAGTCTTAGAGACAACATACACACAGTGCTAAGGACACATTTTAAAATCTTTTAGGCTGTATTAATTATGGACTGTGACCATTTCCTTTTCACGAACTGTTTGTTGTAACCTGTACGTCTGAATGAGGGAGAGGTGTTGTTGTTTTTAAACAAGATGCATTGGTGCTTGCCTCCCCCTTTAAGTATGCTTAGAATAGGTGGCTTTTAGGAAAAAGCAGCCAAGGAGGCCTCTGATCTACATCCAGAACACATCAAGAGTGGTTTGTCCTTGGGATGGCTATTTTTAGTGATAAAATGGTACAGGATGAAAGGGTAAAAGTTCTACTGCACCCATGCTACAGTCCCAATCCAGCTGTTTTTTCTGAAGAGAAGGCAGCTTCTGTGAACAGCTTTTAAAAATGCATGCTTAACATGAATGGTAGTCTGGCACTTAAGTCTTCACCAGCTCTAGACCTCACTCATTACACAATCCACCTGCTGCATCTTCCTGCTCTGGAAAGGCTTCCAGGTTAGTCTGCAATGCTAAAAGCTTACTTCCTAAGAGTGTCCACTTCAAGTCAGTTTTTCTCTGGTAGCACAACTCCAAGATCTATACTCTTAAGAAATATTTCCTCACAGAATGGGTGTTGCTGAGTCCTGCCTGTGAGAGAACATTTATTGTTGCTGTCACAATTAGACAGATTACTTTCCTTCCACCCAGGTTTAATACCCTGCAATGACTTAGCATGCACCTTCATTTTAAGAGGATGTGCTCCCCGTAAAACAACACCTAGAAACTCAACGTTTGGTTAGATAACTAGAGGTATTCACCTGATTTGTGTACTCTGCAAATGGAACCAGTTTAAAATACATAGACTGAGCATGTTTTCTGTGCTTCAATGAATAAAAAGCTTGGCTTCTGGGTCACAACGTGAGCCTGCAGCAGCTTCAGCATCCAAACCGATACAAAATGCCAATAATGTCTACAGCTCCACCTTCCTCACAGCACAGCTGTGAGAATAAAAAGGAATTTGAAAACTCTTTGAAAGCAACAATTTAATAAAGATCCACCATAAATCCCTGAAACATCAGGAGAGCACAGAAGCCTAAATAACAAGACTTGGGAAAGAAGTGGGGGATAGTTAAGCTCACATATTCCAGAGGCACTTTCCCATTTAAAACATCTCCTGCCGCTGACCCAAACCAAATATTGTTCTAACACAGAGCTCTGAATAAGCCATTTTATGATATGCAAGACCAAAACACTTTGCAGAGATGGGAATCAAATGGAGTGGAAGGCTAAACTGGTATTTACCATCCAAGTGTGATGCAACAAAATTATGGTAGTGAACATGTGTGCGCTATCACATTCAGTGGCATGCCAGAATAATTGTCCCTTTCAATAGACTGATGCATGCCCCTCAAAACACCAGTGGGAGTTGGGGGTGAGTTGTTCAAGTCCAATGATTTGCTTTAAGAGATTTCAATAATGTAGATCTGTTACATGCATTCTCTGACCACACAGACACTGCCTACGTTCTTCATGCAGATTCAAGTTGTTGCAGAGCAAAGCAAAAAAGATGAGGTTTTTTTAGCTCAAATCTATGCTAATGTAATAAAACCAACACTGAAACCAAATGTCTATGGATGTGGAAGTGCTAAATTCTCCAGGCTAGCCTGCAAATGTGGATTGTCAACTCAGGGCAGATCCACACCATATATTTAAAGGACGTCCAATACAGATTTAAAGCACATGACTTCTACACCCTTCCCAAAGATCATGGAAACTATAATTTGTTAAGCATGCTGGGAATTTGTAATGTGGAAAAACACAGTTTCCTGGATTCTTTGGTAGGCGTGATGTGCTTTAAATGTGCACTGGATGTGTTTTAAGTGTTTGATCTGGATCTGTCCCTGATCTTCCTTCTTTTGAAGCCTTCTACATAACAGATTCAAACTCAGACTGCAAAGGAAAACTATATATAGCCAAAGAAATGTTTGTGCTGGGTGCTAAACAAAGCTATGCCTGGCCCAAACAACAATTTTTTGTTTGAACACTTGTATATAAATTTGTTTGTCTTTTCTCTCTCTCACACCCCTTACTGTTCTCCATCATATTGGCCCGAATATAAGCCGCATCAGAATACAAGTCACACCTTTAAAATTGGAGAGGGGAAAAGAAAAAATACCCGAATATAAGCTGCTCCATTCCTCGCTGCTCCTGGCTGCAAACTTTTTTTGGGGGGGGGCCACGCTGCGTTGCCAGTGACCTTTCCCCTTCCTTGTTTTCTCCCTTCCCAACCTTGGGGGAGAGGACAGAAGACTATGCGTGTGGCGGGCTCCTGCTGCTGTTTGCCCTGCGCTCCTGGCTGCATACTGTATGGTTGTGAATATAAGCCGCACTTTAACTTTTCACAGTCGGAATTTGGTAAAAAAGTGACGCTTGTATTCAGGCCAATACAGTATATACAACTTTGAGCTCCTTGGAGGAAAGGTGGGATAGCAATGTAACAGGAATACAGTGGTACCTCGGGTTACAGACGCTTCAGGTTACAGACTCCGCTAACCCAGAAATAGTACCTCGGGTTAAGAACTTGGCTTCAGGATGAGAACAGAAATCATGCGGCAGTGGCGCGGTGGCGGTGGGAGGCCCCATTAGCTAAAGTGGTGCCTCAGGTTAAGAACAGTTTCAGGTTAAGAACGGACCTCCGGAACGAATTAAGTTCTTAACCCGAGGTACCACTGTAACTGAAAGGCGGCACTGGAATTCAAGTAAAATCCCAGGCACCTGCTCATATGTGACTCTCAAGATCATTTAGAAATCTGAACTGTATTCCCAGGGCTGGAAATTAGTTATATTGAGATACAAGTCTTCCTACTTAACTAAAATAAAAGCTTGTTATTGAAAAATAAGTTTTATAAACATGATGGTTGCCACAGGAGTTTCTCCTGCAACCAGTCCAATAGAGATCCACATGTAAATAGGGTGAAAATGGAGCAACGCATTACCAACAGAGCTTTTGGTGTGGCAGAAAGGGGGAGGGGGACAAGAGTCTTCAAAAGGACCCTCATCCAAAAGCTATAGGCATGCAAGTAGGACCAGATGGTGGCCAAGAGCTCCCTAGAGGCCAGTTACTTAAAACCTCTCATCCCAATATATCCATTTCTACCAACCCCTTTCCCACCATAGCAGCCCATCTACAGCAAAATATGTGCTTGCATCCCCTAGGACACTTAAGGATTATATTAGCTTCACAATGGTGTGCCAAAGTCTTGTCACTTACATTTAAATGTCTGTCATGGGAATAAAACTATATCCTCCAGAGATATACTCAAGTGAAGTTCAGCAAATCATTTTAAAATTAACATTTTCACCTAGAGATATGAGGGCTGGGGGGGGGGGGGATTCCCATTTTTGTTAAAGCCTTTTTTGTTTTTCTGAAAAATTGGAATAAATTGAGAATAATTGGATTATTAAATATTTAAGACAAGGTGTTCAGATATTTGCTCACTCAAAATGATTTCCAAAACTGTGCAACAGGAAGACAATTCCTGTACATTGAGGACAAGTAGGTCTTGAGCTGTACAATAAGAGTTTAACTCTCAAAGTTGAAGTTATAATAGCACTGCTTCTACATTTTGAGTGGATTACAAAGCAAGCAGCATCCTGAGGGTTTGATATTGGAAAGGTGCTTTCAGATGTTGCAGAATACAGAACATATTCAGGTATTTGGCCAAGAGATGCAGTCTGGGATTCTGTCAAGCGCATCCCTCCTGCAACATATTGGCTAGGTCTGTGCACAATACGGTCTCTGACTCCTCTTGCTTCTTACCTACTTCAAATTCCTCCATCTTCTGCAGCATGTGAAAGAAATTGATCTATGTTGGAAATGCACCAAATCAAGAAATAAACTGGCATATGAAAGGGTAGAAGCTTGTTTCGATCTGGGCAAATTTTCAGTTTTTCAAAGTCCATGATAAATAGGATGACAAATATGAGAAAAGAGAAACTGATAGTGATAGTGATAGCTTAGTAAAAGACTAAATATCATGTAGTGTTCATTGACTTTTGTTTCCCTTCCCCTCTTTCCCCCAGTTCTTTTTATGGAAATGTATGCTTTCTACCTGCTTGACAGGAGGACTAGAGGAGACACAATTTGTTTTACTGTAATGTTGAAGGTTTCTATTCTTGCCTTGTCCTCATAAACTGGCAAATCCAAAGGGATGCTAGGTTCCTTACAGTGTAGCAGCTTCTACATCCAGGTGTAACAAAAACTTAATAAATTAAATCTGTAAGTACTGTCTGAATAAGCTGTATTTTAAAAATATCAGACATTATAACTTTATGGTAAACCAAGTGATACATAATGCACTTAATATTCTTAGAGTAACAGTGTGGCTTTCAACATCTAAAAGAGTGCTCAAAAAGTAGTATTGCATTTTTTCAATTTCTCCAAAAGAAATCTGCTGCTCCTCTACCTCAAAAGAAGGGAGGGCATTCCCCCCTCATGAGAGGATGTATCTGTTGCATAAAAATTGATCAGAATTCTCTCTGGCATCAGTAATTGCACAGTTTGCAAATATTCCCTTGAAGGACTAAAGCATCTTAATGTGGTTTTCTATGTACTTTTGCAAACAAAAGTTCTGCAAAGCTTAAGCCAGATATTAAGATCTCACCTGAGTTGAAGACATAGAGTTCGAGTAGGCTCATGATGATTTAAAAGTGACGGCAGGTGAAGATCGTTCCTACCAGTGCAGAAATGTAGTGGTAAAGAGTGGCCTAACATCTATCTATTGTGTCCAACCAGCTTGATGATCAGCTACATCACCTAGAGAGTTGCAAGAGAAGCGATTAACCCACCCAGACAACGTCTGTGGTTCTCAAGATACAAGATAAAGTTCCCTAATCAGGAACAGTTTCTGAGATTATACAAACTCCTTCCCAATAGCTCTCAGCTAAGTTGGGTCAAACCAATGTAGTGCTAAATGTGTATAGCAGGGAGTGCTACTGTAGCCAGTTATGGAAGCTTCAAGGAGAGGCTATTCAGTCTCCCTTTTAACCCAAGGCACTTTGCACGGCACTGTCCACTAACATGGGAAGTACTATGAGATTTTCTGCATGCCTGGCTCATTCTCCTGTGCTAGTCAGGGGCCAGTAGCCTGTAGCCCAACTAAGAAAGCCCTGTAAACAGCCTCTATAACACTGCTGTTCTGTTTAAGTGGCTGCAAATGCTGTTCTACTGCCAGTTGGTATGTTCCTAGCACCCGGAAGTAGCTATCACTACCTTCAGATAACCAGATGACTGCTAATTTGTATGGCTTTTCTACAAAGATGGAATCAACCAAATCAAGGAACATGAGTTGTTGTTTTTTTAATGGGGGGGGGGGGAGAAATCCGTATTACTCAGATGAGTTAAGACTCACTTGTTTTTCGCTCCTAAAAGAAAATGCATGCTTTTACCACTATAAGAGCCTCAGAGGCTATATCCAATACATTTACACAACAGCATATTACTGCTGTTATGAGAAACAGGGCCTGCATCTTTTTGCCCACCTAGGAAAACCATCACCAAATTTGGGGACTGTAATAATTGCAAGAGAGCTTCCATTAAGCTCTGAACAATTCAAACAACTAACTAAACATGAGAAAAGTATGCTAAATGAATGGAGAGAGCCAAAGTTTTACTGCACCCAAATTGATCAAGCCAGTGCTGCTCAAGACGATTTTGATGATGGAGGAACAGGGGGGAGGCTCACTTTCTCAAAGGTGTTGGCTGCACATTGTCATTCAGGAGAATTTGATTTGATAAGGCTCAGTAACCATAACGTTTATAAATCACTTGCTCTGCTAAGCACAACTGGTTTTTCGAATACTGGAGAGTAATGGAAAAAACTGGTAGTTGCTCTACTATTCCTTAAGCAGGTAAGTCAGAATGCTGGACCCAAGAGTTCCGTGACAGTTGCTGTCCCTGGTTCAGCCAGTGGCTGGAAGCTAAGTTTCAAAAAAGCTCTTATCTCCAGCCACACATACTTTTTTCGTTTTAAAGTCCCATAGGGCAAGAGACATAGAAATGAAATTTACAAGTAAGAAAACATACCAAATCAAAGAAACAAAACACTAATGGGAAAACTAATCTGAATTACTATCTCATCGTCTACCTTCATAGAGTAAGCACTGAATATTTCTAACTTCAACAGTGTTTTAAACATAGCATTTACTTTCTAAGGGAAATGCACAATACAAAGCCCAGACTATACCAGATGGGAAAAAAACCAAAGAAGCAGTGCATTTGCTGCACAATCCTATACATGTTTACTTGGAAGTTCAGCTGTATTCAATAGGGATCATTCCAAGGAAAAGATACAGGATTGCAGCCAAAAAGGACATTCTTAAGAGAGAAGGAGTGCAACCTAACAAATCAGCAGCTATGCACAGATTTTTACTGCAAGGCTCAGAGAAATTAACAGAGTTTGAATGACAGGAAAACTCGGTGAATTAAAGCAAAGGGCTGAATGAAGTACTGCCATCCAGGAGTCAAACTAATTAGTACACCAAAAAGTGGTATTTACTTCACACATAAAAATACCAACAAACCCCACCTCCGAGCAGGAATGAAATTCTGAATGTCCACAAATGCATGTTTCTATGCTTACTTAATATATAATACTTTCTTATAAAAATAATCTAATCTCTTTAATGTATGCACAATCAGAGTGGACCCCCCCACCACAGCTTTTATAATGTGTGAATATAAGGAATGAAGGTTCCAATCTGAGTTAACGATCATGAGTATTGACTCTGTACATGTCTTACAACTGCTAATACAGTAGATAGATAGATAGATAGATGATAGATAGATAGATAAAGATCTTGCAAATGCAGCTGCATTGATCCATAAGAAAAACGCTCCTAAAAGTTGAGTAATACCTTTATTAAAGGTAAAGGAACCCCTGACCATTAGGTCCAGTCGTGACCGACTCTGGGGTTGCGGCGCTCATCTCGCTTTATTGGCCGAGGGAGCCGACGTACAGCTTCCGGGTCATGTGGCTAGCATGACTAAGCCGCTTCTGGCGAACCAGAGCAGCGCACGGAAACGCCGTTTACCTTCCCGCCAGAGCGGTACCTATTTATCTACTTGCTCTTTGACGTGCTTTCGAACTGCTAGGTTGGCAGGAGCAGGGACCGAGCAACGGGAGCTCACCCAAAATGCCACAAAGGTGTGGGAAGCTTCTGAGTTCTCCAGAGCTATTAATCAGTCAAGATGTAACACAAGCAGGGTATGGGGAGAAAGAGGGGAGAACAGTACAAACTCAGGCCGACCTTTCAGCAATGAGGCCAACTTGTAGACTCAGTTCCAAGACTGAAGAGTTAGGGGTAAATTCCACTTTTACCACCCTAAATAGGGATTTGTTTTGGTGCTGAAAAAATAGGACTCCAACCCAAGCCAAAATTAGTAAATCCATGAAACTGTGGAACAGAGAAACTGATAAAAAGAAACTATTCTGTCTATTAAGCAATGTAACAATGTTGTTAAACTATATATCAGATGTAATTACACTCTGCAGATAAAACATGAGCTAAATATTTACTATTGTTACTTGCTTAAAACAAAACAAATTTCCTCCCCTTTATCCTACATTTTGATGAGCTGCATGAACTATGGGTGCTGAAATTGCCTCATGAGCCTGGATAAAGTAGTAACAGCTACAATGATGCAATGCTTGTGAAAAAAGGAAATGCTGTTTTGCATTGCGTCAAAATGTAAGAGACATCAGATTCTAGTATGATCTAGCTTGGTTGCTGGGAAAAGCAAGCAGAACTTGGTGCCAATAAAGGGAAGAACCCATAGCTATCAAATTCCCTGGAAAGGAAGTTTTCACCTCACACTACATTCACTCAAGGTGCTTTGGAATCACCTTATTCAAAAGCAACATTGATTTCCTGTAAAAACTTTTTCTTGTGAGGGAGGCAGTGAGCATGAAGTAACATTGTTTTATGTACTATACAGAATACAGGAAAGGCTTGTGACCTACATCATGGCTTTAATACCTGCATCTATTTTACTGAAACTCATCCAGAGGCAGAAGCAGAGCTGCTCCAACCAGTTCTGGATCCTGCCAATGCAGATTCTTTGGATACAAGTCAGCATGCTAGGGTGGTGGTTCAATAGGGCTGAGACAAAATGAGATGCTTTGCCAATCACCCTTCCAACACAACTGGAAATTATATCCCACAATAATTAATCCAGAATTAAGACACCGCCTCATAATTGCTAACCTGGATAAGAATCCTCACTTGATTCATAAGTGTATATTGGAAGAGGGAAGGAAATCACTTGGTTACTTTTAACAACCTTTTGTGAGCAAAACAACATGGTTACTGGGTAATTTTCTGCATTAAATGATATTGTCCTTGTTGACCATTCTGGGGAAATTAGTCCTACTGCAAAGTGAAATTGGAATTAAAAGTCTGAATTCAATTTGTAAGGAAAAAAAGAGGGACAGACTTATAAGTTGTTCTAATAACAAAAAGTTATACAAAATTATAATTGTAAACAGATCAGCCAAAGCACACATTGCATTTTCTGGGGCCTGTCTCTCTATTTCAAAATACATTTCTCTGCACTACACGGAGCACTATGTGGTGCTCTCTTGGCAGTAACAATGGTAGAAAACTGAACTTTCTGAATATAGTACCAGTATCACAGAATTCGGCTGTGAGAAACTGTACTTCTATTAACAAAAAAAGGAGCCAAGGTCTGCCAAAAACCTTGAAACACCAATGCAATCCTTTTGCAATCTTAATTATTATGTGTTTATATTGTGTATATATAACTGTTGCAGGCTATTGTTTTTTAAAAAAGGAAATCATGGTAAGTATCTAAATGAACAAACAAACAAACAAACAAACCCACAAACCCATCACACTGAAATAACTATTTTTTATAATCAATTCCATTCTCCCCTAACTTTATTGTGGAGAACACGAAATGTGCTTCACACTGGGACCAAACTGCTGCCTCCCTCTCACCTATCAGATGAGATTCCTTGCCACCAATGGCTACCAGGTGAGTGCTTAAGTATATGGCTGCTTTAAGCACACACACCCTATGATACATTAGAGATGCATTTACAGTCTGCCTCAACCCCACCTAGTCCTGCCTCTGGACAAAACAACTTATTTGTTGTATTCTTTCATTTACAGTTCCTAATTTTGTCATTTGCAGTTAGAACTTTGTTCAAGGTGCTTTGGAGCAATTAAGTTAGATGCAGCTCGCTCCCTCGCTCCCTCCCTCATTCATTCATTCATTCATTCATACATACATACATGACTTTCATTAATTTCAGCACAACTTACTGCCTATTTGGGAGTATGGTTATAACCAAGATGCTGTATCTTCAAACTCAAACACTAAAAGTACACAAATATAAACTATTAATGAAGATGAACTTTTAATGACTGTCCCCTCAGTGCAGCTTAAGTTGTATCTAAGTCTACAAGCATCAATCAATTTAATCAATTGATTCACAATAACTGAAATAAACATTATTCTGTCTTTTAAACCTGGATCTTCCACAGGACTGATAGACTTATTTTAATTCCAATGTGTTAGCACACTGGCCTACACCTGGTGAGTCAGGATCCATTACCAGGTCAAAGGCCTGATCTAAGGTGGATAGTAACAGCAGCACTACCACCATATAAACATATGGTAAGAAATGGGTTCCCCAAATGCATGTTTGGGTTAAAGGTGGATCGCAGGTCTGAAAAGGTGAAGACTACTGTTTTAGGAAATAACCGAACAGTCCATATTATTTCTCTACTATTGATGGAATACTATTGAAGGAAACATTAAAAGATGGCTTTTCATCTTATTTATTTTATTCACAGGGGAACAAAACAATACAAATAAAAATAAAACAATATAGTCTTATGGTAAAAGGAAACACAGATGGATTTTTTAAAAAATAGTGAGCAAAATGTTGACATCCCAGATATAAGGTAAATCTTAATATTATTATTTGTAGGGGTGCATTTACAGTTGCAAAATGCTGGAAGAACTTGAACCATCTATTGTTAGAAGCATGGCATAATAAAGTATAGACAATTATGCTGGCAAAAAAAATTGAACTAGTAAAGTTTGGGCATAAAGACAACAAAAGGAAATATTCATTTTATGAAATTTGGTCTGCTCTCATTGATTTCTTTAAAAAACAGGATAAGAGGTTTTTTTTATAAAAAAACTAGTAAAAATAAACTGGGGGGACATCAATATATAGAAATTACAAAATCCTATAAACAATTCTGTTATAAGGCAAACAAGCAAAACCACAATGACAAAAACTAATGTTTCTAATTTAACCAAATACTTTGGTAAAAAATAAACACATGACTTTAAACCACCATGGGTCTTAGCAGCACTTCCCACCTCATTTTTTACCTTTGACAGCCCACTCACTTTCCCTCTGTTTCTCGCAAAAAGAAGGCCCCAGGCCCTACTTTGTGACAACAGACTGTCTCATTCAGTGGCCTTTGAGCAATTTAACACCTTTCACCCCCCTCTGTCCTCCTCACCCAGGTTCTCACCTGCGTGATATGAATCTTTGCCCATAAGCATCCACAGCAAGAACCTCCCACCCCTTGTTCAAAGTATAACTGAAAGCTTTTGCTTAACATTTGATTATAAGTAGACTGAGAGCCTTCCTTTGAACTCCTCAAAAAGCTACCCTTAATGAGGTTTTCCAACATGTGTTTAAATTTTCAAAATAAGACGAAAGAAATACAGTAATGTATTACGTTGGATGGCAGCCTTAGCATGCAACAATTGAGAGGCACTCTGTGTGCTCTCTTTGCCCAGAGATAATGCCAATAACACTGTAGCACAGGTGGCAATTTGTGATCTCTGAGCACTGCTGTCAACGCTACCAACAACCTACCAACCTCTTTCATACATTACAGTCACTGCACCTCCCATAATCATCACTGCTATGGCTCTTATTACATAAGCCCTCCTGACAAGAATCATAGAATCAAAGAATCTTAGAGTTGGAAGTGACCCCAAGGGTCCTCTAGTCCAACTCCCTGCAATGCAGGAATCTCAGCTAAAGCATCCATGACAGATGGCCATCCAACCTCTGCTTAAAGCCCTCCAAGGAAGAAGAGTCCACCACCTCTCGTGGGAATTTGTTCCACTGCTGAACAGCTCTTACTGTCAGAAAGTTTTTTCCAAATGTTTAATTGGAATCTCCTTTCTTGCAGCTTGAAGCCAATGGTTTGAGTCCTACCCTCCAGAGCAGGAGAAAACAAGCATGCTCCCTCCTCCATGTGACAGCCCTTAAGATATTTGAAGATGGCGATCATATCTCCTCTTTTCCAGGCTAAGCATGCCCAGGGCTTAGTTTCCAGACTCTTGATTATCTTGGTTAATAATCATAATCATAATAATTTATTATTTATACCCCACCCATCTGGCTGGGTTTCCCCAGCCACTCTGGGTGGCTTCCAACAAAGATTAAAAATACATTAAAACATCAGTCATTAAAAACTTCCCTAAACAGGGCTGCATTCAGATGTCTTCTAAACATCAGGTAGTTGTTTCTCTCTTTGACATCTGATGGGAGGGCGCTCCACAGGGCGGGTACCAATACTGAGAAGGCCCTCTGCCTCGTTCCCTGTAACTTCGCTTCTTGCAGTGAGGGAACTGCCAGAAGGCCCTCGGCACTGTACCCCAGTGTCCGGGTTGGACGATGGGGGTGGAGACGCTCCTTCAGGTACACTGGGCCAAGGCCGTTTATTAGGGGTTTAAAGGTCAACACCAACACTTTGAATTGTGCTCAGAAACGTACTGGGAGCCAATGTAGGTCTTTCAAGACCGGTTTTATGTGGTCTTGGTGGTCGCTCCCAGTCACCAATCTAGCTGCCGCATTCTGGATTAGCTGTAGTTTCCAGGTTACCTTCAAAGATTGCCCCACGTAGAGTGCATTGCAGTAGTCCAAGCGGGAGATAGCCAGAGCATGCACTACTCCTGCGAGACAGTCGGCGGGCAGGTAGAGCCTCAGCCTGCGTACCAGATGGAGCTGGTAGACAGCTGCCCTGGACACAGAATTGACCTGCACCTCCACGGACAGTTGTGAGTCCAAAATGACTCCCAGGCTGCACACCTGGTCCTTCAAGGGCACAGTTACCCCATTCAGGACCAGGGAATTGTTTCTTGTTGGATGGATGGTTGTGGTCTGTATGTGAATTGAGATCTTTGTCCTAGGGAGTGCTTGCCCCACTTAAATGACACGTTGTATTTTGTGAAGTTTTGCGAAGTTAGGGAGCAAAGACCAGAAGGTATCTGCAGGCAAGGCTGTGAAAAGCAGCTGTCTGAAATCTGGAGATCCACTGAAGACATACTGACCTACACAGATGAAAGGCCTGACTCAACACAAGACAGCTTTGGATGACCATAAATGTTCATCTTAATTGTTTCATGGCACCTTCAAGTCTAGTAAATGCTTACAGGTGACTACTTCTTTCATATTACCAAATAGCTTACTGCCTAAGAAAGTTTATCCTGAAATACATTTGTGGCCTCTTAAAGACGAGTAAGACTAATTTTGGCTGTAAAATATTGAAAAGTACTGAATTCCTCTGGAATTCACCCCAAATGTAGCAACTGAAAACATCAAGTGAAGACAGAAATCTAGTCTGCTCACCAAAGTAACAGGTCAAAACTATAGGAACCTAGAAAGCTGACTTATATTGAGTCTGGCTGACAGCAGCTTTCTGGGATTTCAGCCAACCATCTCTTGCAACCTTACCTGGAAATGCCAAGGGTTGAACTTGGAGCACTCTGCATGCAACACAGATGTTCTGCCACAGAGTTATGGTCCTTCTTTATACAGTACACTCTGAAATGAATGCTAAACCAGCACAATTCATCAGGAAGAAAAGTGACAGCTATAAATCCAACACCATTATTGATCAGAAAAGCTACAGAAGATCTTTTCCAGTCGATGGCATTTCCCCATCTTTCTTTTTGGTCATATTTGCACCTTGCCTTTCCTCCAAGGAGCTTATGATGGCATACAATCCATGCTTGTTCTATCCCCATCCCAATCTGAATGCAGTCCTGAGAATTTAGTTAGAACACTGAACATGGGCCAAGGAGATCCTATCTATTCTTAAGCCTGTATCCACTAAATATACATATTTAAAGACTACACTCCATCACCAGATACGGCAATACAGTTACAGCATAAAAATGCTGAACACAAACACCATGAGCTACTACCTTTCAGAATACTGAAGAGCCTGAAAATGTAACTGTGCAAATGTTGAATCTCCCACCAGAGGATTGCTGGAGATAACTTAAACAAGTGGGGAAATTTTATCTGTCCCCACTCCCAGGCTAACTTTAACATCTGGGTAGAAGAATCCACCTGTCAAGAATATAATGCCCACCCACCTGACAAAATCCATTGCACTTGCTTTAAGGTGGATCTCACAATCCTTTCCAAGTAGAGAAGACTGGGAGCTGAGTACTCTTTATCGCAATCTCTCCCAGATCATGGCAAGTGCAAATCCACTGCCATAATGTACTTGGAGAAGGAATTGCTGACAAAATAAAAATGAGCAGCTCGGATCAAAGAATTTGTCGTCCTGTGAAGGGGACCTGGTATGACAGTGCACTGACTTTTCCTTGTCTAGTGTCTGAATTATTTAATACAATAAGGAAGACTAATCCAAGGCCGGGAGGTAGGGGGGAGTTAACGGCCTGTTTATGCTTTGAGTTATCAAGATACAAAAATTCCTTAATTCCAATCATTCTCCAGTTGGCTTAATACTATCAAAAAGAGTTAGAAATTACCCTGTGGATTCAATGGTTACAGCACACTGAAAGCTATTGCTCAACCCCCCCTCCTACTTCTTAAATTCCACAAAATCCCAACAGCATTGAACCTTCTGATCAAAACCAGCTTCTCTTAGTCACTTTTAGTGACTAAATACCTCAACCTCAAAGTATCAGTGGCCTTATGGTGCATAAGCAGCTTGTTTCCAAAACGTTGGAATGCAGAATGTAAATTGGCTATGTGTTCATCAAATAATGCACTTTATATCAAATTCAGAAATTAATGCACATTCCACAAGACCTCTGACACCATTTGAAAATTTAATTTTACACACAAACGGACATGCAAAAAACCCCACCTTCTTTCTATGCTTTATAGAAAAAATAATGAGTTAACAATGGACGATGCAATTCTTTATAACAACAATGGAAATCTGACACAGGTATCAAAATTAAGGAGGTGGACTGGAATAATTTGTGGGCTAAAAAACATTTAAATTACTACATCGATGGCATGTAGCTATATAAAAAAAAATACTCCCACCTCTGCTGGAGAGGCTGCAACAGGATAGGTACAACATTCCACATGTTGGGTTGTGTGATTACGTACAGCCCTTCTGGCAGAGTCCATTTATGGAAATAAACCACACTGCAGGTCAACATGTGGAAAGTACCCCAAATTTGGGGCTGCTAACCATTTTAAGAGAAGAGCAGCTTGACCTCTATTAAAAAGAATTACAGTAAACATTTTTCTTCTGGTGGCAGCACACATAATAGTAGTACAGAACTGGAAAGGAATGGAATATTTGCAAACACCTTGCTGGAAACAGAGTGTAAGGGTAATTGCTTTATCAGAAAAAATTAACAAAGAGACTGCACACATTGAACAATACAAGAGATGCAGATGACTTTACTGAAATTTGCCATCCTCTGATAAAATAGTCAAATGATAATCCTGAAGAATAGCATCCACTGGAATCACAAACTGGACTGGGGCAAAACTTAATGGACTGATCTGTCCTGCAGGGGACAAGTTGGCATGGGGAGGGAATTTCTGTAATTGTGTTTATACACTGAAAACTGACAAAACTTCTTACAAATGTCAAGAAGCTGCTTGTTCCTCTTTAGTGATACTATAGACAGAGTTGGTTTATGCATCCACAACTGATGCAGAGTGCAGAGGGTACTTGCAGGAGAACACTAGTGTCTGAGATCAAAGGTTGAGTTTGCAGCAGTGGCAAGCAGGGTTAGAAAGGAAGACAACAAAAACAGAGCTGGGTTGTAAAAGGTCACAGTTTTATTACATACAGCTTCTGTAGACTTCGGCGTAAAGCAGCAGAAGCATAGTGGCTGACAGGCCAACTACTCAGCCCACCCTCAGGACAAACTGTAAGGTAGCCCAAGACAGCATATGATTCAATCACTATTCTGTGCACAGGCAATAACTTGGGGTGCTGTATTTCAGACTGCTTTGTGCCCGTAACCTCTGAGGTCCTTTAAGTGCCATCATCTATGAGGGCCTGTGAGGAGTCCATCCCTACATACTCCCTCAAAAACGTTGTCTCTGTCTGAAGCCCAGTTGTACACTTTTGAGAACAGCAAAGCAACGCTTTACATAAGGGATAGTCAACATGGTATCCTATAGATCAGGGGTGGCCAACTCCCAAGAGACTGTGATCTACTCACAGAGTTAAAAACTGGCAGTGATCTACCCCCTTTTGGGGGGTTCGGGTCAAAGTTGTTGAGGTTTTTCAGGGAGGAGGCAAAATGCTGAGCTTTTTTTAGGGGAGCCACAGTTGTTCAGCTTCTTTGGGGGGGAGCCAATGATCTACCTGTGATCTACCGCAGACGTCCAGTAATCTACTATTGGACATGCCTGCTATAGATGTTATTGGACTAAAACTCCCCTCAGCTCCATCAGCCAGGAAAAACAGGATACCGTATTTTTTGCTCTATAAGACGCACCAGATCATAAGACGCACCTAATTTTTGGAGGAGGAAAACAAGAAAAAAAAAATTCTGAATCTCAGAAGCCAGAACAACAAGAGGGATTGCTGCGCAGTGAAAGCAGCAATCCCTCTTGCTGTTCTGGCTTCTGGGATAGCTGTGCAGCCTGCATTCGCTCCATAAGACGCACACACATTTCCCCTTACTTTTTAGCAGGGAAAAAATGAGTCTTATAGAGCAAAAAATACAGTATGTAGTTGGGGAAAAATTGGAGTGTACCACGTTGGCTACCCTTGTGTTATATTTGCTTTGCTGTGAAGAGACTAGGAACCCCAGCCATCACTCATAACATCACTCATAACAGTCTATGGATCTGGAAAAATTCCTTCCCAGATCCTAGAACTAGATCAGGAATCTCAGAGGTGCTCATGCCCTTAACTGACATGCAGACCTTACCTACAAATTAGTTTTATTTTTATGCACTGTAACTGCTGTCATGGCTGTCCTTCAATGCTCATATAACTACAAGATGACACTTAAACCAACCTTTTTCAGTGTAGATACTTCACTGAGTTGCAAATGTATTAGCAAGCCCCTATTTTACATGAGCTACACCCCACATAATATACCTAGGGCTGCTCCTTTCTCTTTTGCCATTGAATAAGTCCCTGAAGGAAAGGAAGGAAAACTGCTCTGCAAAATTTCTTTCATGACTTTGCCCAGATCCCACTTGCTAACTACTCCAAGGACTCCTACGGAGTAGCAAGGAAATGGGGAGGGGGTAGAGGCAGAACACAAAGAAGTGTGTTGCAAATGAGATATATAATAATCTCTAGAGGCATGACTCCAATTTGTGTTCTATTTTAAGATGGCAATCGAACTTTTAACTGGTTAACTGCACCAATTAATCGATTACCACATTAATTCCAAATGAGTTTGTTTACAGACCTGGATCTCTTGCTGACAAAAAATAGAGGGCAGAGAAAAACTTCAAAGAGGCCAATTCATTAGATAAATATTTTCACTGTAATTCTGTTGATCCAATAATCACAGTATATTATTCTGAAGTTTAAATATTTTCTTTTCTACACGTGCATTGATTAGAGTATGTAGACCGTTAGGTCCTGGAACAGTCACTTTCTAGAAAAGAAGCAAGTTAACCCACATATATAGCTATACAGCCTTTTATATCATGCATATATTTCACAACTCTCTACTTGCTATCTCCATTATGGAAGAGTCTTCATTTCAGTTTACATGGTGAGACTGCACATAAAACTATATAGCAGTAAGAAGAACTTAACAGCAACCATTGCAAAACTTATACCCGCTAGATGTTTTTGTCAACAACTCCCACCACCATTGGCCAGCACAACCATTGGCAGTCCAAAACATCTGGAGGGCACCAGGCTGGTGAAGGCTGTTTTATAGGAAAAGCATTTACAAAAATTGACAGGATTGTATTAAAATCAACATTTTATGCTTCACAGCACAATGGTCCTACACAATGTGTTAAATTTATCACATTAACAGTGGCTAACATGCTATTTGTGCTAAGTATTAAGCAGCAGGAGGAGGAAGATACAGCCCAAAAATTATTATGGCCCTTTGCATGGTGAGCAAGATTTTATGAAGAAACCCAGCTGGCTTAAGATGTTGTCATCACTTTTGCTGCCACAAAATTTGCACAGGGGCTGGGAACACATTGAAGCCACCTCTGCTTCCAGGTCAGATCTGCTCTGAACCATTTATATTCAGTTTCTTACCCACATGGATAGGGAGTGTTGTAGCATGAATTTGGTTGAAACACACAGACTGCATAGCAGCTCATAACTCCCAGGACCTGCTGCAAGCTCACAGAAAGACACAATTTCCCCACCAGCTTCCATGCCTCCTGGCCTTATGGTCAATAAAGAGTAAAAGTACTGCATGGTAGCCTGCTACACAGCAGTAAAGCGCTGGATCTGAATCTTGCTCCATCTCCCTTCTAGAAAGATTATTAAGATGCTGATTAATGGTCTCAAATGAACATTCAGGAAGTCATGATGAAGGACATTCACAACCAGCCTCTGTCCTTGGAGCACATTTACAATCAACCTTGTGCAAGGGTCTTACTGTTCACGGTCCTTTCTAATCATCTGCTTATCTAAAATCTTCATAGACATCAGTGTTGTTACCATAATAAATACGCAATACACAACAGACTTTATAACACTTAAAGCTTCTAAGTTTGATGTAATATATTCTCTCACATAGAAAAGCAGCTTCTGACACAATGTGTTTGATAAAATACCGTAATTCAGTTTAAGAAATTGTATGTTTGCAATAAATTCAGTTTTCCTTTAAAACTAGGTTGTTTATTTTTTAAAAAGGGGGGAGGGAATGAATTTAATTTCCAACTTAAAAACAATGAGATGTATTCTATCACAGTTGCACAATGCATTTGATCCCTGGAGTCACCCTATGTTTTGTGATTGCAGGAGATTTATTGTACAGTAATTAGAAGGTTTTAAAACTGTTTTAAATGCTGTATTTTAAACTGTGTAACCCACCCGACACCTTAGTGTGAAGGGAGGATAATTAGTAACAACAGTAATAATAATCCTGAGCACCATATGACTTAAACAGGATGGGTTTTTTTAATTACACTTTACAATTTACCTCATAACATAGCAAGTCAAACTGTATATAGAGTAGTACTGTACAGGGTGTTGTGTTAGTACATGGGGTGGAATGTCATTGCCTTTTCAGGCTTGATTTGGGAGGGAGTAACTGGACTTCCAGTAGCAGCCAAGAAAACATATGTAATAATTATTTAGGAAAAAAATATTTATATACCACAAAAAACCAAACATCATAAAAAGTTAAAAACAAGTTGAAAGCAAAAATAAATTAAAAACAAAGCTCAACAGACCATTGTGGGGGATGTATTCTTAATTGTCTGCATAGGCCTGGCAGAATAAAAGTTTTCAGCATGCTTTTAAAGATTGGCACAGAAGGGGGCTGCTGAATCTCTATTGGCAGAATGTTCCATAGGACAGGACTGATGATCTCTCATTGTTGTCCGTGGAACCTCACCAACTTGGGGAATGAACAGAGACACTCCTGCAAATGATCTCAGTGATCAGGCTGGAATATAAGGGTTCAGGTTATATCTGGGATATCCTGGACCCTGGTTGTTCAAGGCTTTGTAAATCAACACAAGAACCTTGAACCTGGTTCAGTAGTAGATGAGCAGCCAGTGCAGCTGTTTTAACCCTGTCACATTTTTTGACCAGAAGCTCCCATCAGCAATCTGGCTGCAGCATTCTGCACCAGCTGGAGTTTCTAAACCAGACCCAAGAGCCGCTCCATATGCTCTACTTGCAGGATGCAAGCCTCATTTACATGTGTGCATGTGAGGTTGTAAATACAGTGGTACCTCAGGTTAAGTACTTAATTTGTTCCGGAGGTCCGTTCTTAACCTCAAACTGTTCTTAACCTGAAGCACCACTTTAGCCAATAGGGCCTCCTGCTGCCGCCAGAGCACGATTTCTGTTCTCATCCTGAAGCAAAGTTCTTAACCCGAGGTAATATTTCTGGGTTAGCGGAGTCTGTAACCTGAAGCATATGTAACCTGAAGCGTATGTAACCCGAGGTATCACTGTATCCACTTGCCCGGGCTGAGTAAAAGTCACCCCCCAGGTGATTAAACATTTTTCATAAACTGGATAAGAGTTATTTCCTCAAGACTGTCAACGTGCCACAAATGACTAACGTAGCAGTGTGCAGACGAGCAAGTGTGCAACAGCTGTGAATTTATTTGCAAGGTTGATACAAATACACATTGGTTAACTGTATACAAAGAATAAATACAAATGTGAAGAATTAACTCTGCTCGGTAAAAAATTGAATTAATCTGCAAATGTTATAACAAGGAAAGAGATCTTCCTTGGGGAAAGAGAAAGAGGATGATTTGGTTCCATCCTTTGATTCTATTCTACAAGTCATATTTTGCATCCACATACAATCTGCAGGACTTCAGAACACTGCTGTCATTGTTCCAGTTTTTCTAGTAATAATGCATATTAATAAATAACTCTTTGAGAGAGTTGGGGCAAGTTGCAGCTCATCACCAGTCTACTCCTGCCTCTGCACCTTCACTGCCAATTCCAAACACCCTGTTGTGTCATTTAAGGTACTGGCTAGACTGCTTTAACTGCTTCAGTTTAGATGCACAGCACAATTTCACTTGAGTAAATTAATTACCTGTACTAAGTTAAGCCAGTCTCAAGAAGAACTTTATTTTACAATAAAGTAATGTGTGTTCCCAGTACACACAATATATAAATGAACTAAGTTACTAAGCCGCTATAGGAACCATTTGGAAACATTATTGTTGCATGCCACCCCAATCTCATAGCAGTGCGAGATTCCAGGGGTTCCAGGCACTTACCCAGGGTTTGATTTTCTCTAAATGCGGGGTAGCAGAGACTGTGGTGTATTTATGATATATGATTTATTTTCACACACACACCCTGAGCATATGATAGAGGGGCTTATAGCATTAGCACCCCAAAAGGAGGAAGTCTTGCTTCTCCCATAGCCATTGCCTTGTATTCCAGCTGAAATCAGGCATGGCTCTGTCTCTCAGCTGCCTCAGCTAACACACCTGGCTCTGGCTTTTTGTATTTCTAACTACCAGACAGTTGAGGGAGGGGGCACAGTCATTTGTCCTCTGGCACACAGCTACTTCCTTTGTTACCTTAACAATTCATACTTAGGGGACCATTACAAAGAAACTTGTCTAGCTATTGCAGCAATTGAATCCCTGTTGGATCCAGGAACTGGAAGGGACTCGGGCATACATCCTTCCATCCCCACCCCAACCAAACTCACAACACTATGTAATTGTATTTCTTAATTTTCCAAACAGAACAATGTTTTCATGTTTAAATGAACTTACATGATCTTAAGTGTCAAAAACTGTTTAAACAAAAAACAAAAAACAAAAACAAAGTTAAATTCCTGTTTTGCTGTCATTCTTTCAAGATGCCTTGAAGGCTCTGGAGAAATTTGGTGCTTTTTAAAAATTTTTAACTATAAACACAGCTTCAGAATGTTTGCCATGATGTGCCCTCACTGCGAGAAGCAAAGCTACAGGGAACCAGGCAGAGGGCCTTCTCGGTAGTGGCATCCGCCCTGTGGAACGCCCTCCCATCAGATGTCAAAGCGATAAACAACTACCTGACATTCAGAAGACATCTTAAGGCAGCCCTGTTCAGGGAAGTTTTTAATGTGTGAAATTTTAATGTATTTTTGGTCTCTGTGGAAGCCGCCCAGAGTGGCTGGGGAAACCCAGCCAGATGGGTGGGGTACAAATAATAAATTATTATTAATTATTATTATTATTACTGTGTACAGGCTGACCTGTTGGACCAAACAGCAACATAATCACTGTTCAGGTAGCTGGCCGTGTTGGTCTGATGCAGTCGAAATAAATCAAAAAATTGTCCAGTAGCACCTTAGAGACCAACTAAGTTTGTTCTGGGTACGTCAAAGTGCAAGTAGATAAACAGGTACCGCTCCGGCAGGAAGGTAAACAGCGTTTCCATGCACTGTTCTGGTTTCACCAGAAGCGGCTTAGTCATGCTAGTCACATGACCCAGAAAAACTGTCTGCGGACAAACGTCGGCTCCCTCAGCCAGTACAGCGAGATGAGTGCCGCAACCGCAGAGTCGTTCGCAACTGGACTTAACTGTCAGGGGTCCTTTACCTTTAAAGGTTCCACTGGACAATTTTTTTATTTATAATCACCATTATTATTCTTCAATATAACATGATTTCTTATCTTCCCTTCACTACAAGGTCCAAGGGTGGGTTATAGCAGTTTAGAAATACAGCTTTGCCCCCCTCCCCGAGTCATAACAGTTTATAGCTAAGTTTAAGTCACACTCACAATATTTTCCAGTGAAATGAGAGGAGAATGTAACTTCGGACTTTCTGCCATGGTCCTGCCTTTTCCAAACTTATGTGTGGGGTTTCCACCCCCCATCACACACTCCACACACACATATATTTTTAGAAATCCCTTAGGGAGGTGTGGTATTCACTGAAGTGCTTCTACTACCGCAAGGATTTCCTCTTGTGCATTGGAGCTTCCTCTCTCCCTTCTCAAATATGCTCCAGAAGGTTGGCGGGAAATCCAGAACAGATTTAGGACACAGGTAGGCAAAGGAAGGAGACGTTCCACCACAAAGCCAGAAGTCCTTACACTAGTGGAAGCATTTCATGGGATACCACCTTTATAGTTTGCTTAAATTTTAAAAAAAGTCTCAAAGTGCTACACAACATGATAAAACAGATAGGTAGATACATATACACACATAGCATCAGCAGTTTTGCTAAGAAAGTTAGTAGCTATCCTATACTCCTTTATACTTAGTAAAGCCTATGGAAGATGCCAACTTGAGAACAGAAAGTGAAGGGCCAAAATCAAATATTCTGCTCCAAAGTAGCCTGGTTTGGGGGAGGGGGTGTATACAAAGAAGCAGCAAGAAATTACCGCTTGGTCTTCCAATTAAACATCAAACTGCCACTGGGCATGAGCAAAATCAACAGAAGCCAGGATATGTCTAGCAATAGACAATTGGTGGAAATATGCTTAACAAGTGTTTCAGTTCTGCAAATGAAAGTATATGATCACCTAAGAAAAGCCTGGGTGCTTCCTGATGAACTACATATGCAGCAAGACACTTTTAGTGACTCTTCCTGACAGAACAAGGAAGAAGCACAAATCTTAACAACTGAGGCTTCACAAGTCATAATTATGTCCAATGACAACTCCTAGGTTCCAGATCATTAACAATGGTTTGAAGCTGGCTAATTTCAATAACCCATAGTTAACACAAACTTCACTTTATCCAGGTTCAGACACAGCAAACCAGTTGAGCAGGAGGAGCCTTCTAATCTCCTTCTGGTCACACAGGAAAAAACAGCACATGAACGCAAGGCTCCTGCATCTACGGAATACTAAATTTTGGTTTAGCAATATGCATGAAACAGGCAAACATCCCTATGGACTTCAGCATGCATTTCTAAGCTATACATGATATTTTTATTTACTGTGTCCTCAAGTGCACACCACCATTCTTTAAAGATCAAGCAATGGGTTATATCCAACAAAGTTTTACTCAGGGAAGACCCACTGAAATTAATGAACCCAAGTAATCATGTCACTTCATTTCAGAGGGTCTACTCTGAGTATGAGTAACTTTGAATACAATCCAATGTATATTTACCACACTGACAAAGGGGCAATTATAACAGTAGCAATTTTGACAACTATTCCCCTTGGAAATGAGATTTATCAAGATGCTAGTCCAAAGTAAACCTTATGCATCACTATAATGACCAACATCATAACTAGTATGTATGAAGCATACCTAGTCAGTTAACAAGACTGATTTGGTTTGACATCAGATTTATTATCGTATTTTAATACAATTTAATATAAAATTGCTGTTATCTATTAAATTGTGTGTCTGTCAAAGACCAAAGTGATGCCAGCTTACCATTTACCTCTTTCCACCAACCTCCCTCCTGAAGGTTTACAGCACTTCTGATTCTCAAGTGCTATATAGGTCCAGCATTTACTAGAAGCACTAATGGCAGAAAGAAGTGTTTCAAAAGAGAAAGGAAAGGGAGAAAGCTTTGCATTGACCCTTTGGTATAAATGGATGTCTTCCTTTCCCCGTCCTCCTACATTTCTATGTCATCCTCCCAAGCCTTAAAACTATAGAGAAGTCTGAAACAAAAGTTTCTGATTCTTTAAATATAATTTATATTCAAATATTTATAAAATATGTTAACTGAATTTCTGCCACAAGGCAATCAAAGCAGCATACAACATCAAAAGCCATCTTGCTTAAAAGCATGTTTAAAACAAGCAACAGCAGCACAAGTGCATTTTGCTTCAAAGGTAGACTAGGATTTTATTTTTATGGCAACAAGACTTGTGAAGGGTTGGACATCTCCCAGACATATACAGGTTCACCAAGCCAAGATCCAGGTAGTCAGTGGATTCATTTTGGAGCATTCACCCAGCCAAATACCAAAAGTGAGTTGAAATAGTCATGTGAAATGCTTCTTCTAAAAGAAGGGGAAACTCCTTTCTCCTAAACTGCGCTAGGATATCCTAATGTTCACAAACAGCTAGAAGTTTTTGATCCCCTCACAGTACAATTAGAGGCCTGTGGACTCTCTTATACTTGTCTCTGAGCTGCTGGCAGCATTATTGTACATTGTCTTGAGACAACTGTGTAGAAGTTGATTAATAAATTAATTATGCTAATAGTAAATAACAACCCAAAAGGCAGAAACAGCATCCACTCTACAGTACTGTAGACTGCTTTGCAGATGAAAACTGCTCCTGTCACAACAACAATTTTTACTAAATTCTTCACAGTGAACTGAATTCACTGTTTTTATTCTGCCTCAAATAAGTATGGTAAAAAATGAAAAATCTGAAGCTTTGTTATAAGCTATTGCCTGATGTTACAAGTTCAGCATTTGATCACATTTCTTCTGTATACAGATAATCTTTTGTGGTGGTGTGCTATTTTGCAGTGCTGTAAAATCAAATTGCAAAATCAACAATACATTGATTGGAGTTTTTTAAATTGGATATTACTGACAAAGGGAAAGTAATTAAGAACAATGGAAGCAATAAAAGAATAGACTTATAAATGACTTGAAGGCAATATCAGAGTGTAAACGCAAGAGCATTAACAACAAAAAGAAAAACATGTTTGCTGCAATAAAACAGAAAGCTTCTGAATAATTATAAGAAAAATATTAGGAGTATTTCCAGAAGTCAAGAGGAGAAAGAAAATAGAATGTTCTAAAGCTGATGCAGACCTAAGAAAATGTTGTCAGCATTCTTGCTTACTGTAAAGCTTTATGTAAATATCAAGACAATGTATTCACAACCTTTGTCTAGGACCCCATTCCCATATATAATCAGTACTGATTATTACTTGGAGAAGCATCCTTAGTAAGGTATAGAAACCAAGATCTCATGTCAAGTCCAAAGCTCTCCTTACACAGCCCAAGACATCCCTGCTGCCTTGGCTACAGTTGAAAACCCTCTCTTGTTTGACCCCCTTTCTCTGTGGTTCTTTTCTTCAGTTGGTTCTCTTCCTAGTTTTCTAAGTTTCATTTCAGTATTCCCATTTGGGGACGTCCTTCCCGTGTTTTCCTTCTCCGGTCTGGGGCTCCTCATGTGTGGATCACCTCATATGGATTTGAGCACCACGTTTATGTGGATGGCAGTTCAACCTTTTTAACCCAAAACATTCTCTCTTCATCCCCATATGGTCAAGTGCCTTTTCTCCTCTTCTCTTCTGCAGCTTGACTGTGGTAAAGAGATGCAGCCCTCTTCTCTTTTACGAACAGAAAATGTTCATAAGAGCAACTACATTGTGGTGGAATACTACAGGATTCCTTGGAAAGTTATCAGAAATATTTCAAATATCAGTAATAGAGCTCAAGTGAAAAAGGTCTAAGTTCATACATACTGATGTGGGAGGGGTCAAACTTAGTTGTAAATAACAATTATTTTTTTTTAATGTTGGCAATGTAAAATTTTGGCAAATAAATGAATAAAGTGGTGTTTTACTTTACAACAATATCAAAACTAAGTACGTAGAGGACACAGGACCTTCAAGCATGAAGCAAGATCAACTTGGCCATTGTAACCAAGGTCCAGACCTGAATTTGCAAGATGCTCTGTACTTTTCAGCTAGCAAAAGGTTAACCAGTACATTTCAAGATACTCAGTCCTTAAGTCCCACTGAAAGGGGAGGAGAATGACCCATTAAAGTTCAGCTAATGCTCTGGTTAATGTAGGGAACTAGAATACATACTCTGAGCCTGTGCCTTGAGACCAAGCAGATACAGAAACAGCTCTTTCAACAATAAATTTGTACATGTCTCTTAACTTGCCACAAAGTAACACATGACTAGTTCTCACCCTATTGGTAAACCTCTAGGTGGGTTGTACCATTTCAGATATTAGGTGAAGTCTCTCAAGATACAGTAATAAGAAGTTCCTGCATATGAAACACAAAAATCTCCACACATACACAATCATATCGCATATTTGTTTTCATGTACATTAATATCAGAAGACCCAGCTGGATCAGCGCAAAGGCCCATCTAATTCAGCATGCTATTTTCACAGTGCCCATGGCAATCCCATCTTAATTCTACCATAAGTAGCAAAAGTGACAACATTTTAGCTCTATTTTAACTAATCGCCCTGCACTTTTATGGTTTAATCACCTTTTAGGCTAACACCGAAGCCAGTCTGAATATTTTTATTATTCTTAAGGATAGCAACATCTTGATCACCTTTCTGCAGGGATGCTTTTGATTTTCTGATCCCCAAAGTCTTTAATCTTGTTACTGATCAAGATATAGAGAAAATAGATGGTGGGTTTTAATACTGTTCCTAAGAAGTCATCAGCACTTTCTGCATAGAAGAAAAGAAAACTTTTTTGTTGTTTTTATATCTAAATACGATGAAGCCTTCCTTATTTTAAACCACTATGGCTACAATCTTATACACAATTACATGGGAGTGAGCCCCAAGTAGACCGGCACAGGACTGCACCTTTAAGACCTGGAGCATGATCCCTGGGAGTGTTTTCTTCCTTCCCCCACCCTGGGATGACTGAGCAGGGTCAGTGCCCTATGACTACATATTTAAGAGCATTACCCAGAGAGAGGATTCGTCCCGCATCGAGAGCCCTTCCCCATCCCAATGCATTTTCTGTAAATAACCCCTAGTACGAGCAGAGCAGTGGCCCAATTAAAAATGGCGAGCATCTCGCGTGGCTGGCTGTGTGCAGGATACAATAGAAGGGGGCTGGAAGCTTTTAGAAAGAAAGAAAAAAAACCAAACGCCGAGCGGCTGCCGGAATCAACAGTCAGGGGGAGGGGGAGATTGGGGAGAAAGCAGCATTCCTAAGCGCAGAGATCTGTCCCAAGAAAAGGGATATCACCGAGGCCCCCCATTGCCAGAACCAGTTCGACACCGTTCCTTCTCCACCCCCCGACCCCGAAAATACACTGCAAAGAAGCACCTCCTGCTCGAGGTCAACCGATCTCGGAGCCCTGCAAAGAAGCAATATTGGGGCACCGAAGTGTCCGCCGCTTTCTCAAGCTTTCCATCTAGAGAAAGATGCTTTGCTCATAATGTTCACGCCAGAGCTCTCCACAAGAAGTGAACTCCCAAATTCCACGAAAGTCAGGGACAAACTCCCCCCACCCCCCGGTTTTTCTCTCTATGGGAAACACCTCTTTTCTCTCTCTCCCCACCCCCAATTTACAAGCCTCCGGGACACCGCCCCGGCCCCACCACCCGCGCCCCGCCCCAAGAGCGCCAAACCAGCTCGCATACACAGAGGCGCGCGCACCCCGTTCCCCAGCCTGGAAAACAAGCAGAGCCGCCACCCCCACTTCTTCGCCGGCTTCCTAAAACTTTTCAACTTCGGCCTCACAGCGAACACAAGAGTCAAACGAAAGGCGGCTCTCCGATCTGGAGAAAGCCAACCCTTATATTTCCCAAAGGTCTTTCCAAGTTGGCTGGTGGGATAGGACCTGGAGCAGCAGCCTTATCTGCCCGGTATCTTCAAGGAAAAGCAGGCATGGCCGGTGGGGCAGGAGGGAAAAAGGAGGCCCCAGCCCTAGAGGGGAAGGAAGGCTACAGGGAAAGGATGCCAGCCACAGAACTAAGATACGTGTCCCTGTAGTGGATGAGGAATAGAGAGGAATTAAAGGTGTATTTCCAGACGACCAAGCAGTGCCTTGTGCAGGGAGATGCTGCAGGGATTACTGAGAATGGAGAGAGCACAGAACTGGGAGACCTGTAAAGGTCAAGGCAATCCAAAGGTTGGTGGGTAAAATGGGTGCAGAACTATGGAATACAGAAATGAGACAGAGTGCATTATGTGTCTCTTCCAACATTCAACTGAGTTGGAAGAGAGAGGTATAAGCTTTTTTATATGCCAAAGGGAGAGAAATTGGAAAGCAAGATCTGAAGGTGCAGTTTAGGCACAGAGTTGAAAGGAATCAAAATCTGACTACACGGATATGGCATGGATAAGAACATGGATATGGCGCTGCAGGAGTATCCTGTTAGACTGTGTGGAGGCACATGCAGAGTAAAGTGATGAGATAGCTGCAGGCTTGAAAGATAAAGTGACTGGAGTCCCTACGAAGTTGAGATAATGCCAGGAAGGGGAAAACTGTGGGAGGGGGTACTATAAAGTTAGGAAATCAAAAGCCTACATAGTATTAGGGGCCAAGGGAGAAGAAAATAAGGAAGAGAGTCAAGGTATGCAAAGTTAGAGGGGAAAGTGTTTGGGAAAAGTGAATGTATGGAGAAAACAGAATCTGGGGGCTTTGGAACTGAGGTCATGGATCTAAGTGTATGAAAAGAGGGTGCATGGGGGGATATGCTGAAGAAAGCAGAGAAACTTAAAATAGAAGATACAAAAGCTGAGAAAAAGTGTGAGGCCCCTAAGGTCAGCAGGAGAAGCAAAAGATAGCTAGATACAACATGCGGGAGGGACTGCAGTAGGGGTGCAGGAAGCAATAAGTGCCAGGATGGGAACATAGTTGGAAAAGGAGAAATCATAAGGGGAAGAACAGGGGTGTATGCTCATTATTTATTTCAAAGAAGGTTTAAAAAACAAGAGGAGGGGAGAGGGACTACCACCATCCAGTGCCATCCAGGATGTTGAGGGGGGCCGGTGTATGTGTTTGTGGAGGAACTGCAGAACCAAATCAGAGGAGTCACCGTCCTGGGGGGAGGGAGGAGGGAGGGAATGGATTGCAAAAGACACTCGAGATGAAGGGGTGGGGGGAGGATGCTGCAAGGAGGGAGAAATGGGGGTGCAGAAAGAAAGTGTGGGAGGTGGAGTAAATGCAGACTGCAATCTGCGAAGCAGGGGAGGCTGCAGCCTCCACACACACACAGCGCAAAACCCCCTGCCCCTTACCTTCCATCTCCATGTCCTCGGGCTCGCTCAGCTGCTGCTCCCCGGGCTTCTGCTGCTGTTGTTGTTGCTGTTGCTGGTGGTGGTTCATGTCGGGCTGCGGGAGCTCAGGCTCGGCGGCCTGGGCCTTGGCTGAGGGAGGAGGGCGAGGAGGCGGCGGCGGCAGGAGCTGCTGCTGCTGCTGAGGAGGCCCCGCGTCGAGCGGCGATGGGCGCTGGAAAGGCAGGAGCTGCTGATGCAGAGACTGGGGCTGAGTCGGCTGGCGGCGGGGCGGCTCCGCGGCCTGGAGCTGGTGAGGCTGCAATTGCTGCTGTTGGGCTTCGGGCTGCTGCTGCTGCTGGACTCCGGCGGCGGGCAGGGAGCGGGCGGCCGCCGGGGGAGGCAGCGAGACGCGCACGTATTTACTGGCTATTCGCCCAATGGCGGCGGGGGTGGGAGTGGGAGGAGGAGTGAGGAAGGAGGAGGATGGAGGGCCGAGCTCGCCTCAGAGCGGGTGCAGGCTGAGGCAAAGTCCCGGTCCGGCGGCGGCTGCGGAGGAGGAGGGCGACGTCTAGGCCCTGCTGCTGCTGCTGCTGCTGGGTCTCCTCCTCCTCCCCCCGGGCTGGGCCGGCTCCGGTGAGGAGGGAGGCCCGGCGGCGCGGGCAGCGCCAAGGCGGGCGGGCTCCTTCGACGGCGACAGGCGGCGTTGGGAGCGAGTCGGGCCTGCTCCTCCTCCGCCGCCTTCGCTGCCTCTCAAAATGGCGGCCGCGAAATGTCACATCCGCATGGAGGATGGGGGCTCCGCCGGAGTGTCGCGGCGGCGTGAGGAGGGAGAGAGAGAAGGCCGGCCGGGTGGCTGGCGAGCTAGCCAGGGAGGGCAAGAGGAGGAGGAGGTGGCCGCAGCGGCGGCAACAGCAGCAGCGGAGGAAGAGATGCTCCGCCTCGCCTGCTTCAGCTCGGCCTGCAACGGCCGGGAGGAGGAGGAGGAGAGTGAGCGAGAGAGTGGGAGGGAGCGAGGGACGAGCTCAGGACGACGGAAGGAAGGAAGGAAAGAAGGAAGCGGGAGGGAGAGAGAGAGAGCAGCGCCGCGGCAGCCCCGGGAACAGCAGCCGCCGCCACAGCGAAGGGGAAGAGGAGGAGGAGGAGCCACTGAGGCGAAGGCCGGCCGGCCGGGGCGCGGAACGCCACCCCCCCAACACACGCACAGACCCACACGCTGTCCCGGGGGGAGGGTCGGAAGGAAAGAGTGAGAGCAGAATATGGGGGAGGGCGGAGAGATTGGGAAGGAAGAGGGGTGTATGGGGAAAGGAGGGGTGCGTGGTTGTGGGTGAGATTGAAAGAGGGGTGGGAACAAGGGGGTAGAGGTAAACTAGGGAAGGTGGGAAGGAAGAGAGGTGCACTTAGAGGGTGCTGGCGGTGGGTGAGACTGGAAGAGGAGGGAGATGGAGGGAATGTGAAAGTTGGGTTAAAAGAGAGAGAGATGGAAGGCAGAGGGTCCTACGTCGGGGGGAGGGGAGTAGGAAGGGTGTAATTCGGAGAGGGAGGGGAGGGGATGCGAAAAGTTGGGGAGCTGTAAGATGAAAACAAAGGGGACCCTGGAAACATTACGACGGGGCATTAGGGATATACTTGGGTGTGCTTAGTGAAGGGGTGAGGAGATGGCAATGGGAACAGCAGGGAGGGGGTGGGGGGGTCTTGGAGGAATGAAGGAGAGCAGGAAGGAATTGGGGTTTATTTGGAGGGTTAGGGGCAGGGGTGCCTGGCAGTGGGCAAAATTGAAATGGGAGGTAAAGGTGGGGAGAGCAGGGAGGACTGGTGGGGGCGTACTTGAGGGAGTGGAAGAATGGCAAGTTGCTGGGTGGGGGGGATGTGAGAAAAATAGAGAGATGCAAATGAGAGACCATTGAAGAAAGGGGCAACAGTCAGAGGTGTGAGGAGCTGGAGGGATGTGGAAGATAGCCAGGGCAGAAAGCATGCCAGAGGATAGAGAAGAATGGTAAGGTGGGGGTTCTGTTGAAGCAGTGTAAGACTGATGAAATGTTTGGAATGTGAAAGGAGGGGGAAGTCAGTTGTGGGAGAGGTATAAGAGGAAGGTCTTCCTGTTTGGAGGAGGTAGGTCACATTCACACCATACATTTAAAACTCAATGATACCACTTTAAACAGTCATGCCCCCCCAAGAATTCTAGGAGCTGTAGTTTGTTAAGAGTGCTGGGAGTGAGTATTCCCCAGATGGGGCTACACTTTTCAGAGTGGTTTAACAATCAATCACATGAAACACTGTCCTTAAGGAACCACATCTCCCAGAATTCTTTGGGGGGAAGGCCATGACTGTTTAAAGTGGTATTATAGCGCTTTAAATGTATGGTGTGAATGCGGCCTTCGCCCACTTAGGGCAATCTTGATAAGGAGATGTAAAAAAGGAAGCTGGGGGCTGGTGGAGGGACCAGGAAATAGTGGAGTGGTGTGGTTCAAACAGGGACTGGGGAAGTTGATTCGGGAGTTAAGAAGGGGGACTATGAGACTCTAGTGTAGGAAAGAGCATAGAGAGGATAGTGTTGGGGAGGTGGAAAGAGAGCGCCACCATCAGGAGATTTAAGGAGGTTGTAATGAAAGAAACTGAAGATGGGTAGTGATATTATATAAGAGATAAAAATGAAGGAAAACTTTGTGGGATATGTGAAGAGCAGGACAATAGCCCCAAGGTCCTCTTTGAAGAGAAGGGAGTGGGTGATGGCTTGTGGTGGCAAGGTATGATGCGGAGAAGGAAGAACATAGAAGTCAGAGCATTACTCCAAGAAGCTCTCCAGAGTTTCAGATGGATCTTTCCCAGTCACACCAGAGATTTATCTTGGAGTCTCTTTCACAGCAGGGGAGTGCTTTCTCTAAGATGTTGCTCTTAAGTGCTGTTTCCAGAGAGCAAGCCAAGTCCCTCTGCTGCAGCAAAAACATCTCAGAGGCTTCTAGCATCTTAAAATTGGGAATCTGCTTCCCTGTGGATGTTGTGGGACTCCCTTCAACTCCAGAGATTATTTATTTGTTTGGATAATTTATGTATCACCCTTTGAACCGGCCACACGGCAGTTTGCAATAAAACCAGAGAGATAAGAATGCATAACAACAATAAAAACAGCATTAAAAAACACAACAAATCACTGAATCACAATTACTAATAGCAGCAGCCTTTCCTCTTTCTAAGATGCATCATGACTATTTGCCTGAAGCTATAAAGAGATGAGGTTTGTTGCACCTCAATAGGAAGAGAATTCCATATGCAAAGAGCCACCACTGAAAACCTTCCTGGGCCCTCACACCAGGTATGTCATCACGTGTAGAGACCTCATCTGATGTCAAAACAAAGGTTGATATGGAAAAAGATTTGGTTTGGAGGATCACAGACTCCTATCTGCCTTAAAGTCGAACTCTTAATAATTATTGCAAAAAACGCATGGACTAGAGTGGACGGAGTGAATTCTGGATGGGGAAACTGATGTCATTATAAATTTGTTGATCTTTATGGTGCTCAAGACTAAGAAACATGAAAAAACAGCACATGTGCTGCCCCCTATTTTTTTTTATCAGGTAGAACAGGGAAGAGTAAGGAGAACTGGGGAAGTAAGGAGAAAGAGAGGTTGAACAAAATGAGATATTATAGATAGGGATTGCAGCAGGCAGAGATGACAGCTCATTTTAACAATGCAATGGTTTGCATTCCAACTCAGAAGAAACCTGCACTGGTTGAATGAGGCTTAACTGTTAGGTAAGCCCCAGCTTCCTTCTGAGTAGATATGCGCTGTAAAAGTGCCACAGATAATTTATAATCTTCAGCTTCATAATTCTGTGGAACAGGTCTCAGAAATCTCGCAACAGAATTTAACATCTGATGCAGTTCCAGAGAGCTCATGGGAAGAAATAGCCCTAATCCTTTAGCAAGGATTCACAAATACACTTGCCATGTCACTGCTGGTGAGGACAACTTTTGCACAAATAGAAAAGAAGCTGCTTTATACAGAGTCAGAAAATTTGTCCATCTATTGTCTATATTAGCTGGCAACAGCTTGTCAGGATTTCAGACAAGTTTTTTCCAGCCTTCTGTGGAGACACCAGGGATTGAACCTGGGACTTTAATGTGTGTAGAGCATGTTTTCTACCACTAACGCCATCCATATGCAATCAGAATGATGAGCTTAAATCCAGTGCCTTAGACCACAGGCCAACCCTACCACATCCCACTTCAAGGAGAGCCCCTGGCCTCTTAGGCCTGGAAGAATGTGAGAACTTTGCAATACCAGGCTGGCTTCAGAAGCACAAGAGAAATGCAAGGACCTTTCCCCTGATTCCGCGCTGAATCTCAGAGTTACTTGGAGAGCTGTTGGAAGACTTCATGCTTCACTTTGAATATCTGAGCTTGGCCCTATGGGGATTCCCCTCCTCCTCTTTTTTTGCGAAAGAAGGGAAGGAGCTTGCTATTGACAGTTGTACTGGGTCTTGAGCTCAGGGGAATGCCAGAAGACCCCCATTCTCTCCTTCTTGAAAGGGAGGGTAGGATCATGACACAAACAAATCTGGCTGGTTACCAAGTTGAGCTAAGATCTGTGGACCCCTAGCATTCATGCATACGTTTTACTATAGATTTGATGGAGAAAAAGCCACAGACTTCTGTGTCATGAAAGGTTGTGCAACCCCTCACACACAAAACCCCCCAAAGTGATAGCTTTGCTAAAATCTGAAAGAACCCTGTGGCAAACAGCCAGTTCTTGTGAGAAGGTGATGTTGATGATCTTGGGCAAAGGAACAGCTGCAGAGAGTTGCAGTTTCTACTCCATAGCTTCCAGCATACTCTCCTCCCCATTTTCATTTTTTTAAATTAACAGCACCTTTACAGCTGCTCCTGTAAACCTTGAAGGTCATGGAATAGACACTGAATGAGCCAATGAATTAAAATACTTGAGTTTGAGGTTAAACACCAAGAGCCATTTCCAAATCGTCGTTTTTTTCTTACTGCCTTCGGTGAATTTATTTTTATTTGCAGATATTTTTAGCCTGCCTTTCAGTGCAAGTGCTTTCAGGATGGGGTACAGTAAAGCAATCTAAAACCTTATCAACAACAACATTCAACGGTAATACCATAAAGCAAGGGCAGTAACAGAACAGCAACTGGTACAGCAATGACAAAATTGGAAAAACTAGCTATTGGGAATGTCAAATAAATAGGTCTTTGGCTGGCGATAGAAACTAATAAATGTTGGTGTCATCCATATATCAGAAGAGAGGACATTCCATAAATGGGACATTGCCATAGAGAAGGAATCTTAGTTGGCATCAGCCTGCTTATGCATTGACTATACTTCTGGGGACTGTGGTAGGGTGCCACTTGAACTGAGATTGTGCCTTCAGCCTTGTAGAATCAGTTCTCTCATTTTATTAGAATCCCCATAGCATACTGATGTGTCTTCAGTTTACAATAATGCATACTCGGGATCTCTTAACAGTCAAATAATCTCAGTTAAGTGATTCTGAGTATATACTTCTGCATAAGACATTCTGTGTTGGATTAATCAAAGTTTCTCTAGAACAAGGCTCCAGATACTGCTGAACTATGGCTCCCATCACCCCTGGCCACTGACCATGTGTGGTGCAGCTTATGGGGGCTGTAGTTCAGCAACATCTGGAGGGCCAAAGATGCCCCACACCTGAACAACTTTGGTAGGTGTGGAAGCAGCAACTAGCACAAAATGCTGCAGGTAGGTGATTATTGGGGACCGTCTCAAGGTACTTGTACTGGTGTACAAAGCCTAAACAGCTTGGGGTCTGGTCACCTAAGAGGACACCTAAGCTGCTGTAGACAAGTCCACCCATTAGCATCAGCCAGGGACTTTCTTGCCTTTGAGGCTTGATCAGCAGCAGCTCTGGGGAGATCCTTCTTGGTGGTGGCACTCCAGCTTTGATGCTTCTCTTATTTACAAGCTTTATTTGTCAAGCTTTTTGACAAGTACCCCCAATACAGTTTACATAGCAAAAGCAGAATAAAAACTAGAATACAGTAAAAACTACAAAAGGCAAAACAAGCAGCAGCAAGCTTAAAACAACACCTAGAACCAATAATTATTATTTTTAAATGCAGGCACTCTAGACTTTACATGAAGTTGTCTCCAGCTAAGTTCTACTCAAAGAAGACCCATTTAAATGAATGGACATGACTAATTTAAGTCTAGTAGTTTCTATGGGCTCTGAGTAGAAATTGGTTGGGGACAATTCCTGGTGCCTAAAGGATAGCAATATAAGAGTCAGTAAATATTCCCAAGAAAAGAGTTAAATAGTTAATGCCTCTCTGGAAAAGATTCTGTGGCAGCCACACACCTTACTTCTGAATTTTGGGAACACACAGCTCTCACTTGACAGATTCAGAGGGGAGAAAGTGGATTGGGGCCTTATGCATCTACTTGGATACTCCCAGTAGGACATAGCCAACTAAGTCAAAGTAAACCCACTGACATTGATAGGAATAGGTTATTCATATCTACTAATTTCAAGGCGTCTACTCTGGGTATGACTTAACACTGGATCCAAACCCATTCTTCTGGCTAGCTGTTTGTATCTAAAGTCTGATTGTTCCTAGCAAGGCATCATTTGAGATTAAGCACTCAACGTTTCCATGTGAAGAAGATAATCTTAACAAAGGTATTTTTTGTTTTAATGCAAATATTTATCAAGGGTTTAATGGGGATGTTTGGCATGCCCTAGTCCTGACCTGGTACCATACACAGGAGTCCACAGGGGATGACCCAGACACACACACACACACCAGGTCAAGGACCTTGAGGAACAAGCAGTGCCCTCCGGTACTAGTATTGAGGATCCTCTTGAGATGCCTTCAAAGAGGAGACCTGCTGAACAACCCATGGAGCTCTCAGAAAAGGACATGGATGCGCCCCAGTCCTTAAAAACAATGGCGCCAAAAAATCTGGGTCTGGACCAAAGGGCAACGACATAGTTTGATTCTACATCCCCCTAGACACATTGTGCAGCTCATGAGTAAGCAATCCCTGAAACTCTGTCACTTCTGCAGGTTGTGGTTAGGGATTGGTCTAGAAGGCCACTGTATATAAGGTCTTCCTCTTGTGCCTTCCACTTGCTGGAAATAACAAGGCTTGGGGCTGCTTCTTCCTGATTCTGGTGCCTCCTGTTCCCCAAATAATGCTGTTTGGTCTAAAGTGATTTCCCCCCAGTTATTCTGGTTTTGACCCCCCATTTCCCTCTACAAATATAGCCTTTGAGCACTTCTGTCACACTCTGTTATAAATACCTTATTCACATTGATAAACAGATTGTAGATTATTCCAGAATTTCAGTTTCATTGCAAAGATTTACAAGGGCAGCCAACATTGTGCATTCTGAAAATATTAATTGTCCAGAACCCAAAGACCTTCAAAATTATTTTTCTTTTCGCTAGAATTTGAATTTTACAAATGCTGAAGTGTTGCATTAAAATCCATTAATACAGAATAGTCACAGCAAGGAACAACTTCTGAAATATGAGTTGTTAAGATGGACTCTCAAATTCTTACATAATTTTGCACCTAAAATTTACACTTTTTGAAACCAATGAAATTTCTCCCTAAAATCAACCTGGAATTGTCCAAGCTATAGACAAATCTATGTTTTTGAATTACTTAATGACAATTTTTTTCAACTCATGGGGAAAATGTCATTTAAAAAGAGCACTTTAGCATATTCCTGCTGCTTTTTATTGTCGTGAGGATTAGGGCTGCAAGTGTTAACTGGTAGATTAATCAATCCGATCCTAACTGGGATTGCTAGAAAGTGTTTTACTGATTTCAATGTGAGTAACTTTCAAGTAACTGCGTGTAAGGATTGCTCTGTAACTGAGTAACTGGTGATCAGTTTCAAGGAGTGAAATTGCACTGTTTCTGGTGTGTCATTGCATACAGTACTTAATATATCTATCTTTCCAAAAATATACTGTATGTGGTAACTGTAGATTGAATTCTACAATCCTCGGTATCTTAAAAAGCTGGCTATGCTTTGGTTTTGTCAGTATGCAGATTTGTTTACATTAGACTTGATTGAAAGGCAGATGTTACATTATTTCACTGATAGCTCTTCTGAAGCCAAAAGTGCAATTTGCCTCACTTGATGTCACCATAAATATGTCGCCTGAATTTTTTTGCCTTTGTGGGCAACCTAGTCATAGCATATTTCTAAGCTAATCTAGTACTCAAGGGCTTTTTGTTTATTGCTATTCTGTTTTTTAAGTGAAATTGTTTAAACTGAAATAAATTTACACCTTGCTTATTATCGTAACACAGTGGAACCAGAGGGATGGAATGAATGTTTTATAAACCTTCAAAATCTGGCTTTTCCCCCACGGGTCTTGGCAGCGCTTTTTTCTGGGGGGATGCAGGGGGACGCATACTCCAAAACATTTTGTGAATCTAAGTTTGGCCTCATTGAGGAGCAGTATTTCAATATGAGTAGGAAAATGAGAGTACCCCTAAACATTTTTTTTAGAAAGAAAAGGCACTGGGTCTTGGAAACCAGTCTTCATTTTCTTAATTTCTTGGGACTGTGAGGGTATATCTCTATTCCGTAGATTTAAACTATATAATAAACAATAATAATTGAACTGGTTTAACAGTCATTGCTTCTCTTCCCTTATTTTGGAATGGGAGCCTAGTGATCTCCAATACCTTCACCAAACTACAGTTCCCAGGATTCTTTGTGGAAGTCTTTCATCATGCATGACTTACTTGAGAATAGCCTCCTAAGGTCCCAGTCGTCTGCAGAAAGGGCTGAATGGATTAACTTCCCAAACATGAGTATGTAATAACCTTGTCCTCCACAAATTCCCCTGCAATATTTAAAAACAAAATACAGAACATGTACTAAAATGGAGTTGCTTTTTCTCAATTTTCCCCAGTATGAATTACTGTGAAGGTCTTATTCACATAGCACCTTTGATGTCCATGATGCTTTGCAGAGCATGAGGAGGAGGAGATGGTGGTGTTTGCAATGTACCTTTCTGATGTTGGTGGAATATTTCAGATTTGATCAACCTGATAATCCAGTATCAAATACTGCTGCCCTGGGCTCCTTTGGGAGGAAAGGCATGATATGAAACAAATGATACTTTTCTATCAGAGTGGCCTCAGGTGTCAGAGCATCCACATATTCCCTAAAGTAGATACATGGGAAGCTACCTTCAACTGAGTCAGTCCATCTAGCTCAATATTGTCTACACCAGGCATAGGCAAACTCGGCCCTCCAGATGTTTTTGGCCTATAACTCCCATGATCCCTATCTAGCAGGACCAGTGGTCAAGGATGATGGGAACTGTAGTCCCAAAACATCTGGAGGGCCGAGTTTGCCTATGCCTGGTCTACACAGACTGACATGGACTTTCAGGAGGCTTTCCAGTCCCGCCTGGAGATTCCAGGGATAGAACACAGACCTTCTGCATGCCAATAAGCTACAGCCAATCTTTAGGGTCTTCTGTATTTGAAAGCTGAAATTTTATATTTAATACATGTTTGAGAAACCATTAAAAAAAAAGGCTGGCTCCAGCTTTGGAGCGCTTTGTTGGTTTGTTTTTGGCTTTTAGGTTGTCCCTCAAAGTTTACAACCATGTATGAATATCCATCCATAAACCCAACACAAAATATCCAATTCCATCCAAGAAACATAAAAGCCAGCGCATCATCATCATCATCATCATCAACAACAACAACAACAATCTAAATTAGCCTCCATCCAATTTTCCTTGAAGTCTCAAAGACCCATTTAAAATTTAGGAAAGGAAAGTATTTGCGTGGTCTCATTTGTGATAAAAGTAATTATTATTCAGCAGGCATTCTAAGCGAGTTTTTACTCTGACTTTCATGGTTAATCTTAACCAATTTCATCTTGACGGGATTTTTTTGTGTGTAATATAAATAGATTAAATTAAATAAATTAAGAAAGAGATTGAAGTCTTAAAGTAAAATGTTTTGGCTTTTGCCTTATTCAGCCATGTGGATGTGAATCAAAGGGCATTCTAGCCAAGGTGGCAGTTACAGAACACTGAGGATGGAATATGTAGTTGAGTGTTATCAGAGATACAGTTTATCTTTCTGGGTTGACGTCACATGGTGTTATGGTGTTAAAAGTATTTATGTCCAGAAATACGCTCTTGTTTCTACTGTCCTTTGATCAGACAGCATCTTTAAAAGGGGACTCTGGCATAAAATTGCTAAACTTGGCAGCTGCGGCTGGTGGGGCCGAAGGCAAGGAACCCAACAGCAAGTAGACCCAGAGCCAATTGCAAGCAGGACCAGCTAAATCTAGCTTTGTCCCCATCTTCCTCCCTGCTCAATTCTATCAGGATGGCACTGAGACTAAGGCCTCATCTACACTATGCATTTAGAACAGAATCATTCAACTTCAGTAAGTCATGGCTTCTTGTAAAGAATGCCAGGCACTGTAGTATTTTCAGGGGTGCAGAGAGGCCTTAGGAGACCCATATTTCACCCACAGAGTTACAATTCTCAGAGTTCCTTGAGAGAAAGGAATTGACAATTAAAGCACTCTGGAAATTCTGTGCAGAGAATAGGGGATCCCCTAGCGACTCTCAGTACCCTAACCAAACTACAGTTCCCAGGAATCTTTGGGGAAAGTTGTGACTGTTTAAAGTGGTATAATATTGCTTTAAATTTATGGTGCCGAGGGATTGTAAGGAGGAGGAAGCTGACACAGGCAGCCACTCCTGGGACTAATTGTGAGCAAGAAGGAAAGTGAGGACTGAAGGCAGGCTGTTCCTCCTGTGCCCAGTTTACCCTAATGCATGCTCTGGTTATCTTCCGCTTGGACTACTGCAATGCGCTCTATGTGGGGCTAGCTTTGAAGGTGACCTGGAAACTACAACTAGTCCAGAACGCGGCAGCTAGACTAGTGACTAGGGGCAGCTGCCGAGACAATATAACACCGGTCCTGAAAGACCTACATTGGCTCCCAGTACATTTCTGAGCACAATTCAAAGTGTTGGTGTTGACCTTTAAAGGCCTAAACGGCCTCGGCCCAGTGTACCTGAAGGAGCGTCTCCATCCCCATCGTTCTGCCCAGACACTGAGGTCCAGCGCTGAGGGCCTTCTGGCGGTTCCCTCACTGCAAGAAGCAAAGCTACAGGGAACCAGGCAGAGGGCCTTTTCAGTAGTGGCACCCACCCTGCGGAACGCCCTCCCATCAGATGTCAAAGCGATAAACAACTACCTGACATTCAGAAGACATCTTAAGGCAGCCCTGTCCAGAGTGGCTGGGGAAGCCCAGCCAGATTGGTGGAGTACAAATAATAATATATTATTATTATTATTATTATTATTATTATTATTATTAGACCAGCCTCCACTGAAACTGGATGAAGGGTAGAGAGAGATGCGTAATGCATAGAAACTAGCCTACTGAACAAAAGTAAAATTTTACATCCATTGCCACTTCCACTTTTGCCTCTGGTCCTACCCACCACCAGCATGTGGCCCCCAGAAGTCTGCTCAGAAGATGTGGCCTTCATGCTAAAAAAAGGCTCCTCAGCCCTGTACATTTCAATTTGTGTAATGCCTGGATGCTTAGCCTCCAATCGCTGTTGGACTACAACTCCCACCATCCCAGACCATGGACCATTCTTGCTGGGGCTGATGGGAGCTGGAGTTTCCCATCCCTGCCCTAGAGCTTTGACTTGATGGTCTACATGTACCTGGAATATAAAGACTTGGGAGGCTGTGGGGCCAAGGATCCTCTACAACTGCTGTCTCGGTGCTGGCTGAAGTGAGTTGGAAAAGGTACCCAGGTGAGTGAGCCACCAGTGTTCTGAAATTGGAATCTGCACAAATGTGGCGGAATGTTCAGCGCACAGCCCTGCCTCCCCATTGGCTGTGGCACAGCTAAGAAAGGGAAAGTGTGGTAAACAGAATGCTGAGCATGGCAACAGACAATAGGGTGGATATGTGCATGTGTGTGTGTGTGTGTGCATGCATGCATGTACTGTAGCATCCAGGGGGTCAGAATAGGAAGAAATGGCTCATGAAACCTTCCTCCTTAGAATTCTCCCTTGCAAACTGTGAAGTCTAAAATTTGCTAGATATTTCCTGGCCATTATTCACTGAATACTTGCCCTGTGTCCAACATACATTCATGGGGCCACTCCAGCACATTTTGCTGCCTGAAATGAAGGATAAGGTGGCATCCCCAGATTCTACATGTGGAATCCAACCAGACTGGCTGTTGAGTCCTAGGTCGCATTGGCACTGTACGCTTAAAGCAGTATCATACTACTATAAACAGCCATGGCTTCCCCCAAAGAGTCCTTGGGAACTGTAGTTTTGCTGAGGGTGCTGAGAGTTGTTAGGGGACCCCATCCCTCTCAGAGAACTACAGTTCTCACAGGTCTCTGTGATGAGGTATTTACTGTTGAACCACTGTTGGGTAGTTCTGTCCCTATAATTCCAAAAAGGAAAGCTTCTGGGTTTTTTTACAAACATTATTGTAAACATCCTTTTCAATTCATTATATATCATTCCCCAGTAAGCGTTAACCTTACTACAAGACCACCACATATGATAAAAAGAACCTTCTTTCTCTTTACCTTTCCAACACTTATTTTATTTAGATTAATACATTTTTGCTAATTTACTCAGTGTTAGATACCATCGATATATCATTTTCATATGCTGTAATTTTCTCTTAGAGCATAACATGCTGTAAATTTTATATCCATATTCCACAATCGTTCCCATGCTTCCATGTCTATATTATGACTAATATCTATTGCCCAATGTATCATTGAGGATCTAACTTGCTCATCCTTTGTCTCCCATTCCAATAATATTTTATACATTTTAGACAGCACTTTTACATTACATTCCAGCAGGTCTTTCTCCAGTTGTGATATTTGTTCCCCAAACCCTCATATCCTATCTTTCTTAAATCATTCAAATGATGATACTGTATCTGTGTTGTTAATTTTCCTGATAATTCCTTAAATTCTTCTAATTTATACTCTCCTCTCTTTTGTTTTAATAAATTTCTATAAGTTGTTCACCATTCTATCATATACTTTTTCTTTACTGCTATAGCTTCCAATGGTGAGAGCCAAAGTGATGTTTCTATCCCCTTTTTTTTGTATTTATCCCATACTCTATACAATTTTTTCCTAATTATATGATTGCTAAATCCTTTATGTACTTTTACTTTTTCATACCATCAATAAGCGTGTCAACGAAAAATATTATCATGACCTTCTGAGTCTAGAATACAGTCATACCTCAGGTTACAGACGCTTCAGGTTGTGTGTTTTTGGGTTGTGCACCGCGCCGAACGTGGAAGTACCGGAACGGGTTACTTCCGGGTTTCGGCGCATGCACCTAAGTGCTAAATCACACTTTGTGCATGCACAGAAGCGTCGAATCACGACACCTGCATGCACAGACGCAGCGCTGCAGGTTGCGAACGCTGTGGGTTGCGAACGTGCCTTCCGCACGGATCACATTCGCAACCCGAGCATCCACTGTATGTGAATTCTCTAATGTCATCCTTCAACCGACAAAGATAGGATGCCTCATAGTATAGTCTCATATCCGGCAGGGAAAAACCTCCTCTCTCTTTTGCAGCTATCAATATTTTATATTTTATTTTTGTTTTTTCCCCTTGCCAAATATATTTAGAAATATCTTTTTGCCTGCCATGTGTTTAAACAATCTGCCTTGCCAGTCACCGGAATTGATTGAAACAGAAATAATATTCTTGGTAATGCATTCATTTTTATAGTCAATACTCTGTTTTATAGTCAATTCATTATGTTCCAAATTTCCTTTAATATCTTCCCAAGTTTTTAAAATAATTATCTTTATACAAATTTATATTGTTTGTAGTTACCCATACAGCTAAATACGGTACTTAACCTTTCCTTTGATCTTTAATGCAGATACATCTTGAAATTAATTTTTACTCTCATCATTTATATTTTTAACCAAGAGTTTGGTTTTATATTTACTAATCTTAAGACCTGCTACCTCACCATTTTTTTTTATATCTTGTAATACTTTTGGAATTGACTCTTTTGGTTCTTCCACAGATATCACCACGTTGTCTGCAAATGCTTTTAATTTATATTGTCTTTGTCCCACTCATATGCCTTTAATATCTTGATTACATATTATTCTTTGCACCAATACTTCTAAAACTATTATAAAAAAGGTGACAATGCACAGCCTTATATCGTTCCTTTAGTTATTTTACAATTCTCAACCAGGACATTATTTACTATCAACTTAGCTGACTGGTCAGCATATGTTGCCTTGACTCCTTTTATAAAAGTGTCTCCACAACTCATATATTCCAAAACTGTAAATAAAAAATCCCAGGGAACATTATCAAATGCTTTCTCAGTGTCTAAAAACATTAAAGCCACTTGTTTTTGGTTTCTCACTTGTAAGTATTCTAATATCTCAATTACATTTCTAATATTATATTTCATTTGTCTGCTTGGCAAAAATCTGGCCTGGTCATGGTAGATTACCTCTTTTAATACCAGTTTCAACTTATTTGCTAATATGTTTGCAAAAAGTTTATCATCATTGTTCAACAAAGATATAGGTTGATAATTTTTTAGCTGCTCAGGATCCCTGTCTTGTTTAGAAATCAAATTTATATAAGTAGTGTCCCAGGATTCTGGCAGCTCACCTGTATTTAAAATCATATTCATAATGTCCTTTAATGGTTGTATTAGATAATCCTGCAACTTCTTATAATATATTGCTGAAAGGCCATCAGGTCCTGGTACTTTCAAAAGTTTTGCCTGTGAAATTGCTTGCTGTAATTCCATCGTTGTCACTGGTGCATTCAAAATTGTCATTTATCAGATACTCCACTGTCCTCTACATATTTTTGCATTTCATCTAAATTTCCCTTGATATAATTCTGTATAAAAACTCCCGAATTTATATCTTATTTCTTTAGGACTTCCCACAACTCTGCCTCCTGGTTTCTCTTCAGAGCGTATAAATCTTTCACTTTTTAAACCATTTTTTAACTGGTGATCTCATTGTTTTATTTTTTTAACCACTTGGAGGGTTTTTTTAATATAAAAAACCAATTAAGCCGTACATAAATTTTATGAAATAAAAATATGCATAATTTTCTCTGTATTTGGAAATCCCTCGCTTCTAATAAAGAGTGTACAGTTGTTTGCTCTTGTGGGCTGAATGTGGCCCTTGCGGACTCTACCTGGCCCCTGATACACTTTTAGGCCACGCCCCTCACAAGCCCTTCTCCTCATCCTCCGCAAGTGCTTTTGCCTGACTGGAATTTGTCATTGAACTGTAATAATGCCTCTTGCTTCCCTGGATGGGCGTGAGGATTGGGTGGATGTAGAAATCTCTGGCTTTTAAGCAACTGAAATGTAGCCCATTGTTTTTTAAAAAAGTAAAAGTGACCTCTGTTGCTCCACCCACCTTTACCACTGGCCACACCCACCACTGCCACACAGTCCCCAAAAGTTCCCTGTCAGGGAATGTTTCCCTCTGCCTAAAAACATTCCTTTCCCCCCGGGAATATACCAGACCCTTCAAGTGTCCCTATTTTCCAGGGACAGTCCCAGATTTACAGAAGCCGTCCTGGTTTCTAATTTGATCCCGGAATGTACAGCTTTTCCTTAAGATGTCCCTATTTTCATCAGAGAAATGTTGGAAGGTATGGAGTTATGTGACCCCTGAACCAAGGAGATAAGTAACTATACAACATTTAGAAGACATTTGAAGGCAGCCCTTTATAGGGAAGGGGTTTTTTTAACATTGAATGTTTTATTATGTTTTTATATATGGTGAAAGCCACCCTGAGTTGCTGGGGCAACCCAGTCAGATGGGCAGGGTATAAATAGTAAAATTGTTGATATTAATATTGTTATTATGGAATAAGACACCCCTATTTTCATCTGAGAAATGGTGGAGGGTATGATATACTGAATACCTTACCTGTATGCACAAGTTGCATTAGATGTCAGGAGCAGCTCAGCACTCCCACTTTATGGCCCCCAAATGCATGCACATGTGTTCAAGGTGAGTGACACATGAAATACTTTTTGTACACACCCACCCTCCCCAGCCTGCCAGCGCCTATAACAATATTTAACAATTTGTGATTTGCCACTGTAGTTTTCACTTGGGGATATAAGGATGCCCTCTGGTGGATATATGGCAGAACCTCCCTCTTCCTTTTCCCTATTTCCATTTTAAGGACTTGCTTGCACTTGGCACTTTACCTCTTGGTAAGTCTGCCAAGGGATGGCTGGGTGGTAACACACCCTAAAGCATGGGTAGGCAAACTAAGGCCCGGGGGCTGGATCAGGCCCAATCGCCTTCTCAATCCGGCCTGTGGATGGTCCAGGAATCAGCATGTTTTTACATGAGTAGAATGTGTCCTTTTATTTAAAATGCATCTCTGGGTTATTTGTGGGGCCTGCCTGGCGTTTTTACTTGAGTAGAATGTGTGCTTTTATTTAAAATGCATCTCTGGGTTGTTTGTGGGGCATAGGAATTCGTTCATTCCACCCCAAAAAAATATAGTCCGGCCCCCCACAAGGTCTGAGGGACAGTGGATCGGCCCCCTGCTGAAAAGGTTTGCTGACCCCTGCCAAATCCCCTGCCTTAACACTTCTGTTCTTACTTTGCCAGAGGCACCCAGTGAGGTCAAAGGCAGGGCGGCAGAATTCTCAGTTCCAAGCCCTGCATCTTCTGGATTAAAGGGGAGCCGCCGAAGGACCTTCCCCAAGCCAAGTGAGGGCCGCAGCTCTGTTAGTAGCGTGTCTGATTTACATGCAAAGGTCCCAGCTTCAATCCCTGCCCTCTCCAAGTATAGGATTATTCCTCAGCTGC